AAGAAGAAGAAGAAGAAGAAGAAGAAGAAGAAGAAGAAGAAGAAGAAGAAGAAGAAGAAGAAGAAGAAGAAGAAGAAGAAGAAGAAGAACAAGAAGAAGAACAAGAAGAGAGAGGTCTCGAGTCCCTATGTTTTGAAGGTGGTTAATTTGCCGTTCCCCGTTCCGTTCAGTTTATAGGCTGGCTAGCTGTCCAGTCCAGTTCAGTTTATAGGGTGAGGATGAGGGTGAGAGTTTGGGTGAGGGTGCTTTCATACAGGCTGGCAGTCGTGCCGTGAGGCCAGTCTAGGTAGTTATGTCAATAGCTAGGTACAGTAGGCATTCCCAGCCTTGCCCTGTACAGTAACCAGAAGGGCTGGTATAGGCACGCCCATATAGTCCCGGCTCCTCCCATCCCCCTTTGATACTATAGGAACATAGTATATTTTAACCTTTAACATAATAATACTAGAAGGTGGTGAGACGTCATATGTACATGTACATAACATGTCCCATCCGAGCCAGGGATCAAATGGATGGATATAGATACATGTTTATGGATCGTTGCTGCTTACATACATACAAAAGACCAAGCAAAGCCAGGAAGCTCAATTCAGTTTTCAAAGCCTGGGACCTCAACTTAATTTCCATGTCCCTTTTTAGCCGCGGCCGCCTCCTTGGCTGCAATCTGGGCCTCGGTGTGATGGGGGTCTCTTCCGAGTCTCTGGTGTTTCTTCGCTGCTGCGGCCTCCTTTGCGGCAATTTGGGCTTCAGTGTGGTGAGGGCTCGGGCTGGGAGATCGCTTGTCGACCCAAGACCCGAACTCGTCCTCCTCGCTGTCCCAGGGACCAAACTCATCGGGAGCCTGGGGGTCTCTCTTGTGGTTCTTCTTGGCCGCGGCGGCTTCTTTGGCGGCGATCTGGGCTTCGGTGTGGTGGGGTCCCCTCTTATGGTTCTTTTTGGCCGCGGCCGCCTCCTTGGCTGCAATCTGAGCTTCGGTGTGGTGAGGGCTCGGGCTGGGAGATCGCTTGTCGACCCAGGACCCGAATTCGTCCTCCTCGCTGTCCCAGGGGCCGAATTCATCGGGCGCCTGCGGGTCCCTCTTGTGGTTCTTTTTCGCAGTTGCGGCCTCTTTGGCTGCGATTTGAGCCTCGGTGTGATGGGGATCTCTTCGCTGGTGCTTCTTGGCCGCGGCAGCTTCTTTGGCTGCGATCTGCGCTTCGGTGTGATGGGGCGATCGTTTGTCAACCCAGGAGCCGAATTCGTCTTCTTCGCTGTCCCATGGCCCAAACTCGTCGGGGGCCTGACGGCGTTGATGCTTCTTCGCTGCCGCTGCTTCTTTGGCAGCAATTTGAGCTTCAGTGTGATGGGGATCTCTTCTCTGGTGCTTTTTGGCCGCCGCGGCTTCCTTGGCTGCTATTTGAGCTTCGGTGTGATGGGGACTCGGAGATCTCTTGTCAACCCAGGAGCCGAATTCGTCCTCCTCACTGTCCCATGGGCCGAACTCATCCGGTGCCTGACGACGTTGATGCTTCTTGGCCGCTGACGCTTCTTTGGCAGCAATCTGGGCCTCTGTGTGGTGACGGCGTGCAATTTCCGGAATCACCTCTCGAACCACTTTCGAAGCGATGGAAGCAAGAGAACCCTAGATGTGGTCAGCGGTGGTTGCTTCCCCCCCTTCCCCCTCTGTGAGCCGAGACCGGGGTGACTAACCACATGTCTCTTTTCCACATCCTGAACGTCACCCCCGAGACTGAATCCAGCAGCAAGAGGGCCAGTGGCCAAAAGACCGAAGACGAAAGCCTGCGTCAAAGAGAAGGAATGCATGTTGGATGACAGGCAAGGATGTGGTGTGTTTGGAGAGTGTATGACAGGCAAGGGATGTGATGTGTTGGACAGTGTGGTATGTGTCAAACGACAAGGAACTGGCCAGCAGCTCAACTGAAGCGAACGAAGTGAAATTGAAAGAACGAGATGGGTTGAATGGCTGATGGATATCAGGATGAAGATATCATACCACCCTCGATTATTTTCCATCTTTATAGGACTCAGATGCCAGCATCTCTGGGCTAGACTCAACAAATTAAATCTCTGGGCTAGATGCAACCAACTAAGGAGAGGAAGCAACTCTCTGCGACGGCGAGGCATTTCCTCATTCAATCTTCCGACTGATGGACGGACACGTAGATGGTTTCACGGAGCGCTCAAGAATGTGACGAGCCAGGCGTGAGACTCCTCCTGTGCTGTGGCCTCCACAGCCAAGCTGGACTTCCGTCGCAACCACCCAAAAATACTGGGTTGGGGGAAGCCAACAGTGCTGGAATTACGTACCAGATGTCTCAAGCGTAGGCCCCTCGGGCTTGATTGGAATCGCAGTGTTGATGGCATTGGGAAGTGGAAACACGCGTGAGGGAGACAGGAGGTGAATCAAACATAACATTGGGTTTGGGTCTGGCTTGCTTGTGGTCTCGTCCACTCACTTTGTGGGTGCCAGCCTCGTCGCGGTCTGTGTGCGTCTCACAATGTGTGTGTGTGACCCCATATACTCGCTAGACCAAAGCATGGCAAGCGCAGCCGAAGCGGAGCGAGCCTCGTCCCCTAGAGGCTAGCAGTGTCTATTAGCGCCCAGTAGTTCAGTGCCTAGGGTGGTCCCTTAGTCCCCTATTGGTGCCTAGCACCTCATATTAGTTTAGTGCCTAATAGGTATCTAGTCACCTCCACAGATCGGATACAGCCTTGAGCCCTAGGCCTTAGGCCCCTAAGGCCTTAGGGCCCTCTAGGTGCCCCTGGTGCGGCGTCTCCAAGACCCAAGAGCCAAGACCTCCGCGTCGTTTCGGGCGTTTGGAAACAACCTTGAAGTTACGGGTTGTAGAGGCCGGCGCGTCTATGAGGCTGATACATTAGGTACATGTACAGTATGATATATGATACTTGACACAGCCAACCAAAGAAATCGATTACGTTTTCATTTACATTTCACGTAAGGTACGCATACTCCATCCTCCATTAGTTACTCCAGTCTTCAGTACGGATCCATTTGTTGTTCCACACAAGCAACCTGGATCCGGTCTCGGCGAGAGGAACGGAATGGTTTAGTCTTCACACAAAGATGAAACCGAAACCGGCGACTATGCCTCATGCCTCATGCCTCATGCTTCACGCCTCACGTCTACGGAGTAATGTTGTGTTGCATCGAATTCTGTCTGGATTATGGATGCTACATTCTCTATGGAGTGCCCTTCTGAGACGCAAACATCCCCCTTCTCCCTTCTAAGCAGACAACTGAATCTACGCCTACACTACACATATCAGTCTGCATTGGCATGATATCGACCAGTCGTGCATGCATTCTGATTGAACCAACACCATCTAATTGGTGTCTATCTCTCTCCTCTGCATGAGCAAGTGTTCCTGATCCGAGAGTCTGTCCTTTGAACATCGGTTGGCTCCAGACTCTACCTTTGAACAACGTCTTTGGTCGGTCGTTCAAGCCTATTCCATCATCTTGATCACTGTTTGGTGCCTTGATCACCCTTTGGCAAACCTAAACCTCTGCACACCACGCACCACCTCGCCATGAATTTCAAATATCGACCTCTCCCTCCCATCCAGACCCAGATCCAGGAGAAATCAAAATCGAACCCCCAATCTACCCGGGAGTCAGTCGACTCATCTTCCACGTTGGGTGATGATCTGGACCACTTGGATTTCGAGTGCACAAACCTAAACGGCGTTGATGCTTCAGAATCAATCATTTCCAGATCACTCCTGAGAGTACGGACTTCGAGCTGCGCGTGGCTATGGCTGATGCATGCGGCTCTGTTCGCTGTATCGTTGACACTGTTCATACTGGCCGTCATGGTCAGATCGTCGACTCTCAAACATGTCCGCGACTTCTCTGCTTGGTGTAAGTTGCTGAACTTGAGGCTGATCATATACGAACACGAACATGCTTTACCAAACAATGAACCATTCAAATTCGTGGCCGAACCATGCTAACTCTAGACTGGAACAGCTCCCGCCGCGACGGCAATTCAGTACCAGTCGGTCAAATACAACATCTCGACGAAAGGAAATCGGTTTGTCGGCGCCGGTCCGAAGGTCGACCAAGCCTGGCGCGAAATTTCCTACGATAGTAAGTTGAGTTGAACTGCCGCTGTTCGAATTGCTTTGAACTGCATTCGAAGGAGAGTTTCTGACCTCTCAACAGTGGGTGATCAATGGATCTCCAAAGCCGATATTCGGAAACTCGGCATGCCCGAGACCTCGCTGAAGGTCCATCACCCTCAGACGGGCGAGGATGGATATCGTGTGGGCATGGAGGCTTTCCACCAGCTTCACTGCATTAATTTGTTGCGAAGGGTCACGTACAAGGAATACTACGAACCCTTGGGCGGGGAGTTTGGCAAGGGCCCGGAGGAATTGCAGAAACATACAGGTATGTTGGTGCCTATTCCCTTTTCCCTTTATGGAGAAATATTTGCAAAACATTGGAACGTGCCATGCAATGCAATGTACCCGGGGTCATCATGGCCAGGGACAGGGATGGGACAAATGTGTTTGGGAAAGAGACTGAGCTGACTGACGCCCTCATCTCATTTATAGATCACTGTATTGAGGTTCTCCGCCTCAACACACAGTGCAATGCCGACATCGGTCTGTTTACATTCTACATGATTGACGGAGATCCTCTGGCCTGGCCGGAACTCAATTCAAACCACGTCTGCCGGAATTTCGACCGAGTTCGACAATGGGCGACTGAGCACTCGGTCGGAAACATGGAAATCTTGTCGAGTTGAGTTCTCTCAAATGGAGTTGGAATCAATATCAGTGTCAGTGTCAATATCAATCAGTGCGTTGCTTGACATGATGTCTTAGCAAGTCTCTGTCCATCTATCGTCTTCCTCCGGTACAAGTAGAATAAGACAAGTACAAACTGTTCTCTTCCCTCGTAGGAGTAGAATAGGACATGTACGAACTGTTCTCGTTCTGGAATTACACTACCACTACCACATACCATAGTGCTGTCCAGCATCCAGCTCGCACTACCACTATGGGATCCGTCGAACACACTCAAGTCGAGTCTGTGCAAAATCTTGGTGTCGTTAACAATTGACCGTCCGTTAGATCACAAATCACAGCTGCTCTCTCGCTCGCTACAAGGCTGGAGAGAGTTCCGTGTCTTTTTTGTTCACGCAATTTCCAACTTCTGCCTCCTATAACGTTACTCATACTATGCGCAGAACGAAGAACGAGCACTGGTTTCTAACCTAACCTGCGGCGTGGTTAGGGTTTCGAATGACTAGGCTTGCTGTAGCTGTAGTCGAGCTGGCTACTAAGGGAGTTACACTAACTAGCCCCTAAGCCCCTAAGCCCTAGCAGGAGCCTGAGCCGCCTGAGCCTTAGGTTGCCTGGCCGTGTGAAACTTTAGAGGCGTCTGGGGAACGATAGGCGAGGGGGGTTCCATCATGTCCACTAACTCTAGGTGCGACGGGATATGTGGGGGATACTGTACGTAGTAATTACAGACTACTGTAGATTGTGGTGCCTGCCAAGGCCTAGGAGGCTTTCGTAACCCTACCAGTCGCCCACCAGTCGCCCACCAGTCCTTGGGCGCTACCAAGTTGGAAACCGGAAACCCACTTCCCCATATCCCCATCAAGACTCAAACACTACACGACACACCTCTACTGAGCGAAACGAAACGGAACGAAACTACCGACTGTTTACGCCAAACGGTCCAGGCGTTGCAAGCCTCTGAAAGCATGGTGCCGCCCGCAAGGTACAGTCTGCAGTCGCAGTTTGCAGTCTGCGGCGTCGGGACCAGTTTCAGTTTCAGGATGGGCCTCCTGCACTTGCACTTGCACTGCGTTGGGGTTGTTTGAAGTCTTTGTGGAGGTGCGGTGGTGTTCCTACAAGTTGTCTCGGTCTCTTTTTCCTTTCTTTCCTTCTTGTTGCATCATTTAACAGGATTGGACTTGCAAGCATCGTCCTCAGGCCGTTCGTTAACGATAATTATCCTTTACCCATCAAACACCCCCCAACCGCAATCAGCTTCAACATGGCATTCCGAGCGAGCGACGAAAGCCGATATCCCATGCTTTCCAATAGAAGATCCGAAGACGAAGAGGAAGACGAATTCGAGGATCAAGACATTGAAGATCACCGGTCCGATGTCAGCAAAGGTTCTTCAACCACGTTATACGAAATCACCGGATTGAAACAGAAACAGAAACCGTCGTCAATCTCCAGTCGGGCAAGCCAAAAAGACAGGTTGACTTGGATACGGTGGGCCGCTATGGTGGTATTGCAGAGCTTGATTATTTTGTTACTGTTGGGCCGAGACATGTGGCCCAGCAGGGGAGAAAGAGATAGAGAAACGGACCCGGTGTTGAAGGGAAAGGTGGTCGAGACGGGAGGAGATATCAATGGACTCTACAAGACAGGTCAGTACTGAAAAGCTACATCCAGTAGTACATCCGCTCTTTAAAGCCAGCTAGCTGAACGGTTCTTGGCCCATTCAAACTCAAACTCGATCGACGTGTTGTGTTGACGTTGGTATCATGCAGTATCACACACATATACCTTCTTGAAGCCCGAGGCTGAGAAATTCATTCCGAACATGACAACCAATGAAGATCGGATGACGGTGCGGAGGAACTGGGATCTGTTGATGCCTTGTAAGTTGTTACATTCTGTTTCATTTTCATTCATCATCTTCATCTTGCACCAGCACACCACACGACGCATGGGTCGGTCAATCCTGACTTTGAGCCGTCTTGAGTCCATCATAATGCTAAGACGGCCCTAATCTGATACTTTGCTGGCTCTACGCTCTGCTAATTCTGTTCAGTGGGAAGCGGCAGTGTGGCAATCCCCGAATATCGCGATCACCCTCTGCTTGGAGACCCCATCACGGACGATCCGATCCGGTCGGGTCCGATCTTTGAAGCTTCGTGGACGCACGCACTACATTGTGTGAGTACTTTATAGCATTAGCACATTAACCCCTAACTTCAATGCACATTACCACCTTACTCATTACCATTACCCACCTCACCTACCTATGTATGGCGATTGTGGACAGAGAGGGTTAGGCTACTGTACATTCACTAACTCAGCCCCGGTGCACGACACAATTAGTTATATTACAGTGTCGACAGTTACCATCAGCTCATCGTCAATGGGCGCAGTGACTTTGACAACCCCGTGCATGCAACGCATTGTTTTGAATACCTGAGGAACAGCATCCTGTGCAACCTCGACATGACGCTGGAAGGCTCCATGTCCACCCCTGCCGACAAAGACAAGGGCCAGCCACATGTCTGTCGGAACCGACAGGAAGCCATCGACTGGATAGAAGCCAGGAGACTAGATGATTTACAGGATATTGTCGGGCCATGATAGAAGAGAAATACAATCGCGTCCTGTCTTGTCACAAGAGTAACGATCCACTGTCCTGTCTTGTCACAAGACCAACGATCCAGGGGCAATGATCAATGGCCGATGGCCGACAATATCGCCTCGAAAGGGACCTGAGTCTCCTCCAGTCGGTCGGTCGGTCGGTCGGTCAGTCCACCTCACCCCCGCTCACTGAAGTCTCTTTCTGCGTAGTAAAGTAGTCAATCAATTCAAGCCAGATGCCGAAGCCGAGGCCGAGCCCGTACAGAATCATCCATTGTGATTGATGTTTGGCCTTAAGCCGTAAGAAAGGAGTGAGTGCCACTACAAGCTTGGTGCCTCACGACATAGAGAAACTTGAACATTACCTAGGTACGTATCTACTAGGTACATGGTACATTCCCGCACGTGATGTGATATTGCTATGTGGCATTGTGATGTAGTGTCGACTGTCAGGTGTCGAGTGCTTCTGCTTCGCTGTATCGAGTGCTTCTGCTTCGCTGCCATAGCCCAGAGCACCTACTAACTTATAGGTAGGTCTGCCTGCCTGCCTGAAAAGCACCCTCGCCCACACTCTGGCCTTCGAGGGCATCTGGGACCTGAAAAAGATATTGACCTGTCGAGTAAATCGCCTTGATTTCTGGCACCTACCCCTGCCCCATCGATCTATGTTTCCCAAACTGCCCCAGCCTCCTCCAACAGTCTCACTATCGGTTCATGGCCATTTACTAATGCTACCTCCAGTGCACTATCATAACGTCCTCCTCGAGCATTAACATCTGCCCCGGCAGCCAGGAGCAGCTGCACCACCGCAACATTACCACGGATTGATGCTGCGTATAGTGCGTTGCTAAACGTTCCTCCTTGAGCATTGACATCGATGCCTTGATCCATCATCCTGTCCACAACTTCTGTCACTCCTGCGACTGACGCATAATAAAGCGGTGAGCCTAGATCATCCGGCTCATGCCAGGGCCTGAACCGTTGCCCGTCCCATGAGGTTTCAATGTCGTAAAGTTGTAGCCATGGCCGTAAACTCGTCTCCTCACCCGTCAAGAACAATACCGCGAGATCCAATAGTGGCTTGCCAAGTACACCATCGATCATCCGTGTGTGCTGCCACCAATGCTCTGCTGCATAGTCAGCCATCGGATACTCGTGAACGACCTCTTCGCTTAGAGGTCCGTTCTGGAAAAGGTGTAGTAAATAATGTAAACAGCCCTCCCCAATGGCGCGGTGGCAATGACATGCTTCGAATTCCGGCCTTAGGCTACATCGATCCGATAATAGAAACTCCTTTACTGAAAAATGGGCCAGCCGAACCTGGATCTTAGTGTCATCCTCGTCAGTCACATCCTTGTCAGTATCGCTCTCTGAACCACGGTTGTCCTTCACAGCAGGAGAACTTAGGCTGATGAAGCTGGAACAAACAACCATGACATCTCTAGGATCGGGCAGGCGGTCTTGTGGGTCGAATCCACCCTCACCCTGATCCTGGATTGCAATAATTTCGACTATCTCTTCCAGTAGGAGAGGACGCATGGAGAAACATAGCCATCTCAAGACTTTGATAGCGTCCTGTAGCTGATCAGCCCCTTCGAGACCTTGTAGAATTCGACTATATGTCTCATCCAGGGTCTTGGGTAGGGACGACAGAGTCTTTCGGAGGGTACTCAGTTTGATGCACTGGCGAATAGATGCTAGCTGACAAAAGACCCATCGAAACCTGCACCACGACCATTAGCACATGTGCATATACCAGTCGGAAGGTCATCCATACATGCCACCCGCCTTTTCCATTAATGCAGCCGTGATTTCATTCTGTACCGATGGTGGCCACTTCTTCAGCTTTTTGTCTGTGGCCATCCGATCGCGAATATAAACTCGAATATCGATATCAACCAGGGCGCTTTGGATGTCGATGCAGTGGTTTGCCACTGAATGCAACTCGTCCTCGATGTCTCTCTCTCGACGACTGGTGGCTAGGATACGGAGCTCTGATGGTGTTGAGTCACTTAGGTCGCTGATAAAGATCAACAATTCTTCACGGTCTGTACATTCATCCAGTGCGTCAAGAAGAATATACTTTGGCCTTGGACGAGCCAGTACCTCCCAAAACAATGATCTGATCCGGTCTTCAGGTGGCTGCTGGTGTCCATTGCGGCAATCTTGATGTAGTTTTTGGAGATCCTCAAGGGCTCGGGAGTCCTGCAGAGCGAACTGAAACAGTAATGATCGGATCGCCTTTCTGGAAAGCTGCTTCTCGGCATCGTTGAAGTCGAAGTAGAAGTAGCTCACCATAACGTCGGGCTGAGATTTCTGCTGCTGGAGAATGTCATGTAGCGCAGCGGCACTATTCCATCCGTCAGCCCATCAGCCGTACATACTAGTGCTCTGTAGAAACATCACTTTGATCGAGCTTACCTCAAGACAGTTTTGCCACAACCCGCTGCGAGACATGGTTAAACTTGTCCATTCTCTAAAACATTGCGACGTACCATTGCCGTGGAGCCACATCAAAGAAAACGGCAAGCATTTCCAATCAGCAAAATCTTGACCGTCAACTAACCACCGCCCCGTCTCCGGGTGCCGCTTCTTGAGCGCCGCATGATAGTTGATGGATGGGTCCGGTATGTTCAACCACCGTGATAGTCTGCTCTGCGTCTCCTCTGGTGCATGCAACTTAGCTCTACCTATGTAGGAGGAATCATAGAACTCACGATTCGCAAATGTATGTATCTGCGTTGTGTGATTGTAAAGTTGCACTGTTTGTTCTCTCATCTCAAGGATTTCGCTGTGAATCGCCTTCGACAAGGTCCTAGTTGTAGAAGTAATCATTAGGCTCTGAATAAAGGTTGGGAGTTTTCCTGTCCTTTAAGTCGGCCTGGCGTAGGCGACGACTATATGGGTAAGCAATATAATTGAGGCTGGGGAAGGCTCCAAAGTCAAAGTGCACCTACGTCAAGTCATCTGTCAAGGCACTGTTGACTAGTGACTTCAGCCGCTCCATTCGAGTCAATATATTTTCCACCTCCTTCTTTGTGAATGTCCAGAACAATGCCGTCCTGATCTGATCTCTTTTCCTGGTCGAGGCCAGTTTTGTCACCAGTATCTCCAGAAACCCTTTAAACTAGTGGGCCATTTTCAGTTCCTAGCAACTTCACTTGGGTAAACCATGGATCGTTGGGTTGGGCTCCCTCTACTCGAGAGTGCAATCTGGTCAGAAATCCGTAAAGATTTTCGGGCTTCAGCCGCCACCTGCTCCTGCTCTTTTGTTGCATTCCCCGCGTCTTTAATATAGCTGATCAACGTTGATGTGGCCTGCAGAACAGCAATAATGCTAGCTGTCATTGATAGAGGATCCATCGTGCTACTTGTGGGGATTACGGGCGGTCCACAGCCGCCTAAGAATCGCCCTAAAAGGTTTGACTTCCGAGATTCTCGACCTGTAGTTGATATCTTGATATTCGCGAGGCGGCCGCCAGCGCCGTAACAGCTACAGCTGGGTACGGAATAAGGGCTCTTGAGGTCGGCGGCTCGATCGAGGGTATCGTTGGGAAAGAAAAGGAGGGAAGGACCAGGCAGAGGTTCACGGTGAGTTCAAGAATGGACCGGCAGGAGGGATTGGATTCCCCGCACGATCTGCGCTCTCTGTCCGAAATCTTTGTTTATGGTGGATATTGATGGTAGAGGGAGGAGTCTTTTGGCAAAGAAGAGTGCTTTGAGGCTAGAGGGTATTGTCTCAGGCCGAAGATAGGTGGACGATATGGTGGCATTGAGGCTGTAATACGGCTGTGTTGAGCGCAGGCAGGCCGCAGCATACGGTACAGTACAGCACAGAGGCAGACCTTAGTAGCGCATGTGACTTGGCCTACACCTACTACCTGCACCTACTACCTACTACCTATTACAGAGGACGGACAAATATCCTAGACCATGAGACCACGCTCCAATTGGCTGGAGACTATTGAGCCCAGCCCAAAGACGGCTTAGAAGTAATGGCTTGAATTGTAACGTCAAGGTAGGTACATATACGACTTCTATGAATTAGTGTCCGACTGTTGAGCCAGATCAAACCAACGACGATGTCTACTACATCCGCTGTGTTGTGCTGCAGCCGAAACACGAGACACGAGACACGTCCTAACCAAGAACCCTGAAGCCTGAAGCCTGCGTACCCACAAGCGAAGCGAGAAACTACAAGCCTTGCCTCTAATGAGTCGGGCTCAAGACACCGACGTATCAGAAGATTGTGCTGTGTTCTGGGTGTGAGGATGGTCGCCTTCCACTTCCTTAGGTTGACGGCGGTCAGCGCCCCAGACGACATCGAGGACATTGCACCGCGAGCGAGCTTGTCGGCAGGCCGCCTCATTCAAGCGCTCGAATTCACTATCGAAGGAAGATAATATCAGTATCAGGATTAATCTGGACGATGCCTTGTCTGAGTGGGAGTGGCAGTGCGAGTGGGAATGGGAGTGGGAGAAACGAAACCCGAGTGTAGTGGGAGTGGGAGTTAAAATGGGAGAAAAAAGCCACATACAACTCATCCTTCCTCTTCTTGACCTGAAAGACTTGATATTCCACTTTATCGACGTCGACGTCCGGGGAAGTCTTGCTATACAGATCGAGAACGATATGCATCATGGGGGATTCGTTTGGGGCCATGAGATGGGAATGGAAATCGGCCGAACGGAAATCCACCGGAAGGAAAGATTCTGGACCAAATAATCGGAAGAATCGATCGAGGATGGCGATCTCTTCACGGACGTGGGCCTGATGGAACCGGAAAACAAGTCGTCTTGGATTTTTGGTGTTTGTGTTTGTGTTGGTGTTGGTGTTTGTGTTGGTGTTGGTGTTTGTGTTGGTGTTGGTGTTTGTGTTGGTGTTGGTGTTTGTGTTGGTGTTGGTATTTTCCGAGTCCATGATAAGAGTGAAGAGTGAAGAATGTATGCTATGTGATGTATGATGTATGAGCAGAGTAACCGAGCAACCCTCCGGCTGTGGTAGTGAAGAGAGAAGAGTGTATGATATATGAACGGAAACAGAGTAGCCCTCCGTTCCGGACTGTGGTAGTGGTAGTGGTAGTGGTAGTGGTAGTGGTAGTGGTACTGTTGTATCAGCAGAGCAATCCTCCAGGCTGAGGTAGTGGTAATGGTAGTGGTACTGGTACTGCACAGAACAATCCTCCAGGCTGTGGTAGTAGTGCTGTGATAGTGGTGCTGTGATAGTGGTATCGTATGCGCAGAGTAACCTCCAGGCTGTCGTAGTGGTGCTGTGAGAGTAGTACTGTGAGAGTAGTGCTGTGATAGGGGTGCTGTGATAGGGGTGCTGTGATAGTAGTGCTGTGATAGTAGTGCTGTGGTCGTGGCGCTGTGGTACTGCTGTGCTATGATGTGACAGTACTGCTGTAGTAGACTTTGAGTTACCACGTTCGTATACTCAAGTTATCTTATGTATGTATTGCCAGCTGTGGTGTCGTCAATTACCTCAATAAGTCGGTGAACAGGTATTCATATTTGGTGTTTGGTGTCGCCAAGGGCAGGTCAATGGCTACCTAGGAAGAGACTCCTAATGCTAACGGTAGGGTTTTACTGCCGAGCCAATCGCCAACCTGACCTTGAATTGAATGGCAGAAGACTGACTGACATCAACATCAACATCAACATCAATCGACAATCGACAATCGACAATCGATGTGGCTTGGGGGGCTTGCCCTAGCTATTCAAGGTGACTGTGAGCACTTGATCCATTACGTTCCTGGCATAACCCTAACCCTAACCTAACCCTAACCCTGAGGTGTCCGGTCGTGACTAAAGAATATGTTATAGTACTACCTTAGGTAGTACTAGTAGATTGCAGCACGAACATAGTGTAGTGTAGTGTAGTGCCGAGTATTGATGTTCCAAAACACGAACGACACACAGGGACACTGGACAGACTGCAGTCCAGTCCATCAACGACATAAGCCATACGGATGAATAGTATCGCAAGCGCAAGTGGGTGGGCCTAGGTAGGTAGGGAGCTGGATTGGATTCCTGATGGTCAACTAGAGAGACTCTGCTAGTATACTACCTACCTATATACATCCCCAGTCCTTGCGCCAGACCCAGACCCAGCCCAAGCCAGCCGCCACAGTAGCCCGCCTGATGCCATTGATGCAATACCTGAACACTGAGCACTAAACACTGCTCGGTCGCGAACGATTTTCTCCAGCACCGCGATGCATTCTTCAGGAAGCCCAGCTGAATACTTCTTCGTCGAATAGAGCGGATGCCTGATGACTATGACTGAACAGTCCTTGATCAAATGTAATGGAATGGATGCTCGTTGAAAGTATATGGTACACAGGACACGGGACACATCATCAGGAACCCTTACTCCGCGACCCAGACGGCGGCCATGCCCCTGTTGAGAAATGTACGCGTTAGCAAGAGATCCGTGGAAGCTGAGCTGAACTGAACTGAAATGACTGAACTAACGTTGTGAGAGGATAGGGGAGGAGACGAGAGAAGAGGAGAGACTATGAATGAATGAAACATGAAAGTCGGCGTGGACTGGACTGGGCGATAGTAAACAATAAACAGCCGATAACAAAACACTCCACACCACAGACAGCTAGCTGCTCAACAAACAACGCTCTTCACGCGACACCAAATAGAGCAAACGGCATAATGCAGAAGAAGTCGACACCATACAGAACAGCGGCAAGATCAAACCAACACCAAGGAGAAGAGAAAGCAAACTCGACAGCCACCAAGAACAGACGACAAAATCAACAGACATAACAGAAGCCAAGCCAAAAAGTCAATCGAATATAATAGTTCGGTAGGAGCGACAATAAAAGTGAGAGGGAGATCCAGACAAACAAGCAAGGATGGAATTGACTTACATTCCTGTTCCCACACACATACTCGTGACACCAATCTTCTTGCCCGTCCGCTTGAGCTCGGTGAACAGCGTACTGACCTGCCTGGCGCCGGTGCAGCCCAGCGGATGGCCGAAAGCAATGGCGCCACCCTTGGGGTTGACCTTTTCCAGCGGCAGGCCGAGTTCCTTGACGCACCAGACAGCCTGGCTGGCAAAAGCCTCGTTGATCTCGTAGATGTCGACGTCGTCTTTGGACACGCCAGCCTTGCCGAGCGCCACGGGGATGGCTTTCCACGGGCCGATGCCCATCAGCAAGGGCGGGACGCCGACGACGGAAGCCGCAACGAACTTGCCCAGCACCGGCTGGCCCAGGCGCTCGGCGGTGCTGCGCTTCATCAACAACACTGCGGCCGCGCCGTCCGACACCTGTGACGCGTTGCCCGCGTGGATCGAGCCGTCTTTGGCAAACGCCGCGCGGATCTTGCCCAGTGACTCGGCCGTGATGCCCGGTCGGACGCCGTCGTCTTTGCTCACCGTCACCGTCTTGTCCTCGCCGGTCTTGGGGTCCGTGTACTGAACCGTTACGGGGGCGATTTCCTCGTCGAACAGGCCAGCCTGCTGCGCCTTCAGGGCCTTTTGATACGAACTGGCCGCAAAGGCGTCTTGGTCCGCCCGAGAAATGTGTCGGTCCTTGGCCATTTGCTCCGACAAAACGCCCATGGGGACCTTGCAGTTGGCCGCTTCGAGGTGGTTTTCCAAGAGATCCGAGAACTCCGTGACCGCGCCAGGCCCGTACTGTGACGACATGCTCTCGACCCCAGACCCGATGCCGATGTCGATCATGCCCGCCTTGATCGCGTTGGCAATGTCCACGCACGCCTGCAGGCCGCTGGAGCATTGTCTGTTCAGACTCTTGACCGCCGTCGTCACGGGGAACCCGGCCGCCAGTGCTGCCGCTCGGTATTCCGTCGCGCCGCCGCCGGGCGCGAGTACGCAGCCCGTGGCAATGTCCTCCACCAGGTTCGGGTCGATGCGTGACCGTTCAAGGAGGTTCTTCAGCGTCAGAGCGAGTAGGTCCGCCGCCGCCGTGTCCTTGAAGAGCCCTTTGCCGCCTTTGGTGAAGGGCGTCCGCAGAGCGCATGTCACTACGACGTCGTCGGGTGATTTGTTTAGGATGGAAGATTTGGAATCGGACTCAGGCGACCCGCCGAGGTGTGACGAGACTTGGGAAAGCCGTTCTTGGGCTTTGTTGGGCGCTGGGCATGTCAGCAACGCTCGAGGACTGTATAAACGCTCTTGGACGGCTCGCTTACCTTGAGCCATGTTGGGAAATGACGCGTTCGGCGGAATCGAGGTTCAGAATTGGCAGGTGATACTAGGAGGGAAGCCGGCGGAATCGAAGTTCAGAAGAGACAGGGGATACTAGGAAAGGAGGGAAACCGAATATTGCCTGGCCTGCGTCAAGAAGAGAGAATACAGCAGAGACAAAGAAAGGCGAGCGGGAGAAAGAAAAGTAAAGTGTTTTATGATGGATGGGATGGATCACAAGTCACAAGGGAGGGTTGAGGGTTGAGCTTACTGATTACTTGACACTTATGGTTTGTCTCTTCATGTGAGTGTCCTGTGCCACCGTGGACCGAGGCAACCGTATGACTTCATCGGAGTCTGGGAAACGCACATGCCCAATATTTAATAATACGGAGGAGCACAGAGGTAGCTGGACCAATTGGTTAGATAAGATAAGGACGACACATCATCATTCCGTCGACGGTCAGTAAGCATAGTACTTTCTTCGCGAATGCCGACATATCGCCTCTGGGTACACAAGACAAGCATACATGCTTCGAGTTGGATCTAGGACGCTTAAGTCGCCTTGCTTTCCGGATCAGGGCAGTTTTGGCGGACGAGGAGTCTTCCTTCTGGGCTCAAGTCATCGAAATTAGGAAAGTGGAATTGTTAGAGGAGTTTTTCGACCTATCGAGCAGGGGCGGTGATGTTGCTGATGGAACAGAGGCTGCAAGTAGAGTCCAGTCGACCCCGGCTCTGGGATAACACCAAGGACTCGTACAGCAGCCGCGTCTAGATTGAACCTGTACAGCTTCGTCAGCCTGATCTGAGCCCGCAAAATTTCTGCACATCTTAGCTGGGCTGGAATCATTCCGCTGAGTCCGATGTCGATAATGCTGTCGTTTGTATGTATAGCTGTCCTATCCAGTCTTGAGCCTAAGGAACCTTAGCTAGCACTACAATACCATACTCGCCCCCAATTTTACAGAGGTAGGTCGACAGATTGGTCAGATAAGATAAGATTGACACAGATCAGATTGCCGAAATGCACATATGCATGCATGTGCAATAAAATACAAGGATCCTGTCTCCCTGTCTCCCTTCCAACTCAATGATGGCCCAGTGGTATCATCGCTTGCTTTTGATCATCCTGCCCCTATGCCCTGAAATTCATCATATCTGTCAGCGTCACCATATCTGACTCCCAAACCATGCAACAGTTCTACCTTGACTTCCATCACCCATACCGAGTTTGACGGGACAACTGGAGGGGTCACCGTGGCGGAAGGCATGGCCTAATAGCCATCTTTCGACAAGATCTTTGCCGTCATCGCGTCGTCGCAGCATTAGCATCCCTAACTAAACACTTTTGACCAGGGTCTAGGATTCGTCATCTTGACAGACCACCACTTCCGCTGTGGGATACGCCTATTGCCAGTGGTGCCGTCCCCCTTGCCCCGAAGCATGGACCGAGGAGTACTCGGTCGCTGATGGTCGGCGTTCAAGTGGTCGACACTGAGGTCAGACTCGAGCCATTGTCGCTGCTGCTTCCAAACGCCGAGTGCTTGTCGTGCATATGCCTGTTCGTCATGGTTCAGGACATATGCGTGAAAGCATGTGGCTACATATCATCACGCAGGTGGTCAGTTCCATCTCGTCGCCAGGGTGCACATAACAGATATTCCACCGCACTTACGATCGAAGCTTGTCCAGATATCACAAATGCTGATCTCCTGCAGTCCCCTCATGGTCTGCTGCACTGCGCCAGCCCTGACTTTCCGGGTGCGTGAGTATAACTTCAGCCGCTCTTCCACCTCACGGGCGACAAGCCCTGGCTCCAAGAGGACGCCTAACGCGACTGCGTCCTCCAGTGCCATGGCAATTCGCTGGCCACAGTAAGGAGGCATGGGGTGTGCCGCATCTCCAACCAAGGCCAGCCGGTGCTTTTGAAACGTATCCAATGGGTCCATGTCCCAGATAGGTTGGTCTAGCAGGTCTCGGTCGCGGATCTTTTCCAGCACCGCGATGCATTCTTCAGGGAGCCCAGCCGCGAGACGCAGCATTTTCGTCTTGCTCGAGGGATCTCTCCAGTCTTTACTGAGGTTCCTGAACCCTGTTGAATCGTCGTAAAAGAGTTTGATGCACACCACCTGATCGTCGGCCGCTGGGTAAACCAGAAGGGTCTTATCCTGGTAGTGATAAGAGTGTGCCTGACCCGAGGACATGAGGAACTGGACGGTTCGAGGGTCATCGATAAGCCTCTCCCGGGGTACCATGGCTCGGAAGACGTGTCGTTTCAATCGGAATCGCTCCGTTTTTCCGTTGAACACGAACGACCTGCAGACCGAGTGCACCCCATCCGCGCCTATGATGACGTCTCCATGTGCTTCAGAACCGTCGGCAAAATATATGACCCCATTGGCCGGATCCAGTCGGCAGACCTGTGTCAATGAATGGAACTCGACTTTAGGTCCAGAGCGTCTGCTATCATCAACATCTAGGGCTTCCCAGAGTGCGGTGAACAAATCTTGATATGTTGCATTGTGCCAGGGCTAGATGAGATGCCAACCCAACCACGTTAGCAAGCCCAACAAACTACCTATACTCTGCCGGGCTCAGGAGTCTACCCACCCAGGTTTTTGTGTCGAAGTCCACTGTGTTGTCCTGCACAGTGCCGTCTGCGTGTATCTGTGATCGTTTGATCTGGGATGCGGGTTAGCGGCGACGGGCATTGCGTCTGCTTTGCACCCAAATTCACCACTGACCTGCTGGACTCGGGTTGCGCGAACTCGGGCCAAGTCCACTCCTAGCATCTGGAGCGCGGAGAGAACATTGGGGAAGACTGTGACTCCCGCGCCCAGAGTGTCGTGAACGAGTGTCTGCTCGTAGACCTGTGGCACCACCTGGTGAGTCTTTCTCCTGGTGACAATGAGCGCGTCACTACATAGTACCTTGACGGAATGCCCTTGCGACCGCAGTGCCAGCGCCGTTGCCAGGCCACCGATGCTTCCACCCACAACTAAAACTTGCAGACCGGGCATACCGCTGTGGCGTCGGTAACCGGTAACCGTGAACCGTGAACCGTGAACCGTGTTGACTTGAGCAACCGCAACGCTCGGGAACGATCCTCCACGCAGAGTCGGGTGGCTTCTTGCTTCCAACGCTCGAGAACGATCCTCGACGCAGAGTCGGGTGGCTTCTTGCTTCTCAGCTTCGAAAACCAGAGGTCACCTACCACGGACCATAGGATAATGTCCGACGGTTCGAAGGGTTTCTTTGCGGCGCACTATAAACCCACGTTCCTGAGGTCCAAGGCGATGTTTGTGACGTAAATCAGAGTCGGGTTTCCGATATCCCCAGCTCTGAGGTGGCCAAAACATCTGTTCCCCAACAATGCTGGACTCTGGACTCTGGGCTCGCGGCTGGCTCGCGGCTACTATTGAATTCCGCAAGACAGGTATGCAAGGATTCAATAGGTTGTCTGTGCACGGACGCTGTCATGGCGAGTCGAATTCAATCTGACAACGCTCACGCCACATCGCACGTTCTTCAACGAGCCCAACCCTCTGCGACTTGCTGCGAGCATGGACCGTCTTTTCTTAGGAAGTGTACTCGTACTGGCATCAGCAGATGAACTTGACGGAAGACTGGCAGGAACTCGACAGCCAAGGTGCAGTTAGTCACCTAACATGTCCCGAATCCGAGTTTCAAACCAACAGGGCTGTCTGGTACCTTGCCTTACCAACTATTCGAATCATTGGCGTTGCGCGAGCGGTTCAGGTTACGGTTGTAGATGGTCAGTCTGCTCTCGGGTGTGGTCTAGCCGATGACCCGTCTGAGACCACGTTTTCCGGAGACTAGTCTGACATCTTTTCAAAGCCTTTCTTCTACAGAACTGGTGAATATCGAACTCTGGTCAAAACCATCGGGTCAATGGCATCGGCTAGGCGGGAGAGGTCATGTCTGTGCAATTCTGGGGTACATCTGCAGAGGTATTGATATTGATCCATATTGGGAATCGAACGGCGCTGGTTGATTCTCGATCTGGATAACATGGAATTGATATTGTGGGCGTGCACTGTCAGTGTGCAGTACTGGACTGAGTGGTTTTCAGCCTGCCCCTAGTTGGGCTGTGCCTTCATCCTACCCCTAGTTGGACTGTGCCTCGCTTTGAATGGGGAGCATTGTTCGGACGGGGGCCTGCGCACCTGTCACCGTGGCACAAGCCACCTCACCCCTTCATTTTTGGGGTGGAAGGGACGGATGTGTTCCGAAGAAGGATCAGAGTTCAAGATACTGGGCAGGCGTTTCTCGTCTGTCGCTTATCGCCCGACTTTCGGTGTCAGGCTGCGCCACGTGGGCTTAGGCTATTTCATGGGATTGTTGCAGGCTCGTGGGCCCTGGCTAGGTGTCTTGAGAGAGGCAAGCATAGGGATCGGCTGATCGTGGCGCAGGAGGTCGGGAATGCACCTCAGTGCCTATCAATTAATTACTGCATATATTAAGAGAGCGTGGGTGCGCCTCGGCCCCTTTACCCTCTAAGGTATGTATAATACCTCCTACAGGTGCAGTGACGAGGTAGTATGTACGGAGTATTCCGTCCTGTGCGGTACATATATCTACCTAGGTACTACCTAGGTAAGGTACCTGTCTGACTTACTATAGGTAGGTAGGAACATAGGTATGTATCACCTAGAGCTTCCTTGGCCGTTGCAGGAGGTTCGAACGGAGAAACCCAACTGGTGCTTTTGATCCCCGGGCTGAAGAGGTAGCCTAAGGCTTGATGCCGACGCCATAACCTAACCCTCCCAAGCCTTACTACGTAGTAGGACACCCCAACCCCTCTCCCGCCCACGGAAGCATGGCCTTAGGAACCGGGTGTGGTGTGTACACTGGGTGCTGGTACACTGCCATAGGGCCAACCGTCGGCCAACAGTCGAACAGTCCAAGAGTCGTGGGATAGCGAGGCTCAGGCTCAGGCTCAGGCTCAGGCTCAGGCTCGGTGTAACGTACAGTAATACTGATCTACAGAGGTGAGGGAGGATTGTTCCATTGACATTGAATCCAACCCGCCGTATGATTTGGATAACTCGGTCGTGCTGGTAATGTAAAGCATCTGTGCGTGCTCATACAGGTGGACTGGACTACATGAATACCTAGTAGCTTCGGTAGCATGAAGAAGGAGCCTCAGCCTCACTCCGAGTGTTTGTCGTGCACTCTCCTCGGCGTCGCCTTTAACCACATGCCCTTCTGCACAAAAACCCCGAAACACTTACTCTCAATCCCCCGACTTGGGTCTGCCACTGCCCAGCCAAAGTCTCGCAACAACACAGGAATGACTTTGTCGAGTTCGATCAAGGCAATGTGTCTGCCCAGACAACCGAAGCGACCACTGCCGAAGATCAACTCGAGGGTCGACTCCATTCTCGCCAGCCGAGTCTTGCCGTCTCCCCCCGCCCCAACACTGACGCCGTCCTCCCCGAGTCCCTGGTCGATGCTGGCCGCATGGGCTTTGCCGGCCTCCTCGGCGGCCTCCAGCCAGCGCTCGGGGCGGAATTGGTCGGCGTCCACGCCATAGATCTCCGTGCGTCGTTGCGTCGTGTAGGCATTGTGGCAGACTTCGATGCCGCCAGGGATGAAGACCCCATTGACCGTCTCCCCACCTGGAGGGGATAATTTGGAATTGAGGGCTTGAAGAGGTGGCCAGATGCGCAGTCCCTCCTTGATACAGGCCTGGACATAGGGCAGATGCTGGCGAGAGGCAGCCGACGAGATGGAATCGCCGAAGACGGACTCGTTGGCTTCAATCTCCTTGACGCACTTACCGTACACCTCCGGGTGTGTGATGATGTACAGCATGATCATGCGCACAGCGGTGGCAGTCGAATCACTCCCTCCCAGCACCTGCACCATCGCTTCAGACTCGGCTTCCTGCTGTGTCAAACCGTGCTTGATAAACGAGCCCAACATGTCCGGGTAGGCCTTGGCGTCCGGGGCATAGTGGAAGGCAACTGCCTTTGAAGCCATGCCCATCATTGCGCCCATGCCGTCGGCGTCGGTGATTTTGGGTCGGAACGGTGCCATGAGCACACTGTCAAGGATCCGCTGGACTGTAGGGATGTTGGCACCCAGCTCGAGGACCTGCAGGAAGTCGGAGACTTTGCTGATGTAGGAATAGACATCTCTATTCTGTGTGAGATAACCGACAGGAGCGGAGAAGGAAATGTGGGTCAGGACATCCAGGGTGAAGTACTGCGCGAAAGAACTAAAGTCGATCAGCTTGTTGTTGGAGCATTCGCTCCCAATCAGGGCCACGAGGTCGGCAATGCGGGCATCAATGTCAGCCTCGAGATTTGGCAGGTCTTTTCCGGAATACTGTCACAAACAGCCAATCAGTCAGCCCAGCCAGATCCGTCAACAGTGCAGCCATCCTCAGGGTGAAAACTTACACCGCGAATCAACTTCGACCGCAAGCTATTGTGCAGCTTCTCGTCCTTTTGCGAGAGAACGTTTCGGAGGGTCGGCTGGGTGGAGAAGGCATCATAGAAGGTGCCTCTCCGGAAATCTGAGCGAGGGGAACTCATATGCCGGAGGACGACGGGGTCATTGGTGACGACCTTGTCCGGGGAGATGCGCACGAAGGAGCCTGAGATCACAAATATCTTGGTCAGAGGTAAAGACTGCGGCGGGGAAGACGATGAAGCCGACCATGGTTTCGAAGCAATGCTGCATTGTCCTCATTCAGCTTGCCCGAGAAAGTGTGAAAGAAAAGCCAGGCTCCGGAAATTTTGGCCAGGAAAGGGCCATCGAACTGAGGGCACTTGCGGTAGTTCTGATAGCAGGTGAGCACGGTGTAGAGGACAAGGGCGGCCAGACCGATGAGCGAGAGGATGGCGACCGCCATATTCAAGCGGGGGATGTGGCTTGTGGAATGCGGGTGGGATGATTGTAGATCGATCAGACCAGCTTTCTGGACGTTGTTGACAGAGACTGTGACAAGGAGTGATTGAAGGACTAACCACAGGATCGATGATGACTTGCAAGGTACTGGACGGGGTACGCGATAGACATTCACCGCAAAAGGCACCCTGGCGGTGGCTTGAAGATAATCAGGTAGTGAAGAGCTAGAACGGCAAGAGTGGCATGTGCCATGTGAGCCGTGGAAGTGGAAGTCGACTGCTACACTACTGCAGTAGCCTCTATGCGGATGGTGGACTTCGTGTACTCCTGTCCTCTGTGGTCTGTCTCTGTGGTCTGTCGGCAGTGGTAGTGTTGTCGCCTTAGGCCCCGACACGGCACGTCTGGGGTGGTGGTGTCGGTGGCGCCCGTGGGGATTGACAATTGGCTGCGCGAGGAATGCGGGAGACACATCCCCGGCAGAAGAATCAAAGAGATGCGCAGCACCAGCAGTAGCATCAGAGGCTACTGTACCTACTCCGTGCTGTGCTGTGATATGCGCTGTCCGCCGGCCCCTTCCAGCCACCCACTTGGCCATCAACCATCCGGCCGATGCCAGGTCGAGACTCCAGAGTCAAGCCTCGACGCCGGAGGACTGCAGCACCAGCCCCTAAGCCGCCACTAGTCGAGACGATCGGGTAGTTAAGCGACAACATCGCCTCGTGGCGAAGCGGTCGGGTTCTTTGGCCTCTCCGTTCCCAGGAGGCGGAGGAACAATATAGCAATATAGCCCAGGACAAGTAAGTGACTGACTGCAGACTGGGAGTGCTGGCGCCCGCCACTGTTTACTCTGCCTCCTGCTCTCCGCTGCAAATGGCTTCTCTGGCCAACCCCGACGTCGAGGGCGAAGTCGAAGTCGAAGTCGATCATTCCGACGCGCGCTCCTCTGCCAGCGACTCTGATTCTGCCTATAGCGACACCGTCTGCTCAACTGAGTCTCTACGCTCGAGCATATTCGACCACGAGATCAAGCATGGCCGCACCTTCCACGCCTTCCACTCGGGCAAGTATGTCATGCCCAACGACGAGGGCGAGCAGGAGAGGATGGACCTACACTATCACGCGATGCGCCTGGCCATCGAGGACAAAATCACCCATGCGCCCATCACCAATCCCCACGGCATTCTAGACTTGGGCACGGGCACAGGCATTTGGGCCATGGATGCTGCCGACGCCTACCCGGAGGCTGAGGTGGTGGGCATCGACCTCTCGCCCATCCAACCCGGCTGGGTGCCGCCCAACCTGCAGTTCGAGGTGGCCGACGCCGATGAGGCCTGGGGGTTTGGTGAAGACCGCTTTGACCTGGTGCACACCCGCATCATGAACGGGTTCGGTGTCAGTAGCTGGCCGCACTTTTACCGCGAGGCCTTCTCCTGCCTGAGGCCTGGAGGCTGGGTGGAAAATCAAGAGTTTGACTGCCAGATCGTCAGCGACGATGCATCGCTGCCCGAGGACAGCACCATGGCTGAATGGGCCAAGCTATGGAACCAGGCGTGTGAGATGATCGGCAAGACGGGGAGATGCGATCCGCAGAAACTGAGGGATCAGATGCACGAGGCGGGCTTCATCAATACCAGAGTCATTCCCTACAAGATGCCCATCGGGCCGTGGCCCAAGGACCCTATGCTCAAGGAGGCCGGCAAGTTTGGGCTGGTGGCTCTGCATGCTGGGGTGTATGGCATGAGCGTGAGACTGTTCCTGGACGTGTTGGGCTGGTCGGAAGAGCGTCTCCAAGTCTTCCTGGCCGACTTTCGCAAAGACCTGGCCAGGAAGTCCATTCATGCCTATTGGCCGACGTACGTGTTGTCCACTGCGATGGCTGAGATGAGATCCAAGCTGACCACGTCGATCCAGGTACATTGTGATCGGACAGAAACCTCCGCTTCCCGCAGAGTAGCTCCATGTCAGGATACAGCGGATACTCTAAAGTACTCGAGGATAGGAGGCACTGTATTTCGTAGTTTTAGGAACCTCTCGGTCCCGTCGACGCTCCTGCACATACATCCTGCAGTTGTGGGAACCTGCCTCTCCCTGCAGCCAGCCTTCGTGCCACTGTCATCTGCAGCCATGTTGGCAGTGTACGAATGTACTGTACAGGGACTACGAGATATGACCTTGGTGCGCGTGTACAAAGCCGTCGACGGCCGGAAAAACTGTTTTCCCGGCCGGCTTACCTAATACTGTCACTCCAGCTCCAGCTCCAGGTTCCGCAAACTGCGCTCACTTCTTTCACACTTGCTCGACTTCAGCAATACAACCCTCACCACACACCACAGACCACAGACACAGACAGCGTCCATAGCAATTCCATTCTATGGCCGCCTCAGGCTCTGCACGAGCCTCGCAGGCTCTCCTCTTCATGCAGCACTGCCGCCGTGCGCATGTACCGCCCTCGATGATCTGGGGCTCAACCCGCCTCTCCTCTTCGCACAGCACGGCGGCCTCGGCCTCTGCCTCGACATACTCCCCAGCCAATTTCACCCGGCCACTTCCCAAACCCCAGGCATCGCCGGCCGCTTCGTCGTCGTCGTCGTCGTCTTCATCGTCCACGTCGTCGTCATCAAGCCTTCGTCGCGAACCGCACGCCCTTCCCGCCGGCCGCCCTCACTACGCTTACCCGCAGGCCCGCCGGCCCCCGGTGACCGAGATCCCCGGCGTCCGCTTGACGCCCTGGACGTGGGTGAAATGGATGTTTGGCTGGCGGCCGACGCCGACATACAAGCCGGCTCCGATCCAGGCCAACAACAACCCCTACCGCGCGCGCAAGCAGTGGCCGCCCGACTTCCGCAACCTCGATCCCAAGTACCAGTTCCATTTGGAGAAGACGTACCGCCGCCGCGCCGCCCTGAAGTGGGCTCGACCGACCTGGAATAAGAGCATCAAGATCCTGCAGCAGACCCTGATCACTTTCACTCTGATCTACTTTGTTTTCATCTGTGAGCCGACGGATGGTCAAGGCACGCCCTTCGATGGGGTAAGTCGGCACCCACACGTTCATTCCTTCTTCGAGCCATGTTGGCTTCAATCGTGCTCGGATTCCCGCTAACTTGACATCACATAGTTCCGTGCCTGGTTTTTTGAAAAGCTCGGGAGTCTTGGCCAATTGCCCGATGCTACAAGACATGAAGCCGACAAGTTGAGCGAGGATGCGAAGAAAAGACTGGTCCGGGCCAATGACATATCAAATTCGCCTACAGCCTCCTGAGCCTCATGGTAGCAGGCCAAGGGTAGCTATACCCGCGACGCTCGCAAGCTTTTCCCAATAAGGATCATATTGCATATCCGCCCTATATATGTACGCGGCCAGCCTGGCCTATTCCCACACAACTCCTTCCTACCACTCTAATTTTATGCCTTTCCGAGGCCCACCAGAACCAGCAGCGCAACGTTCATCACCACCAGCACCAGCCAGATGATCACGGCCAGCGCTGTTGTGAACCAGCCATTCCGCATATTGACCAGCTCTTGGCCATCATGCACCGACATGATGTTGCTCCGGCATGTGAACCAGACTAATGGTGCTGTCACAAACGGCAAAATGACGCTAAGCACCACCTGGCTAGCAGTGAGAGCTTGGTTCAAGCCATCCTTACCCACCGCAGCCGCAATGATGATGCTGGGGGTGATACTGATGGACCGGGTGACCAGTCGCCGCACCCATGGCTTCAAAGTCCAGTTGATCATACCTTCAGACACCATCTGGCCGGCCATGGTGCACACGATCCCTGCGGAGGTGCCCGAAAGCAAAAGAGCAAGGGCAAAGATGGTCCCTGCTGCTTTGGAAAGGTTCTTGCTAAGCAGGTCATGGATCCCAAACAGGTCAGCCTCGGTGGCCTCTGTCCGTGGGTACAGGGACGCGCCAGATACAATGAGGATGGCGGAGTTGACGAAGAGAGCAAAGGTGAATAGCGACGTAGCGAGCTCCACGATAGAGTACTTGAGACAAGCCTGAATCGCGTAAATAGACGGGACATACTTTTCCTCTGCAACATCGGATTCGTCCCTAGGGGTAATGTGACCGTTTTGCTCGTCGAAGTGTTTCAAGCGTGCCTGCACAACTCCTGAACCAAGGAAGATAGAATGAGGCATGACAGTGGCACCGATAATCCCACAAGAGAGATAAATCCCGTTGGCCTCCACAATGGCGGAGGAGGGGAGGTAGCCTTTGAACACCTCGCCCGGCGAGGAATCTCTGATGAAGGAGAGCTGGACACAGAAACAGACCATCACTCCCAGTACGAGACCCATGATGAAGTATTCGAACAACCGCAGGCGGGTAATGGAGCCGTCCGGTCGGTAGAAAAGAAGAAGGAGTAAGACATCCACCAAGGTGATGGCACAGCCAGCAACGAGGGGGATGTGCAGAAGAAGATTCAATGCAATGGCCGAACCAATAACCTAACACAAGTTAGCGCGTGCTAGATGCCCTTTACAATCCAGGGACTGGACCTACTTCCGCTATATCTGTGGCAATAATAGCTGCTTCAGCGAACAAATACAAGATGATCGTGAGCCACTTGGGCAAATGCTTCCGGCAATTTTCGGCCAGATCCAGGCCGGTGACACTTCCGAGCTTGATACAGAGCGACTGCAAAAATATGGCAAACAAGTTGGACATTAAAATGATGAATAAATGGCGATACCGCGTGGCAGCGCCTGCCTCGACGTCGGTGGCATAGTTTCCCGGGTCGATGTAAGCGACTGCGACGAGGAATCCTGGGCCCACGAATTTCGCATACTTTTTGAGCGTAATGACGACCTTGTTCATGAGAGCCGCAGGAGAGCTGAGGTTCGTCGTTCGGCGTGGAGAGGGTTGTTGAAGGGGCCGAGGGGCAGGGGAGGGCGCATTGCCCTCCTGATTCATCGGATCAACCTTGACCGCTGTTGCTTCTTTGGCCTCCCAAGGCGATTTTGGATCATTGGCTGCTATGTCCTGTATTGAGTCGTGGCCATTGATATCTCGACTTGACTCGCTTTCTCGCTGTTCCCGCAAGTTGACGATTCCATTGAGGTCAGCCCTCGTTGTTTGATCCGAGCTCAACGCATGGGGATTCTGATTCCATTCTGGATGACCCTCAATGTTGTCCGGTCGCGAGGGACAATTCATGATGGCGGCGGCGAGGGTCTGGTAGAATACAAGGGTTAGAGGTTCGTGGGAGATGCGATAAAGGAAAACCGGCCGTCGTCGTCAGTTACCAGTTCGGACGCTATCAAACCGACATAGACTGGGGACACGGTTTTTCCCGAGCGGATGGAAAATGGACATGCGGGGAACGTCACAGGGGGAAAAAATGAAGACAGGGCAGGAATAAGGAGAATGTTGGCTTCTTCAGGCAGGCAGGCAGGAAGACAGAGCGTCGGAAAGTAAGCAGTCGGACTGTGCTGGTGCTTTTTTCGGAATCCGTACCTGCGGTGTGCTGATCTAAGATTTCCTCCTGGGTGCTGCCGGCCTCTGGTTGCTGTCACTGCCGACCATGTTCGGATGCGCAGGCGGAGAAGTCTAAGCCATCTTCTGGGAACGAGTGCACGAATATAATCTTGGGAACACTCCTGAGACCCGCAGGGAGGATGAGCAGACCACGACACATCTCAACGGCAGCAAAGATGCATGCTCGTCGTTTTCTGGACCCTACCAGGGGACCATGTTTCATGCCACTACTGAGGACTCTGCAGGGTCGACGAATGTATTATGGGTATCGGCCTTCGCAGGTGAAGGGGTGTGCTGTACACTACTGAACATGGATGCACCGGGCTCCATAAGGAGCACTCCATACTCTGTTCCGGAACCAAAGTTGTCCGTACCTATCTATACCCATCTTGAAGGAGCCTCGCCATCCTCCAGGAAGTTGGTGTGATAGACATCGGGCCGTTGCAAGGATCTTGATTAGGGCCGGCTAGAGCCTGGACTTGACATGCTTCGCAGGATGGAGGCGCCTAGCAGCCTTAAGGCCCTAAGCCGGGAGGGAGCTTCTAAGCCTAAGGAGCCCCTAAGCCCGGCTTCGGTGGCAGTGGATCAACACCAACCCAACCTGTCACCACCACCACGAGATGGTTTGACAGGTGCCGATATGCCCCTCCACCAACATCATTGGCCTTGGCCTCCGAGTCCCATCTCACAAGCTGCGACAGCTCTCCATGATGAGGCACTGCACCGCACTTGACACTATCCTCGTCTCAACTCAATCCTGATCTGTGGACAACAAACAGCCAAACCGACACTCTTCCCTCCTTATCGTCCTTACGCGGCTCTCTTGCTGGCCAGAAGGGGAAATTAGGCTCCCTGCTCCTAGGTCGTCCTTGGCAGAGGACTCGACCCAACGTCGAGCCATTTGCGCATCCGCCTGCGCGCCATCTTACCCTTTCTCGACGTCCAACGACGACCATTAGGCCTCGTGTTGTCCAGTCAGCCCATGTTTTCTCAAAGACGGTTTCATCGTCCCTTCGTGCAGCATCTATCGGAGGATGTTTCGACTCAAGCATAACCCTCCGACCTCCGCTTTCCAGCCGTCATGAGCAACACGAAGATACACTATCAGCCTCTCCAACGGCGCAGACGCAGATCCGACCAAGTCTCGCCAACCTCACCTTCATTTTCCAGACGCTTCCTTGACCGTCCCAATAGGCTCAGCGATAGTCTCAGCCCCGCCGAACCTACATCGGGAACCGACGACTCGGACAGTCCCTCTCGTAATCTCGCCCTAGGCTCTCCCACCTACGACCGTCTCGCTTCACCTTCCGTCGCTCAAACATTCATCAATGACCAGACTCCTTTTCAACGAGCCTCGGACGAGACTGGTCGGCCTGGAGACCGCACCACTGACGAGGCTGCTCGTCCTGCCACGAGCGATGCAGTGGACCATGTCAGTCCTCATACCAGGCCAGAGGCCAATCCGCAAGGCTTTTACCACTCAAGACCCTCTCCAGTCTCGTACGTCTCGAGCCCTGCCGATCACCGAGAAAGAATATCTTTAGATACACCCACAAGGCTAGGGGGCAATGCCTCCTCTCCAAGCCTGCGCAACCACAGCTTTGATCGTGCTACGCATGATGAGTCTGTTCCAATCAAGGGACATGCAGGCAAAAAGAGCAGGTTGAACCTTCTGAACCCAATGAGTTTACTGGCTCGCCGACGAGTTTCGCAGACGCAGAAGCTAGAAGATGTCAGTCTAAGCATAAAGACATTGTCTGTACCCGCTCTGCCGGACAATTTCGACCCTAGCATCCGAGGCAAGGTCGTGCATGACTTTTCCGCCCCGCGGACTCGCCGGTTGTACTCTCAGAACGACGTCGGCAGCGTGGACTCCCCAGTCTTGCACTCCGGATATGGATCCGATCCCAGTCGAGTTAATGAGTCTCCAAAGTTGAGACTGGCATCGACCGGGACACCACCCGTACCTCATAGTCCAATGTTCAAAGAACACTTCCAGGATGATAGGCCATCGTTACAGCCGGAGCGGACTGGTTATCTGCACAACATCAGTGCCTTCGGCGGCCCCCATGGCTCTAACCAGGAGCAGGAGAGTGTTCCGGCTTTTGCAAAACGGCTACCATCTACAGTACCTCAACCCGGCGTTGATCATACATCTGAAATGTCCGATAAGGAAAACCTGCCGCTCCCTTCTCCAGGGGAGCCGTCACCTCCTCCACCCACACCGCCACCTAAAAGGACACCCTCCCCGAAGTTCGATGTGCCACCACCCGCCACACTTCCCAAACATATGACAAGCACGTCTTCCCGATTTAGTTTCCAGATTGGTGGGTCGGGCTCCTCTGCACAGGAAAAGCTGCTCGAGGAGAAGCACAAACAGCATGAAGCGACCAAAAAGAGTACTGCTCCAGACGCCGACGACGATGAGGACGAATACGCCAACTATGACTTTGAGGAAGATGATGGTCTGGAGGAGAAAATCCCCGGTGTCAATACTGACCTAGACGATGATGAAGGATTTATTGTTCCGGCAGGTAATGCTTTGGAAGCGCGATACGCCGCCCCCGGCGCCGAGGAGACACCGTCTGCAGAGGTGAATCATGCAATCCAACGAGATTCCTTGCAAGGCTTTCATTTCACGCCCCAGTCAATGACTTTCAGCCCTACTAGCACGAATAATGCCTCTCAGCCGACCCCAAGGGATCATGACGGCTTCGCCATAGGGATAGCAGACTCAAGAGAGCCTTCTCATGATGAGCAACTGGATGTCGATCCCAAAGATGGATTGGTCGATGTCAGCATGGTGTCTATGCTCGGTGGTCTGGGGATCACATCCACAGGCGCGCATCCACGGCGGTCGCAACAATTGTCTCGTCCCCAGGGGCAGGTATTTGATGACGAGGACCTATATTTTGATGACGGAGAATTTGACCATGAGGAACCCATCCCATCGGGAACTCTTTTTGATGAACAGATATTCGATGATGAAACGGGCAAGATTCGAGACCTTCCGGCTGAAAATGCTCGGAAATTTGAGGCGGCTCGACTGTCGGCAGGCTTTGACGGAGAAGTCAAGCCGGTAACCCCCTGGGGTCACCAAACGGACGGAATTCTGTCACATGGGTTGGATGGAAGAATTGGCCCGAAACGAGGCTCGCAAGCTTCCCCTGGTTGTCAGCCGGTGGACCAAAGTTCCTTCATGCACGAAGGCCACGTCACAGGTCTGACAGAAACAAATCTGGCTGCTTACCATGATGCACTGGCTTTTGCAGCAAATCAGGCGGCAGCAAACGGGAAGTTCGACCGGAAAGTCAGCTTTGGCCAGAATTCCGATGACTCTTGTCAATCTAGACTCGAAACCAGCCAAAACGGGATGATATCTGATGACAGCCGCTTCAGTCACAACTTCAGTTCTGCGATTGCGGAGGACGATGGGTTCCCATTTGACGACGACCTGGAAGACGATCCCATGATAGCCGAAGCCAATGCTGAGGCTCTGGCAAACGACGACGAAGGCTTCTACGGGCAGGAATTTGGCTTTTACGCCCGCTCGCACGGCAAAGGGAATTCGGAGCCCGTGAATGGCGGCTATTTCGCGGAACGCGGCTCCAATGGTATCAAGCGAAGCCACAGTGGCAAGGCCAATTTCCAAGAGCCCAGTCTAACCCCCATCACCGAACGTAGCGAGTGGAGTACGAGGAATTCGGTAGTGTCCCTACAGCTCCCTGGCGGAGTTCCTGCTTCCGCGCATTCCTTGCCAAGCCCAGGAATTGCCCAGCTCCTGGAACTGGATTCTCCGGGCTACGACGACGACGACATAAGTTTCAGCGCACTACTAAAACTCCGCGGAAGAACCTTTGGCGGCAGTTCTTCGAGTATAAACAGTTTAGGGAGTGGGCATCCTGCGAGTTCGCCTCTGGCTCATATGTCCAGTCACTCATTTGCTCATCCGGATATTGGGCATGGACGCAAGTCATCATCAATCCAGGGCCGCTCGTCACCCGCAGGAATTCCAGAATCGGAAGAGGAGGATGAGGAGGGGGACAGGCCAACATTGACGCAAAACACGCCGCGGAAGGAGTTGAACGACATGGTGGCGTTTACGTCGCAGGAAGAGCTTCCCATGTCACCAGCATCTTTTGGCGGGGAACGACGGAGAGGTCACCACAGCCGGACCAGTAGTGGTGCAGAAAGTGTCAGCTACGCGCGTGACGCCGATGGTCGCTGGGTGTTGGAGAGAAGGCGGACGGATGAGGACAGTGGGACGGAATTTGTCGACCGAGAATACATTGCGGGAGCTCGAATCTAGGGATTGAATACATTGAAGGACTGGTTCGAGATGGATGATTTGATACAGCAAAAAAGCACATTCAGCGCGACAACATGATACCCTATAGACATTGAATACACCATTTCTTACGCGCACACTCGAGATGGGAGGATGGCTCGTACTGATGGAGAGAGCGACCGAACCTCTGAAATATGAACAGATGAGAGTAATACATTTTTCTTTTTCGAAGGCCGCGGAGAGTCTACTTTAAGTACTTCGACGACCTTGCAGTGCCGCAGCTTCGAGACACTCTTGGTGAGGCGGTGGTACGTTCCATGGCCGCAACCAGGGACCGAGGCCGGCAAGAACAGTGAGTCTAGTAGTCTGTCCTGCTTGTGTGAATCTAGTAGTCTGTCCTGCTTGTATGGCCAGGCAAGTCTTCAGAGCAGCGGCTAAAGCGCCCTCGGGAGCTCTCTCAGCATATTGTAAAGGCATGGCGTGAGTTTCATAGGGGGCCACTTGTCGGGCCGGGGCCTCGGGGATGGCAGGGTTAGGGTTAGGGTTATTGCCATCCATGTCGAACTTGAACGGTATCGGAGAGGACTCAGGAGGAAGAGAGGGACCTCGCATTCGCTCTGTATGAGTGGACTTGAGATGTCGTCTCCCAAATAAGGCTTGAATCACTGCAGTGACTACTACTCGTAGATGGCAGATGCGTTAATATAGCCTGATTAGTGGCCGTTGCTGACCCGTAGCTGGTTGGTGGCTAGCATGCGGCGTAAGTACGACTAAGCTAGATTGGGTCACTCGTACTAACTTACTACTAACCTAAGAGCAACGTCTGGAGTATTCGACAGCGACACACTCGACAGCGACACACTTAACAGAGCAACGCAGACTAGGTACGGAGTACAGTTTCATTAGTGCTGGGAATCTGATCGGCGCAAATTGGGGAATTGGATGTGACGCAGCCCTCAGGCGCACGCAGAAGGGCCCATGAACAAATCCTCGGGTATTTTCGCATTCGCCATCGTTGTAGGTTCCCCAAAACATAGGCTGGATCGTTGCCCGACAGTAAGCTTAGATGATGGATCGCGATAACGTATTGGTTTTTGCAGTGCATTTACGCCCTGGAGATTTTTGGTGTCTTGAAAAAGGAACTTGGCAAACCCGAAGAACTCTTATCCGTCGTCCTGGAACGCCAGCTACAGTATCCTAGTTCGGGGATCCGGAAGCCTTCGACGGCTTTCTCCAGTATCTCCAATGGGAACCCAGAAAACCCCTTGGATCGAGATTTGCCGCGTCGTGTGACCTAGCTTCAACGCTGAGCACCCCCTGGAACCGTTCTCTCTGTAGCAGGATGGAATCGTCGACGAGGGTTTCAAGGGACCATTGGAAAAATGGCAAATTTCAATCCGGAAAAAGGAATCACGGCACGGCAGTGGAACATGAATGGTTCATGGGTGTCGAGATAAATGACTGATGGGAAGGAATTATATTTCAAGCGATTTCTCGTCATCCAGACATTAGTAGTACATAATGCAACGATAGCCAGGGATTTCAGCGATTTTCCAAGGGCTGCAATCCATCGAAGCTCTACTTGTATTCTTCGAGTGGCTGGCTACTGAGAGATCATCCCCAGCCAGCTGTCTGTGCCAGAATATTGTGCCCGGGTGGTCTGCTTCCCCGGGGTCTGACTGTATCTCCCGTCATTGACTCCCTGAGATCCCTACGAACCTGAGTGTTTTCAAGGTTCCATGACATGTCGAGACTGTGCACCCTCCTCCCCCCCAAGAATCACGCCTGACAAATCTCCCTTTCAAGTCTTCAAACGTCTTGAACGGCCCCTCCGTTTTGCAACACCTTGCGGTTTCGACGATGTTGGAGGATGTCTTTCTTTGGTGCGGTCCATCTTCCTTCTTGTCATCCTCGTTGAGATCTCCTTGACCAGCAGTGCTGGTTCAGCTGTGGCTGCGGCGCCTCATCGTCTTTGTTCATAACTTCCATAGCTTCAGATGGGGCACCAACACCTTTTAAGCGCCCTTCTCTCTCTGCGATCCGGAGGCTGCGACGGGGTGAAGATGGCTTAGAGATCCTTGAAGGCGAGATCGGAACTCTAGTTGCTTTTCGGCTTTGCCTGGTTTTCCTGGCAGCTGGAGAGGGAACGTCCACCAGGGCCGCCGAACAAGTTGTGCGGCCATTCAAACGTGTCTGAGGATGACGCGTGGTCGGCTGACGCTGCTGCTTACGTGAAGTTGCACGGGTCGAGGCTCGGCTCTGTGCCGCGCGAGGAGTTATGTCGGCGTTGTCCTCTATTAACCGCTGTGCAGACTTCTCACTCGTAAGTTCTGCTGCAGCTCCTGGTCTGCTGTCCTCATCATCACCACCATCGTCCGTAGTTAGAGACGCGGGAGGGCGGTTTTGACGGCTTTCCCACCAGAGAAACAGGACAGGGTGAGCCCCGGGGGATGGAGTTCGGTTTACATATAACGACGGCGGCGGTGGGGATGGGGGTGTAGGAGGGCGTATCGCTTCCATCACATCAACCTCGGACGGGGTGAACTCCATGTCATTTGGATCCGGAGGTTCTGGGGACGGGGACTCATGTCTCCATTTCCATCCCGGCAAGTCTCTCCAGACATGTTCTCCGGGCAGATTGTTAGTCCAGCTGTCTTTCCAGTATCCTTTCTCTTTCCATTGAGCCTTCACATTCGCCCGTGCTGCATTATAAGTCCCCTCTCTATTTACGTCGCGCTCCAGTCTCGTCTCTTCCACTGCAACCTCCAGCGCCCACATGAACCAAGGCCGACTCGTAATCGGGGACTCATCAGCTGTACCATCGACTTCGAAGGGTTGTGGGGTGGGGGTTTCGTGTCCGCAGGCCTTCTTCTGAAGATATCGTCGAATCGCACGGCGTTCAAGCAATTCCCCATCTCGTGAATGCCACCACGGCCAGGAGTTAGGCTCATCATCCTTCACAAACCCTCCAAATTCGCGAAATGCCCCGGTTGGAACTCCCCATTTGGGATCCCAGACTCCCAGCTGTTGCCATCGCTTTTTGATGCTATGTCGGATCATAACATTTTGCCTCTGTAGTCCTGCACGCCCCATCAGGTCGGGTCCACGATAAAGCGGCACATAATTTTCATCCCGTGCCCCCCATGCTCTATCGATCCGCTCCCTCTCTTGACGCACTTCGTCAAGGTACCGACTGTGTCCCCCAAATCCCATCATCCTGTATTGGGCTTTGTCGATCTCATCGGCGCTCAACGGCTGGCGAAGAAGTTCGGCGAGATCGATGTCGCCCTGGGTTTGGGGTAGTGGGCCAGGCGTTGATTCTCTCGTGATGCTGCGTGACGAATCAGGCGTGGGTGGGTCATCTCGTTCGAAGCGGCGCTCTCGGTATTCTTCAAAGGCCGGATCGTCAGCCATCCGCTGGAGAGCGGGGATGATCGAGTTTAGACGAGCCGGATTAATGTCGTAGACGGTATGAAGCATTGCGACGGTTGAGGAATGGAGTGGAAGAATCTGTGCGGTCGAACTTGAAGTTCAGAAGACGAGACGTCGAGGGGCAGTGGTTGGATTTCGAGGATGTACCAGGCTAGGTGCCAGGTAATATGTACCAGGTACCTAGGTATACATACCTGGTGCCTAACTAGGTACCTGGTATGCTTGAGTTCTGCCACCGCCAAGATCATACATATTCCAATCACCCAGACCTCCTCCTTGTCTCACACCACTCGACTGAAGAGATTTGAACTTGACCTATTTTCTCCTCTGGCTAATCTGTCCGAATGGTATTTGGAAGAAGCCGCGCGTTAGCTATCAAGCCGATGAGAAACATCTTTCTTACATGGCAACGAAGTTTGTTCAGTCGTTATCTTGCCCCGGATCCTTTCTCCCCAGCGCAGGACGCTGGCTGTGGAACGAACCTCATAGGCGTCAAGAGCGCACTCGGAAATTCAACCTGGAGGCTCTAGAAGATGTCGTTATCAAGGCAGCGGGAACAGCAGTTGATACCGGGCTCGTTCGTCTCGAGAAGCTTGCCGAAGGCGCATCCAACAAAGTCTTTTTGACTGTTGTTGGCAAACAGCGATTCACTCATCCTCGGTGTTCCGTGGCTTGACTTGCCTACGGAGTAATACATGTATTCAAGTTTGGGCACCGATGATAAGAGGGATAAGGATAAGGTAGCGAGCAGCGGCCTAAGGCTGAGCCGAAGTTGAGCCAGGTCACCTGACGTCCGAGTAAAGCAGCAAGGCGCTAGCTTGAACGGGTGCCCTAAGATAAGGTCCTTTAGGTAGGTACGTACCTACTCTGGCGGCGCTCAATACCGGTACGTCCGCATATTGTGATAAACCGGGGTGTCGGCGAACTCCTAGGGTGTAAGGGCGGACCCATTACTGCTCTATTATATACTACTGTATGGATACCGAGTACCCTCGTCCTTCTCGTAATTAAGTAGTCTACAGAGTAAGTTCCATCTTGCCGACCAGCAGAGCAGAGCACACCAAATCTCTCAGGCTCTGGCATACCAAGTCCCGTGGACATTTGTAGGCGTCGAAAAGAGGATCTGGACCCAGTGGCACAAGGATCATGGCCACCACCATGCTCGAGACCGACACCACAACCACAGCCACAACCACAACCACGCCCCTGCGACTGCAGAACGGCCAAGTCTTGGAGGTGAAATCGAATTCTTCGGTGGAGGCAGACGAGATCCCCATCATCGATGTGGCGGGAATCTATAGTGAGGACATCCAAGTGCGGAAGGCGGTAGCGGAACAGATTCGAGAGGCATGCCACCGAATTGGATTCTTTTACGCGATCAACCACGTATGACGATCTCGTCTTGGTTTTAGGGGAAGCGATAAGAATGGCTGACTAGTTCAGGGAGTCGATCCTAAATACTCAGAAGAAGCCTTCCATCAAGCCAAGCGCTTTTTTGCACAGCCAGTCGAAAAGAAACTGGAGCTTGACACCGCGAATGTCCCAGACGAGTACTTTGGATACTTCCCCATGGAGACGAACAGCAGGAGCGGCGCCAAAAAGAAGGGTAAGCACTCACTGAGACATGATACCCACCACACGAAAGAGAAGAGCACTGCAAGTTACTGACGCAAAGCGGCCCTGCAGATCTGATGGAAGCATTCAATTTCGGCTATGCCGCCAAAGAAGATCCCTGGTCGACCTCTGACGACGAGGGCAACAGCGTCTGGCCCTCTGACCTGCCCGGGTTCCGGGAGGGTATGTACCAGTACCACACCGCCCTGCTGATGTTTGCCCGCAAGATGAGCCGCATATTTGCGCTGGCACTGCACCTGCCGGAAGACGCCTTTGACGATTATATCAAGAAGCCCGATGCCGCGATGAGGATCCTCCACTATCCACAGCAGGAGGCGTCGGTGGACGACCAGAACGGAATCGGAGCTCATACCGACTTCGAATGCTTCACCATTGTCACCCAGGACGATAGCGGCGGACTGGAGGTTCTGAGCAAGAGTGGGCAGTGGATTCGGGCAAAGCCGGTTCCGGGGTCGTTTGTGGTCAACATCGCAGACTGCTTCATGCGGCAGACGAACGACTTCTTTGTCTCTACCGTGCACCGGGTCATCAACAAGAGCGGGCGCGAGCGATATTCCATCCCTTTCTTTTACGGCTTCGACCGGACCAAGAAGCTGGAGGCGGTGCCGACCTGCGTGTCTGCGGACAATCCAATGAGGTATCCGATCATGACATCGGGCGAGTACGTGCTTTGGAGGGCTCAGCTGGCGAAGGGGGCCGGGACGTACTAGAGACTAGGGACAGATACGCGGGGCGAGGGGGAAAGAGAGAGAGAGAGAGAGCATTGGTAATTGGTACGGTGGCATGGGGTTTCAGATGTAAGATGGAAGAAACCTGTCTTGGGGTGCTGAGCCATCCTTTCAAGCTCCCTGCCGCTGCCGCTACCGGACTGTAGGGGTGGTAGCAGTACGGATATTTTGTTCGGGTTACTATTGGCGACGAAAAGACTGGGTGAAAAATGTCCGGCTTGATGCCCCGATACCCAAGATCCCCCGTGCCGAGACGCGGCTATAGCGGCGACCCCCCGGCGCACCTCCTTAACCTGTCACGGCAGGCACAATTGGGCCGGCGAGGCAGCCTATTGGCGGGCACCAAACAGCAGCAGACTTGTCCCAAACCGCTTAGCAGATGTAAACTGCGCCTGCGCTACTCAGCCACCTATGACTGAATGAAATGCCTCAAGCCGGGATCCCAAGACTAGCAGTTGTCTATCCCAAACTTGAAGCCGCCTCCTCAAAATCTTGAATCCTCAACCCGCAACTCTCCTCTCCTGCACCGGAATTCTTTGTACATTGTACATTGTCCACCTTTCCACTCCTTGGTTGGTGGTTGGTGTTGTCCTTGGGGACCTTCTTTTCCTCTTCCGTTTCCTATGGATCATTCGCTGTATCAGTAGCTCTCCACCTCTTCCATCATGTATCGTTGCACTGCGGGAAAGCTCTCGCTGAGAGCTGTTCAAGCTTCGAGGTCCCTACACACCTCATCCAAGTCACAGCTCCTTTCTGGGAGCCATCAGAATGCCGTCGTGGCCGGCAGGAAACCTCTGGCCCTCGTGGCTCGCGGCTCGCTGCAGCGCAGGAGCTATGCCATCGCGGCTGAGGAGTCGAACAAAGGCGTAGTATGGCTTCCTGTGCGCGTGTCCACGTTTCCCAGCACTCACTGACTTGCTCAGGACCCCAACGATTCGTTCCTCCAAGGCAATGCGGCAAACTACATTGACGAAATGTACTTGGCGTGGAAACACGATCCCTCCTCCGTCCACGTATCGTGGCAGGCCTACTTCCACAACATGGAAAAAGGCAACATGCCCGTTTCTCGAGCGTTCCAACCTCCTCCGGGCTTAATCTCTCAAGCCGAAGGCGCCGTGAGCCTCGCACCGAACGCCGTCCAAGCTGGGGACCACGACGTCACCAATCACTTGAAGGTCCAATTGCTGGTTCGGGCGTACCAGGCCACTGGCCACCACAAGGCCAAGACGGATCCCTTGGGGATCCGTGGCGAGGCTGATGCATTCGGATATCGCAAACCGAAGGAACTCGAGTTGGACCACTACGGCTTCACCGAAGCCGACCTGGACCAAGAATTCACTCTGGGCCCCGGCATTCTACCCAGGTTCGCCACGGAGACGCGCAAGAAGATGAAGTTGAGGGACATTATCGCTGCCTGCGAGAAGATTTACTGCGGATCCTATGGCGTCGAGTACATCCACATCCCACATCGTGAGCAGTGCGACTGGATCAGAAACAGAATCGAGGTCCCGACTCCGTTCAAGTACTCGGTGGATGACAAGCGCCGCATCTTGGACCGTCTGATCTGGAGTTCCAGCTTCGAGACATTCTTGGCCACCAAGTATCCCAACGACAAACGGTTTGGTCTCGAAGGTTGCGAGTCACTGGTGCCAGGTATGAAAGCCATGATTGACCGCAGCGTCGACTATGGCATCAAGGACATCGTGATCGGCATGCCGCATCGAGGAAGATTGAACGTTTTGAGCAACGTCGTCCGCAAGCCCAACGAGTCGATTTTTAGTGAATTTTCCGGCACGGCCGAAGCGGGCGATGAAGGCTCGGGCGATGTGAAATACCATCTCGGTATGAACTTTGAACGTCCCACTCCTTCCGGAAAACGAGTCCAGCTATCTCTGGTTGCCAATCCTTCCCATCTGGAGGCCGAAGATCCCGTCGTGCTTGGGAAGACCCGCGCGATCCAGCACTACAACAACGACGAGAAGAGCCACGAGACGGCTATGGGGGTTTTGCTCCACGGCGATGCCGCCTTTGCTGCACAGGGTGTCGTGTACGAGACCCTGGGGTTCCATGCCCTGCCCGCATATTCCACCGGTGGCACTATCCACATTATCGTGAACAACCAGATTGGCTTCACGACCGATCCTAGATTCGCTCGGTCGACACCTTACTGTTCCGATATTGCCAAGGCCATCGACGCCCCCGTCTTCCACGTCAACGGTGATGATGTTGAGGCTGTCAACTTCGTCTGCCAACTTGCCTCGGATTGGAGAGCCGACTGGAAGAAAGATTGCGTCATCGACATTGTCTGCTACCGGAAACAGGGCCACAACGAAACCGATCAACCATCCTTTACACAGCCTCTGATGTACAAACGGATCTCGCAACAAAAGCCCCAGATCGACAAATATGTCGAGAAGCTGCTGGAAGAAGGCACGTTTGCCAAAGAGGACATTGAGGAGCACAAGAAATGGGTCTGGGGAATGCTCAACGACAGTTTCGACCGGAGCAAAGATTACCAACCTACTGGAAGAGAGTGGCTGACTTCCTCCTGGAATGGGTTCAAGACGCCCAAGGAACTCGCGACGGAGGTCCTCCCCCATCCGCCCACGGGCGTCAGCGCGGATGTGTTGAGGTCGATTGGAGACAAGATCAGTTCGGCGCCAGAGGGATTCACCGTGCACCGAAACCTCAAACGTATTCTGGGAGGCCGAAAGAAGGCTGTGGACGACGGCAAGGGCATCGACTGGTCCACGGCCGAGGCTTTGGCTTTCGGCAGTCTCGTTCTGGAGGGTCATCATGTCCGAGTTTCGGGTCAAGATGTGGAACGTGGCACATTCTCCCAAAGACATGCAGTGCTACATGACCAAGAGAACGAGGCAACTTACACGCCGCTCAACGACTTGTCCAAAGACCAAGGTGCCTTCACCATCTCTAACTCGTCGTTGAGCGAGTTTGGAGTCCTCGGCTTCGAATACGGCTACTCGTTGTCATCCCCCAACGCGCTCGTCATGTGGGAAGCACAATTCGGCGACTTTGCCAACAACACTCAGTGTATTATTGACCAGTTCATTGCCTCGGGTGAAGTCAAATGGCTACAGCGGTCCGGACTTGTTGTCTCGCTACCTCATGGTTATGACGGCCAAGGACCGGAACACTCTTCCGGTCGTATCGAACGGTATCTGCAACTGTGCAACGAGGAGCCTCGTGTGTTCCCATCCCCAGATAAACTTGACCGGCAACATCAGGACTGCAACATGCAGGTAGCATACATGACCACGCCTGCCAACTACTTCCATATCCTGCGACGACAGATGAACCGACAATTTAGAAAACGTGAGTTTGGCCTGCTTTTGACGGTGTCTGACTTGACTAACGCTTCCCAGCATTGATTGTCTTCTTCTCCAAGTCTTTACTGCGTCACCCCATCGCTCGCTCCGACATTGACGATTTCATCGGTGACTCCCATTTCCAGTGGATCATCCCTGAAACCGAACACGGCAAAGCGATTGCCGAGCCCGACGAGATCGACCGTGTCATCCTGTGTTCGGGCCAAGTGTACGCCGCGCTGCTCAAGCACCGTGCCGAAAATAACATTAAGAACACCGCCATCACACGGATCGAGCAGCTCAACCCCTTCCCATGGGCGCAGCTCAAGGAGAACTTGGACACGTACAAGAACGCCAAGAACATTGTTTGGTGTCAAGAGGAGCCCTTGAACGCCGGCGCCTGGAGTTTCGTCCAGCCACGTATTGAGACGCTCTTGAACGAGACGGAGCACCACAACAGACGCCACGTGATATACGCAGGACGCGATCCTTCGGCGTCGGTCGCCACCGGTCTCAAGGCCACCCATCTCAAGGAGGAACAAACGCTACTGGAGGATGCCTTCAAGGTCACGCAGGACAAATTGAAGGGCGAGTGACTGGCCGACGGCGTCACTGGGGCGAAGGTTGTCAATGAGTGATTGGGAGAGATTTGCAGACGCCGCTGACCCCTACGTCAAAGAGCCTGAGGCAGAAATGGGTCGGCCGGAGGAGATGTGGGCAAAGGTAGAAAAGAAAGCTGAGGGAGGTGGTCAGGTCAGCCTTGTCTTGCCGAAAGATGATTGTAATAAAGAGAAACAGCAGCAAGGACAACAAACAACACGAGTGAAGCTTTGCTGGGGCGTTGTTTTGCGGCAGTCTCGTGGCGTGCGTGCGGGCGTGCGTGCGTGGATTGCTCAGTGCTCTCCAGATGTTAAGCCCAAGCAGGATGGAGTCCTAGCAATTCAATTGTATTAGCCTCTCGATGGGAGCGGAATCAGTTTCAGTTTTAACTCTAACGTCGGCCCTTGCCCATGACTTGGGCCGGAGGGGAAGAAGACTGCAGTAGTACTTGCATTTGCACGACCGATGATGATGTCGTCGCATTGTCTGTTACTGTATGTATCATGCAATATAACATCAACATCTCGAAATCATTTTCAATACATTTTTGGGCCCACTACCGGCGTTGACGTGTCCAGCACGCACTTCTTAGGTATTGGTTCTCCTTTCCCTTCCCTTCTTTTCTTTTGGTGGGGATGCTCCAAGGCTTGGGCTTCCCCTGTGATTCCTAGTTCCGGTCTTGTGTGTACTATGTAAGGTACGTCAAGCCATAAACTCTCGAACGCCAATACTGACCGACCGGTTCGTCGGGCTCCTCCTCCCCCTCTTCCTCCTCGCACCGCCGGTCAAGGCCTGGGCGGCCGTGTCGTTGGGCTGGGCGTCGCCGAAGCCGCAGCCGCCGTCGCGGGTCTGGGCGATGATGGCGCCGGCGCACTTGCCGGAATTGAAGCCGCAGCAGCCCGAGGCACAGTCGGCGTCGCTGAAGCATTGGCCCGTGATGAACTGTTTGCCGGCGCCGTTGCCGACGTTGGCCGCACCGGCGAGGCTGCTGTCGACAGCACCGGAGGAGGACTTGGTGGTGGAGGGAGATGGGGCGGCACTGCCACTACCATTGCCACTGCCACTCCCTGATCCTGATCCTGTCACTGTCCCTGTTCCCGCTGATGTCGTCGCTCCTCCTCCTCCTCCAGTCAGGGTCTTCGCAGCGTTGTCATTAGGTTGGGCATTGCCGAACCCGCAGCCGCCGTCACGGGTCTGAGCGATCACGGCGCCGGCGCAGAGACCCGTGTTGAAGCCACAGCACCCCGAAGCGCAGTCAGCGTCGCTCAAGCACTGGCCCGTGATGAACTGCTTGCCAGCGCCATTGCCGACGTTGGCGGATCCGGCGAGGTTGCTGTTGACGGTGGTGGATGCACTTCGCGTGGGTGTTGTCCCGGCCGTATTTGCGTTTCCGGCCGGGGCAGAAGCAGCGTTCGCTCCAGCTGAGGCGGTGTTGGTGGCCGGCGAGGTGGCTGCCGGCTGGCCGCCGGTCAAGGCGCGAGCGGCGTCGTCGTTGGGCTGGGCGTTGCCGAATCCACATCCCCCATCACGTTCCTGGGCCACGACCGGGCCGGCGCATTTACCCGAGTTAAAGCCACAGCAGCTGGAAGCACAATCGGCGTCACTGGTGCATGGGCCGGTGATGAACTGGGTGCCTTGGGCGCAGACGAGGGCTGTCACTGGAAGAGGGGGAATGTTAATCAGATAGGCCCCTCCCTGTATTCAGGTTGTTTTCCTCTTCCCGGGGAATGGAATGGGTTGTCGGGGGTGTGCCCACTTACAGTTGAAAAGCAATAACAGAAATAGCATGATGAGTGATTTGGAAGGAGTGATGAAACGGTGCATGCTGAATGGAGTAAAGTAGAGTATTTTCTAACTCTTGACTGATCCAGCAGTCGAAGTTCACTGAAAAGGAGTGGTTGATTGGGCTTAGAAAAGAAAAGAAAAAAGAGAGCTGACTAGGAGGAAGGGTAGAATCGAATTGGATGGCGGTATGTGTAGAAAGGACGAGGAAATCAAGAGGCTCGAGATGGGATGGGTTTGAAAAGCAGAAACCCTCGAGCATTTAAACAACGAGGACGTTGCTGGTAGTGCTTGCTGTATGGAGTACTCACTGGACATCAACGCCTCCTTTTTTCTGGATAGTCCCTTCCATCGGCAATGCAGCTGCCTGCGCTGCAGCAACGCGCGCCCAAGGGGGCGTCGAGCAGACGGGACGGATTCGGTTGGATTGGATTGGATTGGGTTGCATCGAATCGAGAGAATCGAGAATGTTATGTTGACGGTGACGGTGACGATGGAACGGATGTCAGGCACAAACCACGATCCAATCGCCCCGCAGGTCATGGCGGGCGACGTGTCATGTCCAAACCCCAAACGGGGCGGTGGGCAAGGCTGAGACGAAGGCCGGGGGAGCCGGGGGGCACTCAGCCTCGTCAAGTGTCGCAGACTGTTCCAGCTGCCAAGGAGGCGACCGGCGAGCGCGCGGGGGATTGGTCAGCCCTGAAGCCGCCCCGCGGGTGCTGAGCCGGCAATCGTCGCAGCTGGGACGGTGTTTGAGGTTGTGTTTCATCCACCAGTCCGGGTAGGTAGCACCTAGGTAGTAAATGTACTGGTCCGTCCCATACAATCCTTCTTCCAGAGCGCGTCTTCAAACCCTCAATTTTTTACACGCGCACGCGCACGCTCACCAGCTCTGTTCGGCGAAGCGGCGTCGTCCAGGGTGGTAGGTGGTAGGTAATCAGGTAAGGATAGTTTACAGGAGGTGTTTTGTTTCCGGAGTTCAGCACCGTCGTCGATAAGGGATCGGGGATCGCAACTAATCACAGAGTATTACCGAGTACTCCGTACACTGAACTGAATTGTCCGCTGCAGACGATAAGCTACAGTGCTGTACGGGACACACAGAATGGTACACTTACAGTCCCATCTATCTCTACTGCACGGATTTGTCCGGCCTCGCCATGCCATGGGCTACGAAATATGTACGGAGTATGTACTGTATGTCCTATTGCTATTGCCCTTGCTCTTGCTCTTTCTCGCCGCCGTGGACAAGACCACGATGCAGACATGGGCCACGGGGACATGAGAAGCACGGAATGAATTGATCTCAGCAGCAAGCAAGCTGCAACTTGCCCCGTTGACCATGGCAGACATCATCCGAACCCGCCCCGACGGCCACCAAGAGGTCAGGACCGGACTGGGATGGCGGCGCGTGCAATCTGAATCCGAAGCGAGTAGCGAGACGACGCTGCCCATCATCGACCTCGGCGACATGGCCCATCCGGACATCAACCGTCGACGAGAGCTGGCCCGCACGGTATGCGATGCGGCCATCAAGTGCGGATTCTTCTATATCCGCAACCACGGCGTGGCCGCCACCAGCGTGGCGTCCATCCTGCACGAGACGAAGCGCTTCTTCCATGAGCTGACGCTCGACGAGAAGATGCAGTACGACACGGAGAAGCACGAGCATTACTATGGCTATTATCCCATCAAGCTGGACCCGGACCAGCCAGCGGGAGCAAGTGCGTTGCGTTTTCATCTTCTGTGTTTTTCTTTTCTCTTCCTTTCCCAGCACCAGCAGCAGAACAGTCACAGTCACGATACCCAAGTGTGATTCGGTGCAGGTTCAGGTTACATCACTTCGGTTCTAACCAGGTTGGTCCAGAACTCAACGAGGGCATCAACTACGGCTACGAAGCGTGCGCGGACCCCGACGCCGACGCAGAAGCAGACGCAGACGCAGACGCAGACGCAGAAGCAGAAGCAACGACACGGCAGACCAGAAATAGCCACAACAATGGCGATAACTGGTGGCCCTCGGAAACCCGGCTCCCGGGCTACGAAAAAAATGTCAAGCACTACATGGGCGAGATGCTACGGCTGAGCCGGTCGCTGCTGCGCCTGTTCGCGCTCGGGCTCGACCTGGACGAACACTCGCTCGACCATCTGGCCACGCAGCCGTATTCCATCTTGAAAATGGCCCACTACCCCGGCGAGCTGGCGGGAACCCAGGAGCCGTCGTCGATCCGGCCGCACACCGACTACGAGCTGCTGACCATCCTGCTGCAAGACGAGATCGCCTCGCTCCAAGTCTTGTCCAACACGGGCCGCTGGATCCAGGCCACTCCGATCGACGGCACCTTGGTGGTCAACATCGGTGACTCCTTGTCCATGCTGACCAACGGCCTGTTCGTATCGACCATGCATCGAGTCTTGAACACGTCCAGACGCGCGCGGTACTCAGTGCCTTTTTTCCTTGGTGGTAAGTCTGGTTCTCCAAACCAAATACATGATCTTGATAGGGAGAGGAGGGACTTGCTTGGGGTTCTTTTTCTGTTCTTTTTCTGTTCTTTCTGTCTTTCTTTTTCTGTTCTCTTTGTTCTCTATGTCTTTCTTTTCGTCCACCTCGCTGACCGCACCCGTTTCTACTGTATTATAGCAAACCAAGAGGCCGAACTCCGAGCCCTGGACCGGTTCGTGACACCGGAACATCCAGCCAAATTCCAGCCCATGACATCGGGAGACTATATCCGTCGCTCGCTGCAAGCCGTCTACTCGAAACCAAACTCCGAAATCGTCTACGACACACTCGAGCTGAGAGCATAGGCATAGGTATAGGCATCGCTGTAGGTACAGTGGCGTTAGGGTTACTTTTCATAGCTAAACTCGTATCTGGGTGTTGAAGATGACAGGTCGCACGTTGCTCACGCATCGAAGTAAGGCGTGTGTCATCGAAGCGAGGCGTGTGTCGTGCGTCAGCATGGAGATGTGGATGGGGATGGAGATAGAGATGCGAGGGTTGATACTGTATGGCCATGAACCCTCACCCTCTCCCTGCCCGTACTCCAGCTTCTAGTTTTCTCCGTGGTGAGGGTAGGTTTGCGGCAGACCACTGTTCAAGAGACGTCAGTTTTTCTCGTTGCTCCTGGCATGATTGGACTTGTCTGAAAGAAGTCAATGTTAGGTACCTATGGATGGATAGGAACGCAGGTGGGAACAGCAGGGATGTAGTCCAACTGTCGTCATTTACATGTAGGTACCTAAGACCTAAGCAGTGGCATGGTTCCGAACCCTGCTCAGCCTGGCCCAGCCTTGCCCCGCATGCGCCCTTCGTGTCATGTCAAACGAACGGGGTACGGTGAATGGAACGCTGAACAGTCTTGAAAGAATGACGACACTCCAAGCCAGAATTTGATAAAACTATCCTTCGGACCGAGTATCCATACCATACCCAGTAGACACAGTCGGTATATTCATACTCTACCTTCCGCCGGTAGAACTCTCGTCGAAGCCGAGACCAGTCGGCCCCTTCTCCATCTAAAGACAAGATGTCAGAACCCAAGGAGGAACTTGAACATGCGCTGACGTTGACGATCGAATGCCACTGCGGACTAACCTCCTTCTCAGTCTCTATCCCTCATTCTTCTTTACCTTTGAAATCCGCAATCTGCCACTGCAACTCATGCCGGCACGCCACCGGACAAATCTTCGCCACCTTCGCCGTTCTGCCCGTCGCGGTGCCCGAGGCAGTCCTGGACAGCGGCCATCTGGTACGCTATATTTCTTCTTCAGTATGCGACAGGTGGTTCTGCAGAAGATGCGGCGCCTCCGTCCTCAACCACGACAAAGACGCAGAGCCAGAAGAGTGGGAAGCTGGAACAGGTGTGCTCCGATTTGAGGACGGACTTGAAGGAAAGCTGAACAGGGTCCAGCTTTGGGTCGAAGACGTCAGCGGTGATGCAGGTGCAGCTGCCTGGATCAACAGGGGACACTTGGTGGGTATGGATCGGCACTGGAGAGGACGGCAGAGCGATCTGGTCAGCGACAAGACAGTCACAGATCTAATGCGACAGAACTCAGTGAGTTCAACAGCAGCTCGTTCGCACGACAACGACCGGCTGCGCGCCCATTGTCATTGTCGAAACGTCACATTTTCCATGGCCAGGCCCGATCAGGACCTTAATCAGCGGACCGGAAAGTTTGAAGCGAATCTGGACGCTTGTACATCCTGCCGACTTGTCACCGGCTTCGAAATCACAAGCTGGATCACAGTCCCGAGAGACTTGGTATGCATTGATGAAGTCTCTCTCGACACTTTCCTCGCCGACAGATCAAAGCTCGGCCACTATCAAACTTCGTCCCACGTGGATCGATACTTCTGCGTCAAATGTGGTGCAACAATCTTTTACCACCAGCAGAACCTGGAGACCTTCGACGTGGGTGCAGGTCTGCTGGACACAGGGAGTGAAGGAAAAGCTCGTGCAGAAGACTGGCTGGCGTGGCAGCCGTATCCGGAATTTCTGTCATATCAAGAAGATGCAATAGACAAGGAATTTGTAACAAACCTAGCAAAGAGCGTAAGACCGGAAGAAGTGGTGGCAGATGAGACAGTGCATGACGATGCCGCTGTGGCTTAGGCATACATGTGCCCCTCATGCTCAATTTGCGAGCCAAAGAACACAAACTGACAGCTTGCTTGCAATGGTATTCGGATTGATATTCACAAGGTATACACATACTCGGCTGCTACCGCCATCTAGCTGCCAAATCTCTTCTCCGCAGCCTTCCAGTTGATCACATCCCAGATGGCACTGAAGTATTCTGCCTTTCGGTTCTGGTATTGAAGATAGTACTGCCCATTGTCAGCAACGATCGCCCACTCGCAAACGGATAGGAAGTCTTACGGCGTGTTCCCAAGCATCAACACCCAACAAAGGCTTGTATCGGCCCACGACAGGGTCTTGGTTGGCATAGGTCTGGATGCCGATGTGTCCAGTCTGGGTATCCTTCACCAACCAGGCCCAACCGCTGCCTTGAATGCCGGCCAAAGCAGCATTGAACTTCTTCTTCAACTCTTCCAAGCTTCCGTACGTGGTGTCGATTGCTTTGGCCAACTCTCCAGAGGGAGGCTCACCACCACCGGCATTCTTCGGCGCCAGGTTCTCCCAGAACAGTGAGTGGTTCAGGTGTCCACCACCGTGGAAGTTGATCAAGGGTTGGAGAGCAATCTTGGTAGCAATGTCATCTTTGGCCTCGGCGGCCGCGAACTTGTCGGAGGCCTCGTTGTACGAGTTGACGTAGGTTTGGTGATGTTTGCTGTGATGCAGCTCCATGATCTTGCCGGAGATGGAGGGTTCGAGGGCGCCGTAGTCATCTGTGGAGTAGCTGAGTTAGACACCCAACTGATACCCAACTGATACCCAATCCTCATGACTGGGGAACATACATGACAAGTCCGGAAGAGTGACTTTGGTCCGAATGAATGTTCGGTCTGCGGTGGTCAAGCATCGCAAGGGCTTGTTGGCCGTCGCGGCCGCACGAAGAGTCGAGGGGCGAGCACCAGAACGCAGAAGAGAAGCCATGATGGTTAGAGGAAGATGATCCCGGATGGTTGCGAGTCTGAGGGGCAAGCACAAGCACAGGGAATGTTATTGCAGGGGAGAGCAATTGATAGATATAACAGAGAGAGCGCCCGGAGCTCGTAGGAAGCTCACTTTACGTCACGCTTCACGCTTGACCCTTCTGGAAACAGCCAGTGGATTGCACCACTCCGACTCCGGGCACTTTTTTGCATCTCCGATCTTTTGGAGGGCATCCACCGACCATTACTGGAGCCTTCATACGTGACAGGATTGTATTGTATAGAGTACTCCGTACGTCGCCTTGATACGCACCAAATGCGCAGGCAGCGTACAGCGCATTCACGGTCCTCATAACTTCCATCTGCCTTGGCTCCCTCCGGCCAGCATGAGCGACTCCTCCGATGACGACCAGCCCTTCAACCTACGCGATTACGATGACGATGATACCGACGATGATAGGCCCAACAAGCGAAGGAAAACTATGAAAACGTTGCGCAGTCGTGGTCTGGGGTTCGTCAAATCTACCGGTCAAGAGGAAGATCAAGAAGACGAAGAGGACGAAGAAGATGAAGATGTCGACGATGAGAGGCCCTCGATGGGCTTGGGCCTGGGCTCGGGGATGGGTGGTTTCCGCAAATCTTTCAATATCGGCGAATACAATGAGGAGCTAGAAGATACTGCTCCTGCACCAGACATGTCGCCGCAACGGCAGGCAGAAAAGACCGCTGGCACAGGGCCATCGGCATTTGGTTCAGGTGGCAGGATTCAGAAAAACTCCTTCGCCGCACGAATGATGGCCAAACAGGGCTACGTGGAGGGTCAAGGTCTGGGAAGGGCTGGACAAGGTATAACGGCGCCCATCCAGGCCAAGATACTGCAGAGCCGGGCTGGGCTGGGTCAAGGAAGCGGCACACCCGAGCCTCCACGCAGGAAACCAGAATCGGGACGAGACAAAAAGCCCTCGTCTAAAGGTTCGACGCCTGGAGCCAGCACGCCGCGAATCAGAGCGCCTCCGAAGGCCAAATATGCGGTCACGGCGATCGAGTCCAGAGGTCTCCATATTCCCGAGGCCATGAAGCAGATCATCGTGGACGCCACAGGCTCTGAGACTAAGACTTTGACCTCTCTGTCCGGGTTTTCAACTCCCACGCGAGCCACCTCGCCTGACCCGGGTCTAGAAGCTGCCAAGGCAACTGCTCGTATAAAGTTGCAATTGCAGGCGTTTGCTGACGCTTGGGATGCGACAAAGGAGCAAGAAACTCATCTGGAACATGAGGACACCCAACTTGGTGCCGCCTTAGCTTTGCACGATGAAGAAATTCAGCGTTTCAACGACATTATAACGGCATTTGAGAGAGTCACCGTTGATGATTCGAACGAGGCGCGAGATTGGGAGTCCTGCATCGCTCGCCTCCAGGGCATCCAAATCCAGTTTGCAGGTTACATCTCTGACCTGTCCCTACCGGAGCTGGCAGCATCATGCCTTGAAACGCCATTCCGTCGGGAAATGGCGGACTGGGAGCCGCTATCACATCCAGCACTCCTCGTCGAGTCGTTGCAATCCATCAGCCAACTCCTCGAGCTCGAAAAATCGATCACGTCAAGGCACCGCAAGCGGACGACGCACTTTGAATCACTTCTTCTATTACACTGGTACCCGCGAATTCGCAGCGCAATGGGAAGAGACTGGGATGTCTACGATCCAGATCCGGCCTACAAACTCATCACGGCGTGGTCACCGATCCTGCCAGCCTGGCTTATCTATAAGACTATCCACGAAACGATTGTGCCCAAGCTAATTGAAGCTGTCAAACGATTTCCAAAGCCCATAGAAACTGGCACCTCAACAGGCAGATACGCCGGTGCTGGTGGGCGCAAATCAAAACGATCCGCGCCAGCCCTTCACACCTGGCTGTTTGATTGGTGGACTCTGCTGTCATCCGATGACCTGGACTTGGAACGTTTTGCGGAATTGAAGTCGCTGGTCAAGACTAAGGTCGACAGCGATAGCTGGCCCATGTGGAAACCACTCCTTGGATCACGACGGGCGAAGCCCCTTCTGCCTCCGACCAGAGATGTTCCGCCAGCTGGCGCTCCGATCGCACCTGCGGCCGATCTGGAAGAAATCACATTCAAGACGCTAGTGGAGGATTGGGCCAGCGAGAACAATCTGCTGCTGCACTCATCGCACAAGTCCGACGCGTTTGGACGGCTACTATATCGTTTACAAGATGCCGAAGGGCGCAGCCGGGGCCTCCTTGTGTATTTGCAGGATGACGTTGTGTTTAGCGAGGATGGCGAGCCATTCGCATTGGATGAGCGGTTGTTGTCACGGGCGGTAGGGCGATCTTGACCCCCTAGACTTGCGTGCGGTTTGCTGGGGTGGGCGAAGACCTGACAAATGGCATTTCGGCCTGAAGGCCAGCAGTAATGAGACGCAGCGGCAGTAGATGTAGACTGGACGTCAGAATCTCGAACATAAATCTATGTCAGTTGCAGCGGCCGACCCGATCGTCTACCGCAGTGTTGGCTGGATTGTAGGCAGCACTTGCCGTCCAGCGTGTTTTTTCCTTGTTCCCATATCTTCGTTCTCCTTTCTGATGTGCTCGACTTCTAGGGATGCCAGTCAGATTCCATAGCAGTAAGGCATAGCGAACTATTCCCGCATGCACCTCTGACCGAGCTGGTTCCTCTGACTCTGACGAGGGCGATCTTCTGCTGTATCATTGACATGTGGTTTCGATTGAGCGTACGAGTATCAACTCTGTATCCGTATCCATACACCGGATGGGCATGGGCCCTTGTTGACAATAGCACAAAAGGAAGAAGACAAAGACAAAGTCGAATAAAAGACAAGGTGAAGCGAGATCGAGATCCAAAGACTGAAGCATGAAGAGAGAGAGACACTCTATGAGACGAAACACGTTCAACAACGGGGCCCACGCGCCATCCATGAAATTTTGTCTAAATGCTTGTCAAAATTCTTCGTCTAAACCGCAACTTGAGCCGAGATAGCAAGAAGCCAACTTGGACAAGAAATGAAATGAAGCAAAGGGCTACCCAAGGGACAAATCAAAGCCTGAACCTGAACCGGACCGACCGGGCGCGTGGACCGGGCCCCGGTTCCCGTCCTGTCCGCCGCGGCACCTTCCATCGCTGATGCAGGGGTTTTCGAGACAGTGCCATGCCAAAACAACAAGAAAAGTCAATACTCCTGTGATCTGGTCTGGTCTGGTTCTCTTCTGCTTGTGTGTCCTTTCGTCGACCGCCTTCTTTTCGTCACTTGCATCTCCATCCTCCCCCACTACTCTGAAAAAATGTGGTCCTCCTCTTCCTTGCTTCCCGACGCTCCCACGGTGGTTGGCGATTGGGTCTCGTGGAGAGTTTACATGCAAGCAGCGCCGTCAATGCCCAAGACCTTTCCGTTGATCCATTCACCGTCCTGGGAGGCCAAGAAGGCAGTGACTCTGGCAACATCGATGGGCTGGCCGACACGGGACAAGGGGGACCAGGTGGCGGCGTACTCATCGACCTGGTCGTCGGACAAGTTGGCGCCGTTGGGGATGTACTCTCTGCAGACGGCGTGGTACATGTCGGTCTTGATGCCGCCGGGGGCGACGGCATTGACGGTGATTTTCTTGTCGCCGGCGTCGATGGCCATGCAGCGCACAAAGGTCTCGATGGTGCCCTTGGACCCGGAGTAGACGGTGTGTTTGGGCACGCCCTTGGCCTGGCCCGTGATGGAGCCCATCAGGATGATGCGCCCACCGATCTCGAGGTTCTTGTACGCCTCTCGCGCGACGAAGAACTGTCCGCGGGTGTTGATGGCAAAGACCCGGTCGTACTCTTCCTCGGTCACGTCCTTCAAGTGCCCGAACGACACGACGCCCGAGTTCGACACCACAATGTCGATCTTGCCGAAGTGTTTCTTGGCCTCGGCGAACAGGTTGATGATCTGCTTCACGTCCGACACGTTGGCTTGTACCGCGATCGAGTCGCGCCCGAGCGCCTTGATCTCTTCGACCAGCTCGTCCGCCGCCTTGGAGCTGTTGGCGTAGTTGACCACGACGTCGGCGCCGCGGCGGGCAAGTTCGAGAGCGGTTTCACGGCCCATTCCTCGTCCTGGAAAGAGAGATTGCATGGTCAGTTCAAAGTGCTCGGTTGGTCATTCCGACATGAGGGGCTCCGAGCGAAAACGAGAGTGGGAAGAACCGGGTCTGCAGCAGCTGCACAGCTGCGGTTTCAGGGGGGTGGGATTTTCAAGGGTTGTGTTTTTTGCGAGGTGCCGCTGTGTATTGTCTGTTTCTCCTGCTCCTTCTTCTCCTCAAGACAACGTACCTGATCCGGTGACAATGGCGACCTTGCCGGTCAGCAGGTAGCTGGGGGTGGCAGCAGTGCCATTGGCGACTCTCGTGGAGGCTTGCTTCGACATGATGTTTGGTGGTGAGGGTATGAGGGTGTGAGGGTGTGAGAGGATCAGGTATCCGTATGTATGCAAGAGAGAGGATGGCAAAGACTCCAAAAAGAGCAGCGAGGTCTTGAGAGATGGGATATAGGATATAGGAGAGGAGGGAGGGCCGGGAAGAAAGAAAAACGGTGTTGATGTTATTACTACTGCTGGCTAGTACGAGTAGTGTAGGAATATTATCCTCGTCGTGCCATTGGAGCGGGAAGGCTGAGGGGCCACCGCTTTGTGGTATTTCTATTTATTGACACGCATCAGCCGCAGGCTAAGAGCTCGATGGGACGCTAAACCACAGCACAAGGGTCAGGGACTCAGGGGAGCCCGCCACCAGTGGGCGTTGGGGGTGTCTGTCCTACTATCCGGACTGGCTGGTTGGTGGCGCTGACACGCCCCAGGGCTTAGGGCCTCTAAGCCTATGTAAGGACTCAGGAGCCCTAAGCCAAGCACCCGGCTTAGGCTGGACCCTGGGCCCCTAAGGCCTTAGGAGCCTAAGTCATCTCCATCTTCGCTTCAGGGTCAGGGTCAAAAGTCACCCCTAAGCCCCCTTTTTTTGTGGTACGGAGTGCAGATTCCGTACATACAATCTTGAATCCATCCCTACCTGATTATTCAACCATTCCTCCAAGAGCACGTAGCTCGGTAACTCTGTACATAAGTCAGGGGCACGGAATCGGCGCCTTTGGCCTTTGGCCCTCGGCCCCAGCATATCGCGCCGTAGTCTCTCAGCCCCCGGCACCTACTGCTGAACCAGGTGGAGATAGAGATGGAGAGGCAGAGGCACCGCCACACCGCACCTTCACACCTTCGTACAAAGTCTTTGTACGGATACGCCGTACGCAACCACCTCAACTTGAACGCCGAACAAACACCCACACCCACAACCTGGGCAGGGCAGGCAGGCAGGTTTGGACATCCGGCCTGGAAATGTCGTCCGCGGCCTGAGGTGCAGAGTACTTCGTGTCCGTGTTAGGCATCTGTCTGTATGGGGTATGGGATATGTGTACTGTAGAACGGTCAAAGGTTGAGTCGACACAGTTACTAAGGTACCTGAGGTACGAAATGAAAGCCGTAGAGGTATAGGTACGGAGTATCTATTAGGCACCTGGTGCCTACCTACCTACATATGTACCTAGTATCTGGTAGATACTGCAGCCCTAAGTTAGTAAGTACCTTAGGTACCTAACCTAACCTAATAGCGCTCGTACTGGTATCTGTCCGTGTGTCTGTCTTGATCTAATTGTACAGATACTACGGAGTACTTGTACCGTATCTCACTGCCTTTGTACGGATGTGATCCCTTACGGGAGAGGAGAAGTCAGCAGCCATCTTCCCTTCCACCCTCATCTATATTTACAGAATCTCCGAAGTGTGGCTGTGACGGCTGCGGATACTGGTACAGATTCTCCGTCCCAATCTAGAGCCAAGTAACTTGTACGATCCATCGTCTTTCTCCTCGCTTGTCCGCTCTCTTTTCTGGAGGCTGTACGGAGTACATCCATTGCCTACAGTCACCAGTGTACGGATACTTCGTACCAGTACGGCCTCCGGATTTGAGAAGGTGCCTAGCTAGTGGGCGGGGTCTAACGCGGCAAGGGGCCCCGAAAACTACCTAGACACATTATGTGTATCATGCAACTCTAGAGAGCGGTGAGCGTGAGGCTGCGACATGACAAGTCCGTGAGCCTGAGTCCGGACAGCCGTATACCAGTTATACCGTTCACACGTCTCCGTTGCCCCGTCCAAGGAGAGTGCCTACCTATGCCTGTGCATCGGCCTGTTAACATGGCGACCGCGGACTGGGGAATCAGGAATTGTGTGTATCCGTACTCCGTGCTCCATGCTCCATCCATACACAGGCACATATCATATAGAAAGAAACCCCTAGAGAGAGGGAGCGAGGCATTTTGTCAACACATCACAACATCCGTGCTATGGCGATTGACGATTGACGATTTTTGACGGGCCCGTTCAAGCTGCAGTACGTAATTAATAGTGGAGGACCGAAAGGAAGATGGGGCGATGGAGGAAAAGAGGCGAACGGGCGAACAGGCGAAAAGGAGACAAGGAGACGAGGAGACAAGATCGAGTCCGCGCACTTTCAACCCCCGGCGCTAGTGGTCGGACATTCGAGTCACGTGGTAGGCACGTGCAGGTTTGTGCACGTGAACGCTCTCGGGGATGCGATCCTGGTATCGAGGGATTCAGCGGGACTTTCCCTGCAACCTGCGTTGAACTGGAGTTGTAGTATCCGTCACTTGGTCGACGACAAAGCAGAAAAAACTATGCCTGTGCCTGTGCCATGCTTGTAGGAGATGATGATCCTAGGCTTCGACTTGTTGCAGAAGATTCAAATTCAAATTCATTAAGCCATTTGGTGTGAAATTGGCCCCGGTGCTCTTGTGCTACTACCTAGTCTCCATTCCCAGCCATATGTCGGATATCTTGAGGGTACTCTCAATGGTGCAAGTCTCCGTTTCCAGCCATATGTCGGATGCCTTGAGGGTACTCTCAATGTGCCACGATGCCATGTGAGCTGAGCTCAGCTGATCAGCTCAACGTCCAGCCTCGCTTCCGCCGCCTCTCTGCAGCCTTGCAGGTGTATCATTCCTCATCCACTTGATCTTCGTCATCCTTGACTTCTTCGTCGCCCTCCTCACCGTCTTCATCTGCGTCTTCGTCTTCCTCTTCATCGTCTTCATCTGTGTCTTCGGCCTCGTCCTCACTAGATTCGTCCTCCTCAGACTCACTCTCATCGACAAAGTCCTCCTCGGGAGGATAGCGTGGCATGATTCTTCTGGCATCTGACCACCGGAAGTCGGTAAGCTCAATTTCTAGGCTCTGAAGGCTGCTGAAGATGCTGACCAGGTCTAGTTTTATGAGACGACTCTGCGGGCACAGACGGAACTCGGTTACATGTCCATCCTTTTTGACTTTTCTGACGGTTGCATGTCCATCCTTGATACTCTGGACGAGCTCTCTTGAGAGGAGACGCGTGTCAAAGAAGCCTGCGTCGCGAAACGTGTATAACTTCATTTGTTGAATCCGGTGACAGAATGGTCGGAATGTGCTCATAAGGACGTCCCATCCCGCAGGGCCCATGTATCCGAAGCCAATCTTCTTCAACCGCGTGCCCCCTCGTGCTGACTCGTTCATCGGTTCTGGTAGCGGCTCATGGTCATTGAACACACGAACGACCTTTTTGCTGAGCAAGACCCCTAAGACTTCCATCTGCACCATTTTGGAAACCAGCAGGAGTGATGCAGATGAGTCGTCGGTGGTCTCTGAGTCGTCGGGGAAAAGACACTTGACTTGTAGGCCATCGACGTGCGGACAAAGCCGAAATGGCATGAGGTTCACTGTGGCAGTGGTTGCCATCACTTCTTCCCAGATCATTTGTCGTATCTCCAAGGAGAGTGAATGGAAAAGCGGGCAGTACAGTGGCGACTGCGCGACTGCTGCCTCCATATTCTTGATGGTATCATCGGTGACCATGGCTACGTTGCCAGGCGTAGGCTTCCAGACAGCAATGAGTTGTCCTTCCAGCCCCCAATTTGGAACAAAAGGGCCGGATCTCGGACAGATGTGGTGTTCAATATTGGCATCACAGTCGCAGTATGTAAAATGCCCTTCTTCACAGTCGCAGGGTTCACTTTCGGGCTCACAGTCGCAGAGATGGCTTGCATTAGCAATCCACAGGAACGCCTGGTCACAGAAATCGCATTCGGGGTCTTTCCCCTCACAGTCGCAGGGATGGCTTCCATTAGCTTCCCGCAGGAACTCATGGTCACAGATATGGCATTCGGTGTATTCCCCGAGGGCATTCGCGACAACCTGAAACTCTGTTGTGTAGGACATCTTGAATGAAATAGCTCAGGGTGTCGCGCAGAGTTCAGGACAAGAACAATGTCCAGCCTACCCAGTTGTTCGTCCCGTTGCCTCCGGTAAGGATTTCGCTGAAGAATAGGGTCACTATCACACCCACAAACTTGTAGCCTGAGTAGGCGACCAGATCAAGTAGCTGGGAGTCGTTGGTGATGCTCAGCATGTACAATCCGTGTAGAAGGCTCGGCGCACGAGGAGGTAGAGGAGGTAGAAGGTTCGGCGCATGAAGAAGTGTGCGAAGTGTATTTTTATAATTGAGAGGCGCGCGTAGTGTGAATGTGAGTGTGAGTGACGCTTCACTCTCGGCTATCAGTCGGGAGGGATTTCTTTGGTCACTTGCTCACGGCAGCTGACAGTGAGGTTGACAAGGAAGGTTGACAAGGAAGGCTGACATGTGAGGTTGACAAGTGAGGTTGGCAAGTGAGGTTGGCAAGTGAGGTTCAAGTGAGGCTTACACACTAGAGGCAGACGGAAGTATTACCCTTTAAGTGATAGAATCCTAGAATCTTCAACAGCAACCCTAATGGTTTTCTTCAGCTCCGCCTTCCAGCGGTTTTCACGCCACCTCTCCCAGCGTCCAAAGTCTTCATCCGCCTCCAGATTCAAGGTCTCATAGCCTTCCTTGATGACTTTCTGGATTGCAGCTGGAGACTGATGTGTCTTCCTGCCATGCTGTGCTTTCAGAAGCTCGTGGTAGTGTGACGACACATTCATCAATGCGTCAATTGACCTGTTCACAGCATCGAACCTCGGTGACGGATCAGAGTAAGCCTGTTTGAACCTGGGAAGCACATCGTTCGCCTCAATAAGCTTGTAAAACAGGTCGTCAAAACTTGCCGGGTCTGGCAAAAACGCATCACCTTTGGACAGGCAAAACGCCGCCAGGCTTGCCAGAGTGCCGCATAGGTCCTCCCGGATTCCCCTCAGATGTTTGAGTTCATCTGCATACTGCGTCAAGAACCGCATCAGAGAGAGAAGTGAGCCCCATATGTATGCCCAATGATGTTGTAGGCGAGACTTGCTTTGTTCAAGGTAGGTGACTATTCTCAGCATAATGCCCAAAGCGAGTCCATAGAGATGAACATCCAGTCTCTTCCGGAGATTATGGCTGAGCGTGTCGGTGCAGATGTCTAAGATGGCTGTCGCTGGTACTCTTGCGGAGGTGATCAGCGGTAGATGTGGGGGTCTTTGGCGGCACAGTCGGATAACTCTCTTGGAATCTGCTGAGCATATTCTCTTTGCTAGGACTGAGTCCTCCACCATGATCCTGATTGACAAAAGACTGAGCGTGGCATAAGTTGCCTGTCGTGGCCCACGGTAGGCATGGTGTGATATGTATGATGTCGATGACAAGAATGCAGAGAAGGGGGCCTCTTTATCCTTGTCAACAGACATGTTCAGCAAGTTGGCAGCAAACAATTTGTTTGCGTGGACAAATGAATACAAAGGGAGGATACACGCTGCGTTTTCGTGGGGCAGTGACGTGAACAAACGTTTAGCCTCTTCTTCTGTAGGTGGCAACGGCTTTTTCGCATCAGCTGATAAGCCCCGGAGTCCAACCATGGCTAGAGTGCTGCTGAAACTCCAGGGTACGGGATAGTCATCCTGAACGGCGACATACTGATCTCGGATAGCCGCAGCAGCCCTTGCAAAGTTGTGGACCAGAAGACGAATGGTGTCCTCGTTGACGAAGTCTTCGAGCCGGTTATGGTACACATTCTGCGACTCGAATTTGTTGTAGCTCGATAAGATGCCGATGACTATAAATGCATCGAGTCCGTGAGCCGGTTTGTCGTGGATGTCATGGACATACTAAAGATGGTGAGCCTTGTCCTGGCCCGAGGAGAACGAGAACGTCTTACCTTCATCAGGGCCGAAAAGAGATCTCGGTGCATAAAATAGGAGACGAGACTCGTGTGAAAGCCCCCAGACACCAATGCAAGCACTGTGCGGAGGGCTCTCGTGCGGATGGTCTCCTGGGCCTCCTGCCGAATAATGGATTCGAGACTCTGGACCAGGTCGGACATCAACCTGTCAATGGCATCCAGACCGGCTAGCACTTCGATCACGTCGGTATTTGGGTTGGTGTACCTTTTGGTGAAGACGGCACACAGGAAAGCCGTCAAGTTCTGGTGCGTTTAGTTCCAATACGGGAGGCAGATCCGGACCGCGCGACGAACCTCGAGTGCGTTTTCGTTTCTAGGACAAACACCGGAGCCAGATTCCAGAACTGCGCGCTTGAAGAAGGCCTGTGTCTGAGCCTGCCAGACTGTCAGAAGGAAGACGAGGCAGGACAGAGGATGGGGCTGATCATACTTGCATATGAAGCAGGTCGAAAGCGGTCAAGGGCTCAAGAATGTCATATAGCCTCTGCTTGTCAGGCTTGAGAAGAAAGAACTCCCGCCAGAAGCCCTCGGAGGGCACGGCGTCGTCCACATCTTCGTTAGCAAGCACATTGAACAAATGAAGATACAGCTGGACGATCTTGGGCTCAAACGAGTCGGGCCTCAGCAGCTGGGTTAAAGGGGAGTCCATAGGATCCGAGGGGATCGGGGGTCACGAGCGGCAAGAAGGCCAACTGCATTCATCATTCGGACATCCCAATGCGGAGACAGCGGCTAGTGTGGTGTTCAGATACTCGACGAGGCAGCTATAGACAAAAGGGATCTAGGAGACTGGCAGAGGGACGTCGAGAGAGGCTGACGAATCCGGCGTTGTGGCCAGCTGGCCGTCACGGCGAGATAATCCCGGGTTTCTTGGCAGCGGAAATGCAAGGACTACCTGGTACTAGTAGTAGGGATCAAAGTATCCGTACGCCGTAGCAACCGCGGGAATTCCATGCTCTGGTGCCGTCGTGAATCTCTAGAATAGGCTGCATGTCTCTGGCCAGGGAGCAGGGAGGACTGAGAGAGTGCATACAACGAAACAAAACAAACCGCTGATGATTGGGGCAGCTAACCCAGTCGTGTGTGCTGCAATTGCCCCAAGCCGCCGTTTAGAATTATCCGGCCTCCTATTCGCCAACCCGCCATTCGGCTGACAAACGGCCCGGCAAGAGGCAAGAGGCAAAGAGTCACTCGGCCATTTGAAGGCCTGCGCTTCCACGCCTCGGGAGAGCATCTTGGATTCTTCACCAACATATCACCTCGTCTCCCACCCGCTTCATACACACTACCTATATCTGACGCTGTATATTACTGCCTCTTCAGCTTTCGATGTTCGCCACGCATTGACGTCGAAATCACCGCTTTCACAATGTCTGCGACGCACCTGATTCCCACGACGACGTCATCTGCCATCTTCTTCAGAGCACTTGCCCTCGCCTCAACCGCACGCTGTTGTCCTCATGCGTTCAGGACCTACTCCTCGGCGAAAGCAGTCCCACAGTCCTCCAAGAGGGAGCTATATACCGTGCCGTCTTACCAACCTCACAGCTTGCCCACCGACTTCCCTCTACCGCCACGAAATACCAACATTCCAGATACCTCGATAGCTGGACCCCCACCACGCCTCAATGACACCAGAATTCCTCAGGAGAACGAGAAGCGACAGACAGATATTGTGGAAACCGCAAGTTTAAGTGTGCCCGAGAGAGAGGCGCAACAGCCCAAGCCTGTGCCCCAACCCAAGACGGAGGAACCGAAGTCAACTAAACCTCGGCGAAGCAAACTACGGCCTCGAAAGGCCGCCATGACCATTACACCCAGTGCTTTGGTCCACTTACGAGAGCTTCTGGACCAGCCCAATCCGAAGATGATAAGAGTGGGCGTCAAGAACAGGGGTTGCTCTGGGCTCGCATACCATCTCGAATTTGTGGACAAACACGGACCTTTCGATGAGGCGGTTGAACAAGACGGTGTCAAGGTTTTAATTGATAGCAAGGCCCTTTTCAGCATCATTGGCAGCGAAATGGACTGGAAGGAGGACAAACTCAGTGCTAGATTTGTTTTCAACAACCCCAACATTACAGAGCAGTGTGGGTGTGGCGAATCCTTCAGTGTTTCATAGACGACATGAATCGTGGCGTTTTATGAGGCTTGCTCCTAAGAAGCTGCAGCGACCAGGTGTCTAGCAATATGATAAGAGTACAAGAAAGGAACTTGTTCACCAACAGACTGATTTGCTGATTGATCTATCCGCGGGCACTTCAATACACCCCCTTCTCATAATCAATCACTCTGACATCCTCAAACCGGGGACTATTCTTCTTCACAAAGGCTTGATGAGCGGGGTCATGTGAGACGTAGTAGTCTCGGTCTTCCTTGGAAGCGAACTCGACGACGAACCCGTGGGTGAAGCCTCCCTGCAAACCATTGTTAAATAAATCCGTCAGAGGAACAGAGACTCTCGCCAACCTGTGCTCCCTCCGGACTGTTGTCGACGCCACCCGAAGCTGCGACAATATACGGCTTCTGAGACGTCGGGTGGACACAGTTGCCTCTTAAAGAGAGCATGTCATCGCAGAACTGTTGCAGTCAGCACCCACCGGCTCGAATGCAATACCAGAGATATGAATAGAAGTAGATAGATGCAAGCACACCTCTTTCTTCTCAGAGTCGCTCAGTGAGGACTTGAGTTTGAACAGAACTATGTGGACTATTGACATGTTGGATCAGGTAATGGCATGCCTACCTGCCTATAGGTAGGTATCATGTAAGAATATAATATCCAATGTACCTAGATTTGTTGCGTTGAGAGAACCCGCGGTTTTGATCCCTGCGCCCAACTGTGCGGGGCTTAGGCTTGCGTATGTGGCATGGAAACTTTTGCTTACAGGATACTCCGTACCCCTCACCACCGCAGAATACTACATGCTACTACGTACTTCTGGTGCTTCAGGGCAGTTAGACCTCTTCCGCAACTTGCAAATTGGAAACAATGGCCCTTGATTGTTAGTAGTACTCGAGGCGTGCATCAGTGATCCCAAGGCACAAGGTTATTCTGCAACTCTCACCGGCCCTAATCCGCGATCCTACCCCCACAAGAACAAGACAACCCCCGGCTGCCTGTCCGCAGCACCGATATCAGAACCGCAAGATCTGGTCCGGCCAGCACAGCACGGCCGTGTCTTCATTCGAGCAGCCTGACGAGTCAAGATGGCGACACACTCGCACGAGGGGGCCGCGTCGCACTCACACGACCATGACCACGCCAACGGCACGCCGCATGGACACTCGCACGAGATCCTCGACGGGCCAGGGTCATACATCCACCGAGAAATGCCACTGGTGGAGGGCCGGGAGTTCAGCGACCGGGCATTCACGATCGGGATTGGCGGACCGGTCGGGTCGGGCAAGACGGCGCTGATGCTGGAGCTATGCCTGGGGCTCCGAAAAGAGTACAACATCGCGGCGGTGACCAACGACATCTTCACGCGCGAAGACGCCGAGTTCCTGACGAAACACGGGGCGCTGACGCCCGAACGGATCGTGGCGATCGAGACGGGCGGGTGCCCGCACGCGGCGGTGCGCGAGGACATTTCGGCGAACCTGCTGGCCCTGCAAGGCCTGCACGCCAAGTTCCAGACGGATCTGCTGCTGATCGAGTCCGGCGGCGACAACCTGGCGGCCAACTACAGTCGCGAGCTGGCCGACTTCATCATCTACGTCATCGACGTCGCCGGCGGCGACAAGGTGCCTCGCAAAGGCGGGCCCGGCATCACCGGCAGCGACCTGCTGGTCATCAACAAGTGCGATCTGGCCGACGCCGTCGGCGCCGACGTCGACCTCATGGAGACCGAGGCCAGGAGGATGCGTGAGGGCGGGCCCGTCGTGCGCGCCGTCATCAAGAACGGCGTCGGCGTCAAGGAGACGATCGATATGATTCTCTCCGCCTGGAAGAGTACCCCCGCCTACTACGAGAGTCGGAAGCGCTGGGCCGCCGGCGTCCTGAGGGGCAGCGGCGACCAGCCCAACGTCAATCGATATACGAGGGTCATGCCGCAGCAGTGAGAGGCAGCAGGAGACATGTTTGGTCGACCAGCATATAAGATAGGGTCCAACAAATCATCCCGCTCCCCCTCCAGCCAAAACCAGATGGGTGCCCTGTAACCAGGTTATGTAGCGGCTTGTCCATATATCCATCCCAGAGAGGACGGACCATTTTCGTTGGAACCGTCCTCACGTGTTTGACTACATCTGAATGAAATGCGTTACGAGTCCAACCAGTCCGTGCAAATAAACACGGCCTGTCCATCGATTATGCCCCTTTCCGGGCAAATCTGGCCAAAGCTGGCCCTAGATCTACCTGGTCCTTTTTCAGCTTCTCCTTTCCTCTCTCCATCCGTTCCTTCTTCATTTCCTCCAGCCGTAGTCTTTTCTCATCGACAATATTCTTGCCACCCTTCTTCCTCAGATGTCTCCGGATCGCACTGTTCTTACCACGTCCGCGGTTACGCTCCTTCAACTTCGCTAGAGGGTCCACAGGCGGCGCATCGAGGTCCTTCTCTTGTTTTCGCTGCTCTGCACTGCGAATGTCCAATGTCCCGATGAAGTTGGGGTCGAGGGCTATAGTTTCGGGCTGCAACTTGGTAAGGAGAGACTGGACTTCGGCCTCTTGCCGTTGTTTGCGCGTCTCGTAGGGGTTGGCTTCAAGAGCATCGTAATTGGGTTCCCCGGCGCCCGGAACAACGATGCTGCTGAATCCCTCGGCATGCGAGATGCCTAGGATGTCGTCGAAGGGGCAGAAGCGGACACGCTCGACCCGGCGGCCCTCGTTGCCCCAGTTCAAGTACGGTGATTGGACTTTGATGGGATCGACCGAGGTGGAGGCGGTGAAGAGGTCTTTCCAGATCGTCACTCCTGTGCCACTGCCGATGGCTGCAAGGCCACGGTCTGATATGTCGATAGATGACGCGGGCTGATGAGTCCGATACGAATGGACCTCCTTTAAGGCCCGGAGGTCCCAGAGTTTCAGCCGGAGATCCTGTCCACCGCATAGCATATAGTGGCCAGAGCGGTCGATGGCGATGGATCGAACAGGCCCGGCATTGGATTGGATCTTGACCAGAGGCGTGGTGGAATTGGGAGACCATAGAGATACGGTGCCATGCTGGTGCCCGACATGGAGGATGGCGTTATATGGGTTCTGCGCCAGAGCCGTCGGAGCGCCTTTCCGAGTCGGATGTTCGGCCACGACTTGTCCTGTCGAGGTATCGGTATACCTCAAGAACCCACTGTTTTCCACCCCTGCCAGCAGGAAGTGATATGGTAGAAATTCAAGATGCGTGGTTTCCACATACTTTTTCAAGCAATGGATCTCGACTCCGGCGTGGTCGTAAATGTATGTGTGTTTCTTCTGGGCCACGGCGAAGTACTGGTCGTTGTGCAGCCACTTGGCATCTCGCACGGTCTCGTTCAGATGCAGTTCACAGCCTGGCTTCCCAGCCCGCCATTCACAGGTGGCAATGTGTCCTTTTCTCCCGGCAAGCAGTAAACTGCGCCCGTTCCTTGTGTAATCGGATACATAGGGCCCTAGATCCAGTCTGAAGTCGACAGCCTTGTTGGCCTGTTGGACACCAATCGCGTCGAGGATATCTGCCTGTCGGACTTTGTATGTCTTCTCAAGTTCGGATTCGGGTTGCAGGAATCCTTCCTGGTTCTCGTACAGGATCTCCGCATCCTTTGCATTCAAGACCGCAGTCCGGTATTTGTTCTCGATGCGCTTCAGGTTTGCACGCAGCTTCTTGTCTCGAACTTCATTAATCCGGACAGGGCGCCCTCTTCCATACTTCTTTCGTGCCTCGGCCACTTGCTTCTGATTTTCTTTGTCTTCGGCCGTCAATGTACTGGTAGGCCTCCGTTTCGTGGGCGATTGAAGATTCTGGATGGTAAGTTGGCCGTCGCCGTTCTCGACTAATGTCTCCATTCTCGAATCTCAACACGCTACCAGGATGGTGTAACTAGAGCACAAAGAGGTTGGTGTGCGTGAAGAGAGAAGGTTACGATCTCTCTGGAGTGTTTCTTGGGCACAGAGGATTTCGCTGCTGCGGCTGCGTCCGAGTCCGCAAAATTTCCGCCAAGAGGCGAGAAATCTAATCCTGACAAGGGTGATGGCGCCCTGCGCCCGTCGTCACAGTAAGGGTCTTATGATTAGAGATTATCTTTATCTTCTACACAGTCTCCAAGACAACGATACAGAGAGGACCGGACAGAAGAAACGGCAAAAACGTAGAGGTTGTTAAGGAATTGTATTAGAGGAACATTAAGGGCGCGACTCGGCTGTATTGCCGAATTAGGTATCACGGGCACGGTGGAGGCGTGGAAGCGTGATACCTGTCCCATTAACATTCCCTGTTCCTGCGGATAACATCAACCTCCTCGCCAGACCTTGCATCACTCCCCACATTGTTGAAGGCTCAGATGAGCATTACGGGCGCGACTCGGCTGTAATGCCGAACTAGGTATCACGGGCACGGTGGAAGCGTGGAAGCGTGATACCTGTCCCATAAACGTTCCCTGTTCCTGCGGATGATATCAATAGCCTCGCCGAGCTTGCTGTCGCGCCGCTCGTTCTTGGTTTGCGCGCTCTCTCTCTTCGGCGTGCGTTTCTTGCTCAGCGGCTTTTGCTGCATTGTCTGCAATCTGAGCTTCCTTTTTGATGAATTTTCGCATGCGCCGCCGGGCTTCTCCGTATATTGCTGGTTTCAACAGAGTGTTTCGGAGTATTTCGACATCTGCCGCCTGGACGGTCACAGGCTGGACGCCCGTAGCAATCGTAGATGGGATTTCGAAGAATGGAAGTGGGGATCCGTTGTGCTCAGGAACGAAAGTTGTGCTGAACAAGCATTCTGGCTCTCCAGTCACTGCGTGTCGTTCCCAAACCTCCCAGGAAATCGTAGTTCTCCCAACCCACTGAACGCCGTTGTGCCAAACCGGTCCCTGGTCTGATTCACAGTGAAGGTCTGCGGCCTGGACGTCTTTCAAGCCCTGGGCACCGATGTTGTCTGGGGACCGATACGCGGGATCCTCGGTAATGTCTAGAAGAACAACTCTGGAGATATCGGGCGATCCGCTGAGGTAGTCGTGGACTAATTTGATGAGCGCATCCTTGGTCTGGGAAGAAGCCACTTCGACGATGGTATGGGCCTTGAATCCACGATCTTGATCTTGTACCCATTCGAGGAGTATGTCGGGTGTTTTCATCGATCCATCCCATTCACCCTCAAATTCGCCAAACTCTAGATTGCTGGTGACCTGAAATCGTTGTCTTATTGCTGGTTCCAAACCATGTTTGGCAAGAACTGCGCGTTCGATTACCCAGTCGACAAGTATAGCGTGTCTTCTACCAGACATTGGGAAAATGGTAAGAACCGATTCCGAGACGTCGTACGAAATCTTGAAGTTGAATCTGTGGGAGAAGTTAGCCAACAATTGAGCAGAGCCTGTTCAAGGAGCGCTTACGCTTCTCGTAAACGTTCAAACTCGGGATCGACGAGTAAGCCGTACCAGGACTGCGGAGGTACTCTGTACTTGAGCGGCTTGTCCGAGCAAGACGTGTATCTGCCTGCGGCGAGATTTTTCAGTTGTGCGTACGCTTCATCTGTCTGGTTATTTGGATTGCGCAGATCAGTGAATTGTGTCTGGGCTTCACTCTGGTCACCTGAAAGGGGCGTGTCCTCAAATTGCAGCGATGTGAATGCCTGGTCAGAATTGGGGCTATCGCGGTTGAATGAGGAAGGGAAAGAGCCATTTGAGTAAGGGATACCACCATGTTCATGCGACGGGGAGGTGGTTGCAGTGGTGATGCCGGGGTGAGACTGTTCCGCAGAAGCCATCTGGGCGGTCGACCGGCTGTCTTCACAACAATACCAACAGCACTTGCGCTGGCTCTGGCGCTGTCTTTCGCAGAACGCGACAACCTTCCTCTAGCACTGAGGCGTTGCAGTACTTTGTATTGAGCCAGTACTAGGTCATAAATGGCATGGCGAGCAGAGACGGATAATGGACTGTTATGCGATGGAAGTGATATTTACAAAGATCTAATTACCAAAAGTTCACCTCACGCGGTGTTGATGACGTCGACGGTCAGATCACTCGCTTCCAACTGCCCGATCTGTGAGAATTACTTCAAAGGCAGGTCTTGCCGACGTCTAGAAATGGAAGCTGTCCCGAGGTGAGTGAATCACCGTCCACCGTCCACCGTCCACCGTCCACTGTCCACTGTTCACTGTCCATTGTCTAGAGCAGTGCTTCGTCCTGGCATAGTGTGTTAACAGAGAGCTCCACAGAGATCCAATCCAAGTATGTTTTCTTCATCACGTTATACGGCCCCTCAATCTCCTACAACAAAGCCAAAGCAGTCTGGGCGAGTGCACGGTAACTCTGGACCACATAGGCGACAGCCAGAGAAGTGTTGAACCCATTGCATCCTGTTGGCCCAGATCAAAGCCATTGGCCTGTCCGTCTATGGTTGTCGTGTACGAGAAGCTGGATCTATGAGGTTAAATGAAATGTAGTCTATCTCTTACCGCTTCAGAGCCCACCAACACCCAGCCGTTGTCATCTTCCTTGGTGTCGACATCAGTCCCAGCACCCTGTTTCAATCTCTTCTCCCCGTCTCCAGGCTCCGGATACTTCCTGACATGCTCAATCGCCCATCTGACTTCACGGTCGAGGATGGGAGGGGTCCTGCCTGCTCCTTCCAGTTCAGGGAGCCCAGCCAATTCGTATAGCCAGCGTAACCACTCCATGGTCTCCCCGTTATCCCAAGGGATGTCGTGAAACTTCCTGTGCTCTCTTCTGGCCAGCTCCCAGCGCTCCTTGTCCCAACGTTTCTGTTCTTCTTGGGGCGGTAGTGCGGTGGCATTCCTTCCAGAAAAGAGCCGTGCGAGCGCGATAGCCTGATATTCAAACGACCTGAACGTCAATGTGCGGGGCATACCGACGACACCGAGGGTAGGATGGTCAGGGAAGAAAGTGTGCTGATAACTCCCGACCAGACGATTTTGGGTATAGTCGAAGATCGGGCCACCATTGGCCTCGGCGTTCCAGAACGGAAAGGAGGCATGATAGCCAGTACAGTAGATGATGGCATCTATGGAGGAAAGTATCGAGCCGTCGTCGAACACAATGTCGCCGTTGGATCGGTATTCGCTGATGACGGGTTTCCACTCAATGCCCTCCGGAGGATTCGCACCGTCCCATCGAGAGCGAGATCGGCGCGATTGGTAGACGGGAAGTCGAGCCGCTTTGACGAGAGCGGTGGTGATGTCGTGGCCTGATGCCGAATTCCCAATCACCAGGACTCGTTTATCTCTGTATTCCTCCGGTGTGCGGTATGCTTTCGAGTGTGACACTTTGCCGGGAAACAGGTCTAGATACTCACCTAAACCGGTGACAGGGGGCACCTGTGACAGGTCAATGGCAGGGCCTCAGCTAGAAGTGCATTGGAGTTTGCCGGGATTGACCTACATATGGTACCGAGTAATGGCCATTTGCAATGATGACAGCATCAAACTCCTCTTCCCACCAAACATCGACGCGCCTTACGGCATCATGTCGTCGAAGCACGAGTTTCCATCTGGTCCCACTTGAGGTCGTTTTGGTCGGCAATTTGGACAAATCCTCCACAGTAGTATTCAGGGCCAGGAAGAGGTCTGTTCTGTGCGAAGAAAAGTAGTTGGCTATGTATTGCCGTGGTACCCAATGCGGAGCGAAAGGGCCGTATGCGAAGGGTAGATCTGAGAAGGACATGGCGATGGCCGGGACATTGGTCCTGCAAGCATCAGGAACCCATCCCATGCGTCCAGAAGCCATGCCAGGACTCACGTCAACTCATCATAGATTGGTGTCCGCTCAAAACGCTCTTGCGAGCTCGGGGTGGTGGTTTTGGGCAACCCATCGGGGATTGTCAAGGGCCGATCTATATCCGGAGGCAAGGCCCCAGGAACAATCTTGAGTGCGGGCCTGGGGTCACCATCATAGATCCTGGTTCATAGTGCGAATATGTTATATATACAGGCCGGAAGAAGGGGCGTTACTTTCATACCACGTTCCGCCAGGCGTCTCCCGCCGCTCGAAGACTCGTATCTTGTCGAAATAGCCCTCTGCTCCAAAAGCGGCTGCGGCTGCGGCTCCTTGATGGAAGGAAGGGAGGTGAGCATCAATTCCGGACGGCCAGATGTAGATGATTACCTGACGCCCCAGCACCGATGATGGCTACTGACTTGATCTGCTGAGCAGTCATCTTTGCTTGTCTCACGACAGGTAACAAACTTTAAGAAACATGGCAACTTGAGAATGCTCCAATATCCAGATCCAGGCATCCAGCACCAAGACCAGGACCAGGACATAAGGGCAATTGGCTGCTTTGTAACGGTGAACAGGTGAGCCGCAGTGCGCGATACAAGACTAGATGGCGTGCTTTGCACTTCAGCCAAACAGAGCGCATGTTGACCTGACAGTTAGCAACCACCTTTCCGCTTGAGGACTGGAGACAGAATATCCCCGAAGACAAACGCCTCGCTCCCGGCTGCGGGAAGGATGATCGCCTCATGTCACATCACATCCGAGTCAGAGAGTGTGGCAACAGGCCTTGGTCAGTGCCACCCTCCACCCTCGCTTGCGGCAAACTTACCGACACCTAATAATTAGAGGCACCTAGATGAGAGGTAGAGCTTTTCTTTCCATGTCCAGTTTTCTCCCATTGTTCTCGCTCATCTCGATGTTTGATGGTCGCAGATGTAAGCCAGAATGCGGTCATTGGGGTGATGGGATCAAAGAGGTGAGAGGTGAGAGGTGGACAGCCTCGTCGGCGCCACAGCCTCACACGTGACGCTTGGCAGGGAAGTGGCACAACTTGAAGCTCAAGTTCTTTTTCTTGGTCTTGCATCAGCATCAGCATCAGCATCCTTCCACACGCCTTCTAAATCTTCTGAAAACAGACCCGCGCCGTGCTTCGATCCTCGCGACGGGGCCCAATCATAAGTGAATGCGCCATGAGCGATGAGCGGAAATGGAGCGGAGTCCAGTGCGCCCACTAAGATTGACTGGTAATAATCTAGACTGCGCCGAAACTGAGCCGTATCCTGACTCCATCCTACACGTACCGGAGATCTGGACGCGCTTTAAGTGTCACCAAAGGATTCGTCCACTTGAAAATAAGCTTGTGGCGTCAAGGGAGCTTGGTCCGCAACACCAAGCAATTGCAAAGCTTTTCATGAGAACCACCTGGTGGCATGCTGGCCAGTCATGAACGCGACGGACTTTACACTAAACATGTAGGCGAGCATGCGTTTCGGCGTTATCATGGAGAATACAATATACAACCCTGATGAGCCATCCTGATGCTTTTCTCTCCTTCTTTTCGCGGTGGTGTTACAGAATGACGCGATATATGGCGAATCACGACCATGATCTCGGCAGGGGTCGCCAGGCAGGTTCATGCACTGAGATGGGCTATATATGTATGTCCTGTCCATTGACCCAAGTCCCTGCTGTTCACCGTCGCGTGCATTGCTACTGCGCAGTTGATTGCTCGTCCTCCATTGCGCTCCCCCCAAAATGGCGACTAAAGAACTCCATCCGGAGATCATAACCAAGCCCGAGCCTCACATTGCTGAAAGAGATGCCGACGTGACCTATACCCTACTGAAGACGCATGGGAGTGAGGTGGCACAAGGCTTGGATGTGGCGGGCCAGAAAAGGTTGGATCGGAAACTATACTTCGGCCTTGTGCCCTTGTTGGTCATTATCGACCTGATGCTGTTTGTATGTCGTCACCCTTGACACCCCGACGGGGAGACATCAACTGATAGACGAGCTAGATTGACAAAGCCACATTGTCGTACGCCTCCATCCTAGGTCTATTCGAAGAGACAGGCATCGGCAATGGCCAATATAATGACCTGAATACACTTTTCTATGCTGGTGAGAAAACCCCCCCAGTCTACTCGCTTTTGGAGGCCCGTATGTTTCTTCTAACGGAATACTTGCAGGATACATCATTGGGCAGTTTCCAGGCCACTATCTCATGCAGCGCGTGCCATTGGGACGCTTCATGGGCGGTGCCATCTTCCTTTGGTCGCTACTTGTACTCCTCCACTGCACGGCCGAAAGTTACGGTGCCTTGATCCCCCTAAGGTTCTTCCTAGGGGCTGTCGAGGCCACGGTGGTGCCGGCGATTGAAATCACCCTGGGCATGTTCTTTGTGCCCAAGGTGCAGGGGATTCTGCAGCCGTTGTTCTGGGTATCGTGCATGGGCGCACCCATCCCTGCCGGATTCATCGCCTACGGGCTCCTGTGGAGTCAAAGCTCGGTGGCGCCGTGGAAGCTCTTCATGATCACCACCGGCGGCCTGACTTTCTTCCTGGCCATCTTCTCGTGGTTCTACTACCCGAACAATCCGGCCGAGGCGAAATTCCTGACGTTGCGTGAACGAGTGTACCTGGTCACCAAGATCCACGACGCCACCGGCAGCTCAATCGAGTACAAAAAGGTCAAGAAGAGCCAACTGCGCGAAGCGGTGCAGGATCCTATCTCGTGGCTGTTTGGCCTCCAGGCCTTCACGCTCATGCTCTCCAACAACATCGCCTACCAGCAGAATCTGCTGTTCGTCTCTCTCGGCGTGTCGAATCTGGGGTCCACACTCGTCAGTGCCGCCAGCGGTGGCTTTTCCGTGGCATGCTGCATCGTGGCCACGATCCTGCTCCGCTACGTTCCCTGGCGCAAAGCCTACTGGGGCGCGTTCTGGTGCCTACCGGCGGTGGCAGGTGGCATCGGCATGGCGACGGTGGACTGGGACAAGAAGATCGGCCTCCTGGCGTGCCTGATCCTCGCCGGCGCCACGTTTGGCATCACCTACATCATCGCCCTGGGCTGGACCACGTCGACCGCGGCTGGCTACACCAAGAAGCTGGCGCGCAACGTCTTCTTCATGGCCGGATACGGCATTGCCAATCTGATCTCGCCGCAGATCTGGGTTCCGAAGGACGCTCCGAGATACTATCCCGCCTGGATTGTGCAGATTGTCATCAGCTGGGCCGGCACCCCGGTCATTCTGTTCATCATCCAATGGATCCTGGCGCGCCGAAACAAGGAACGATATGCGTGGATCGCCGAGCAAGAGGCAGCCGGCAAGACCAGGACAGGCGTGATCGAGCAGACGGATGCCGATGGCAAGAGAACCGAGGTCGAGGTCGACATCTCTCTGCTCGATCTGACGGATCTGGAGAACAAGTATTTCATTTATCCCCTGTGATCATTCGGAATACACGCCGACATCTCCCATCTCACATGTCGGTGGGGGCTCCGACGGGCGTGCGGATGGGCATACAGCACGATAAGAGGTATCATCAATAATATATAATACATAGGGAGCGCGTGTGTCGCAGTTGAAGAAGAGTTGAAGTATACTAAACCCGTCGCCCCCTTGAAAGCAGTCTGCGTTCTTATAGTACTCGATTGTCAGGTAATACCTAGTACGTATGTGGTATGGCTGGAGCTGACTCACACTGGTTGGGTACCTGCCCGGGTATCTATTCCGGACTGGCCACTGCTTACGCGGCAGACTTTACCGTGTACGGTACAGAATGCCCGTACTGTACAATACACGCACGCTGGCCGCGTCATGCTTGACCTCTCATCCGCACCCTCCGTACTCCGTATCTCGTCCGTATCTCTTCGAGGCGTGTTTCGAGTAATTACTCCAGATGTACGTACTAACGTAGCATACGGCCTTTTCCTTTCCTTCTCCCTCTCCAAGTGAGCATGAGCACCAGCACCAGCACCAGCACCCATCGACCCCTCTGCTTCTCTCTTCTCACTCCTCCAGCAGCTCTCGAGATGCCATGGGCACTCGCATTGGCCCCAGTTTCGACGATGAAGCCCGCCCAAGTCCTTCAAATGCGGCCCTTGGGGGTGGCAAAACTACCTTCGTTTTGATCGAGCCGTCCGGCGTTGAAGACATTGGTGATCTAGGAGTGCCCAAGCCCGCGCCCGCTCTCTGGAGAAGAGTCCAGACGTGCGTGAGGTCCATGTTCAACAACTCTGCTGCTCCGCTATGGGCCAAGGCCTCTGGTCACAGGCTCTGGCCCACGCCATTTCTCGGCCGGAGACCACGATTATACAGATTACTGGTCAGCCTCGTTATCGCTTACCTCTCCGTCGTGTTAGTTCCCCTGTGATTAAGATTAAGACCAAGACCAAGATCAAGATGCGCTTTCCTTTTTCAAGCACAAGTCACATCCCTCCAAATGCTAACACCGACCCTCCAGCGGCGCCGTCCATGTCCTCGACAACCTGTTCGGCGCTTTCGAAGCAGCAGTACCAGCATTTCCCGATCACCTAGACAGGTTCGTCTACTCTGGGATTCGGCCCGGTGAACTGTCGGCGTCATCGTCAGAATCACTGTCACATTGGCCCACTGATGCAACAGGCGACATCCACCCCGTCAACTGTCACTCGCATAACGACTACTGGCGGGCCGTGCCCCTGTACGATGCCATCTACGCCGGCTGCACGGGCGTGGAAGCGGACGTGTGGCTTGTCGACGATAGACTCTTGGTCGGCCACCGCCGCTTAGCCTTGACTTCGAGTCGCACTCTCCAAGACCTATATCTGAACCCGCTGCTGGACCTGCTAGAGCAGCAAAACCCGCAGATGCAGATCGAACACCATGCCCAGCCGAGGGCCAGGGCCAGGGACATGGATAGCATGGAGATGGATGAGGACGGGGACGAGGACGATCCCATCCCCGGTACCGGCATGTTGAACGGCGTCTTCGACGTCGACCCGACCCAGACGCTCGTCGTCCTCATCGACTTCAAGACTTCGGGTCCCAGGCTCTGGGCGAAATTGAACGACGAGCTGGGGCCCCTCCGCGAAAGGGGCTACCTGACTCATTTCAACGGCTCCACCGTTGTTCGGAGACCCGTCACCGTGGTTGGGTCCGGGAACGCCCCATTCGACCTGTTGATCCAAAACGACACGTATCGCGATGTCTTCTTTGACGCGCCGCTGGAAGCCTTGGCCGACACTTCGTCCCTATGGCCCAACCCGAACCGAGAGCAGGATCCAACGAGGGCTTCTGCTCATCGGGCCGGCAGTGGCAGTCATGTTTCTTCTGATTCAAGCCCGAAGCACGCCGGTCCTGAGCCTAGGACACCCACTTCCACAGAACAGAAGCAGCAAGGGCAACAGCAAGAGCAAGAGCAGCATCAAAGCCGAAATCGAAATCAAAATGGAAATGGAATCGGAAATGGAAACCAAACCCTCGACCAAGGCGGATCTGCCACAGCTGTTTCGGAGTCCACCCCGGTCTACGACCCGACGAACAGCTATTACGCCAGCGTATCCTTCACCCGCTCCATCGGCCGCATCTGGGGCTCGCGTCTGACGCAGTCCCAGCTCCAGCTCATCCGGTCCCAGATTCGGGGTGCCCATCAGAGGGGTTTGAAAGTTCGGTAGGTCATAACGACAAAACGGATAAGAGATGTTTTCCCTTTCCCTTTCGTTTGCCCTTTCGTTTCCCTTTCGTTTCCCTTTCGTTTCCCTTTCGTTTCCCTTTCGTTTCCCTTTCGTTTCCCTTTTCGTTGTGTTGTGTTGTCGTCTCGTCTCAAAGAAACGAACCCAGTTCCTGACGCCCAGCTTTGCCAACTAGATACTTTTCGCTCCCCTCGTGGCCCGTGGGCAGGCGAAACCACGTCTGGCACGTTCTGATGCGCGAGGGCGCCGATATGTTCAGCGTCGACGACTTACGTGGTGGACGGTGGGCGGACTGGAGGCGGAAGAGGAGCTGGGCCAATTAAAGAAAAGAAAGAAGAGAGGAAAAATCTTGGTAATCCCATTCTAATATTGTATTTGCGACAAGTCCAAGTAGAAGGAGAAAGAGAGAAGAGGCGCAGCCGGGGAGATAGCAGCTGGCTGGTCTCTGGATTGGTTTGGATTGGTTTGGATTGGTTTCGTTTTAAGGCGCGTAGCTAGACGTCCCATTTGTGAAGACGAAGGCCAGGTTTGCCGCGACAGGTATCGGGTGGCACTAGAGATCTATTGCTGCACGATCGAAGACGAGAGATCTATTACTGCACGATCGAAGACGAACAGTCGGCGCTGCTCCTGGTCCGGGCAGGTTGGGGGAGGTGGAGGGATATGGCTACAGCGCAATGAGACAATAGGACAACTGGGCCGTGGACGGGTCACCCCGACAGAGTCCGAATCCAGGACCCAGGACCCAGGACCCAGGACACAGGACACATCCTAAAGCCGCCGTGCTCAGGAGGAGATGGAGATGGACCGTACAATGTATACAACCCGTTACTCCTGAACAGTGCAATATCTCTAGATCAAGAAAAACGCAGACTCCTATCACAAATAATGTCAAGATGCGTATGCATTGTGGCTCCGAACAGTCCATGGCGACGGCGTAACAACACGCCAGTTGTCCGCAAGCACCCGAGCGCGACAGACCAAGTGATGGTCCATTTCAGTCCTCGTCGCTGTCGTCATCCAGCACAATCTCCAGCCCATTCGAACCCTCGGTGACCCACAGACTGGTCACGTACGCCAACACGGCAAGCGCCATGAGACACCAGAATCCCAGGCCGACGACACCAATCCTTAGCCCTTGGCCGAAGATGGCTAGAGCGCCGATGGGGAACAGCGAGCGGCCGAGATTTCCGATGACGGTGCCAGCCGTGTGGATGGTGCCACGGACCGAAGGGTGCGGAGTGCAGTCATTGATGAGCAGCGTTGTGGCCGGGGTGACGCCCGTCCGGCCCACGATGAACAGCAGGATGACGGCACCGGTGGCGAGCCAGACAGCCGCTGTGATGGTATTCCCCCTTTGAGAGGGCGCTGATGCCACCAGCGAGGGGAATGGCGCTATCAGGTAGACAACCGGGAAGACGAGGAGAGCGGTGCGCCAAATCCGGACGGTGCCGAACCGGTCTTGGAGAATTGGGTAGATCACCAGCTGGAGCACCACCCCGATGGCCCCGAGGAGCGCCATGGCCAGACCGACGTCCCGTGGTAGCATGCCCAGGCCTCCATTGAACACGACGGGAGGGTGCCGAGACTTTGCATCTCCGACAGGCGTGCTCAGGAAGATCGCCCACAAGTTGGAAAACGTACCCAGGTGGCCGGCAATGATAAAGTGCGAAAGTAGTGTGCAAACGACGTTGAATGTCCAGATTCGGCGGAATGCCAGCTTGCGCTTGCGCTTGGGCGGCTTGGGGATGGCGGGAGCCGACTCGCTTGTCGGTGTGAGTGGCGTGGCTGTATCGTCGCCCCTGACTGGAGTGTATGCATGAGGGTTGTCAGGGGACTTCCGCGAGAAGAACTGGCTGACTGTCCCGATGATCCGTCGGAGGCGCGATTCGTTGGAATGCTGGATGCTTTCGAGCGTCTCGTTCAGTCCAAAGAGCACCCCCAAGGCTGCGACCATGTACACTGCCGACACACACAGATTCGGCCGCAGATAAGGATACCGTTCACTCGGCCCGTCTCTGGCGTTGGAGCTGAGAAAGCCCCCTACCAGTGGGCCCAGAAGATTGCCTGCATTTGCAAACAGAGGAAGCAGGAGAAGAGCCCTGGCTCGATACCTGGTCGAGTTTAGTCCGGGAACTACTGTACCGGCGTGAAGAGATCAAAAGGGCAACCAACCGCTTCTCTGGATTGAGCTCCGCGACGACACATCTTGTAAGTGCAACGTTGCTACTCAACGAGCCTCCAAGCACCTGCCACACAACTGCCGTGATGAAGCTTCTTGACAAGCCGTATCCGAGATACGAGACGCCTGCTCGTACGTTAGCCACCCCTCTCGTCTAGGCAACAATAACCCCAAAACAGACTCACAGCAGCTCATGAGCCCGATCAAGAGGACTGCTTTCCTTCCTCCACTTTCCGAATCAGCAAGTCGACCCCAGAACATCCCCGTACACACTTGGGCCGCGGTTTTGGCACCGACAAGGAAGCCTGCTTGTGCTGAGATGGCCGCGTCGGAGAGGGAAGGGTCAAAGAATTTGAGCTGATAGAACATGTACGACTGGATCCCGTTGAGTAAGCCAACGATGACGAAAATCGATTCGCCTTGTTAATTTGGGTCATACCTGGATCGAGGTCTGAGCCAGTGGATCGGCCATTCGAGCGAGACATAGTATAGCGAGCTGACCTTTGTGAGGCAGACTGGCATAAGATACCTTCTTGTCCTTTTTGGAGGGGTCTGCCTCGCCGGGATGGCCAACTACAGGCATATTTGCAGCCATAGTTTGAGCCTCAATCTTGCACAGACAATGAAGCGATGTTGACCGCAGATGTTCCTATTATGTAGGCATAGTTGTGGCTGATCACCAATATACAGTACGCCTGGAAAAAAAAAAGATCTCGACAGGAACTGAGAGTACGGAGTAGAGAGCTGCCTGCGGGGGAGACGCGTAAGCTATGCGTGATTGACGACCATGTCGTTTGCAATTCGATAAGGCATACAGGGGTGTGGTAGCACTCGTGGTGACCTCATTCGACACACAGAGCAATGACACACCGCCGGCCTCAGTAGGGGTCTGGACATTTGATTGTGTCGTCATTCTAGTAGCCTAGTGACGGAGTTTGTATACTGAACAGTGTGTAGGATATTTCCATGGAGGTTGGACGAACATAATAGAGGTTAAGGCTGTCGGTGTCGGAGCGTCGTTGAGAGCGTCTCTGTACATCGGCAATGGTATGGCAACAGGGATTGGTGGCCAGCTTGGCGCTGGAACCGCTGGTCGACCACACCCATAGAGATCTGAGCCTTGGTTGCGAGACGGTGGAGACGGTGGGTGGGAAGCAGGTCGGGATGGTGGTGAGGATGCGGATGCGGATGTGGATGCGGGGCAGAGGGAGGTATACAGTCCAGTGCGCAGTCCAGCACGCAGTCTATCATTCCACGTCTTGGCCGGACCACCCTCTCGTCGCTCTGGAAGTCGTCTCGTCGGGCGTCTCCGAAACTCTAGCTTACCTGAAGACTAAGGGTAGTCTTCAGGTTTGTCTCAGCATCGACTTTGCAAGGGTAAGAATCTGGTCTACGGCTCGGCGGCGCACAGAGACGGCAGGATCTATAAGCTCAAATTTCTGATGATTCCGTACGACTACATGCCCAAGAAGAGAATCTATCTGCCTCTACTCATCCCGTCCAGGTAAAGTCTTCCTCCCCCCATTTGCTTGTGGCAGCATAGGCCTCATTCTCTGCATCGTGTTCATGAAAATCGGACCTGCCGCGGCAGGTAAGATATTCCGGAGAATATGCAGCCAAAATCATAGGTTTCCAGACTGTGAGCGCCCAGTCATGGATGTTCTTGACCCAGCTCCCGAAGAGTCCAAGGTGTAGAGGCAAGATACCAGAATCGAGCCATGACACGACACATCCGCTCCCTTCATCCTTTAGTTTTGCCTGTAAAACATTGAACCATAAGCCATTGTCCTCCATAACAATGATATAATGGCGTAGATCGCTCAACTGCTGAGCACCCGGAGTCATTCTGAGCATCTTGGCGTGAGAAGACAGGATACAGGCCGCAATCATAGAGCCCCGTGTGTGACAATGTTGGAATGGCTCATGTTCTTCTTGCCAGACGACTGTCAAATAGGGAAACATTCGGGAAGCTTCAAGCCCATCGACACCGTTTTCGGAAACTTGAATCAATGTAGTACGTGGACGGTCAAGCCAGAATGTGGTATGTGGGAGGAGCTCCTGGAGAAATGCACTGGTCTGCTCTGCGATGTCGAACTCATACAACAGATTTTCCGTTGGTGCGTTTGGCGGGTGTGAAGCAGGGGACTTTCCTGTCTGAGAGTTGTCGTGGTTAGGTGCTCTAGAAGGAGCGGGCTTCTTTCTCAGCAACGTGGGCTTGACTGATTTTGTGGTTGCTCGCGAAACAGCGGGCTTGTTTCTCAGAAACGTGGCCGTGTCCAATGCTGTAGGCGGTGGCATGGATGTTCCTCCGGCTGATTGCGCTTGTATATGTGCCTTTTCTTCCGGTTGCACATGCTGCTGGCCCCGCTTGACTAACACTGGCTCCGGCTCCAAGGAGATCTCACCAGTCCAGAGCTTTGCATCGTCCACTCTCTTGTAGGCAGAACGCTTGGGCTTGTCAAAGAACACCTGATCTATCAGAAGACGGACAGCCTCCCTACTACCGCGTTCTGAGCGTAGACCTTGTCGTGCGACCTCCACATCAATATACCGCATCACAGTGCCAACTTTGCCGAAGTGCTCATCCGGAGTCATGTACTCACACATGCCCACTGGCAGCACGTGGACGTTGTTGTTTCGGAGACATTCTGAGAGTATGATCGGTGGCATCGGAGGCAGCTGAGAAGGCATCTCGGACGAATACAACGACTGTGGCGCAAACTCCGGTTGGATTTCGTTGCTGGTACAGAATTCCCGTACCTCTTGCCACAGTTCCTGAACTTCAGACTCGTCACCGCAATAAGATGGAGATCCTTGGGAGAGAGGGGATGATTGGGTGTCTTGGTCAAGGTATTGAGCAGAGATTTGCAAAGAATTTTGGTCGGAGTGGTCTGATGAGAGGTTCTCTGATGAGAAGCTCTGTAATGAGAGGTTCTCTGATGAGAGATTGTCAGTCTTATTGTTGGACGCACTGGGGCCTGGTTTCCAAGACTTACGCTCCTTAGGATCCATGACTGTGGGATCTGATGCTTATCTGTCGCAAAGTCTTTGTGGTAGGGTTTGCCTCTTGCGAAATCCTCGTGGAATGTTTGATGTCTGGTGTTTGGCATTTTGATCAGAGAAAAAAGAAAATGTAGGGCATGGTTGATTGTTTATATCCATTTATAGATAAGAAACAAATGCGCGTCCTATCGCGGTCATCATCAATATTGATGTCACTGAATGTGATCTTAATCGATAAGGGACAACAAGCATGGGGGCCGCCTGTACCCCGGTGAAGACTGAACTGCATCACAGACTTCACCGTCTTGGATCCTGCAGGGTGCGAGTCTCTTGAAAGCTTTGTCATCGTGGCGCATACGATCAACAGATCCCACCTGCCCTGAAAGGAACAAAGCTTCAGCATCAGACATACAAGGGGTGGTGATATGTCCTTGATCGCTGTCTTGGACGACTAACCTGACGGGATCTGACATAGCAAAGGCTAGCGATCTTCTTCTTGGGTAGACTTAATCCCAGCACCGTGCTGACCGCTGACATTCCAGCATGGCAATCCAGTATTGAGAAGTCATCTCCTTCTCAGCTGAGAATCCGTCGTTCACAGATGGCCAGAACTCAACGTTCGCGCTCCTGGTGTTAAGCATTCGGGATGCTATCCGGTGCAGAATCACCATTGTCTCTGGGTCGGCAACCATCCTATAGAGGGTTCTTGACAAAAGCTGCCTGGCATTGACCACCGTCTTCTTCTATGATTAGTGGTAATTTTCTTTCCGAGGTGCCCACCCAGTTGAATAGTGAGAAACCATGATTCGTTGTCACGATCCAGGTGGCGCCACGGAAGTCATCACTGATTCATCACTCGGCGTGACGCCATTCGCAAGAAGGTACCCCATAACGGCAGGCTGGTTGAGATCAATTGAAATATTGAGAGCCTTGAAGCCCCAGTTTGCGGCATTCAGATCCAACCCATTATTGGCAAAACATTGGATTAACCGTAGATAGACATCTTCCCTGTATCTTGAAGAATGCGCAGCGATAAGAAGAAGCTCTCCAGCCAAATTGTGGCCGTATTCATCAATCGTGATAGACTTCGAGAGCAGCAATTGTAGCATGTCTACTCGGCCAAAGCGACATGCCTCGCGGACCGCATCATAGTCTTGTTCGTGCGTTGGTCGGGCGCCATGAGCGATAAGCGTCGTTGTAATCTCGAACTCGCCGCTATTGACTGCATGAACAAGGGGAGATTGCGGGTTATCGCCCTTCTTGTTCACGTCGAACCCGAGTTCGATTGCCAGCAGCACAAGCTCGTTGGTGTGGTTGACGATTGAGCGATCGACCACATAGTGTAGCAAAGGTAAACGGACATCGTCCATTGAGGCGAGTACCAGCATTCGAATGATCTGTTCGCACACATCCAGGCTGCCAGGATCGCGGGCAAGCTTCTCCACTGTAAGTCTGATAGCCATCTCATATTCTTCGCCATCGGCCTGCATGCGATACTGTGGCTCGAGCAGCAGGTGGACCATCTCGGTATCTCCAGCTACACATGCGTCGTGCAGAACCATTCTGTAGCCCATCTCCGGGTTGTAATAGATCGAATACATGTTGACACAGGCCCCATTGGCGAGAAGCAGCCGGGCCATCTCGCAGTTACTTTGCTTGACAGCCATGCGCAAAGGATCGGCAAGGTGGAATGACTCCAGTTCATCGGGTTTCTGGGCCAGTAGAGCCTTCACTGTAGCTCTATCATCCAACATGACGGCAGTCATCATGGCCCAGCCGTGCGGCAGGACCTGGTCATTGTACCAAGTCAGACGGTTTAACGAGGCAAAGTCAACACCGTTATGGAAGGTCAAGGCTGTGAGAGCGACCAAGGTGTAGATTCGATCGTTCTTTTCTTCGTCGGCCGAGCGGATTGTACTGCTCACTGCGCTTGTTCCACGGCCCGGGATCTCTGTGTCCCACCAGAACTCTTCAACAGCAGCCAGTATCCCCACTGCGCCCTGGAGATTGGTGGCTAATGCACACTTTGGCCGGCAACTTTTCATCTGGCCCTTGAGGCATCTGTATAGGTGCTGCCCTGTCATAACATGGGTCGTCCACTTCAGGGGCCCTTGATGAATAGCCACCGACATTCGATCAAAGTAGGCAGACTGGATTTCGCGGTCGAACACTCCTGCGGGGTACTGTTACTAGTGCATCGGTGAAAGGAAGATGACAGTACAGCTCAGGTATACTCACGATTGACTCTGCGCAGCTGCAGTCCTTCAGACCAGGTCGAGTGGGCCAATACATCATCAATGATTGGGATAATCACATCCAAAGGCAGCTTATAGAACCCCATTATAACAACAGAGGATGCTGGGTGCAACAAGACATTCCAGTCTTCGGAGTGCGAAGAATGTTGCCTCAGCCGCGTAGAGCAGTCTTGGAGAGCGAGCCGGAGGGTCAAACTTGAAGTTGCCTACGGTCAAGACAGACTCCGCAGCACCTAGTACTAGTTAGTGCTAGTAATATAATTAGCTAGGTACTAAGCAGTTACAGATTAGCGAGACTGGGCAGACGCTATATCACTTAGCCAATCACAATTTCACCAGCCACTTCAGCCTTGTCACTTGTACTCTGTATTTCTGTTTGCTGACTACGGAGTACTGGTAGGGTCCATTTGGCACACCTTGCACCATTAGTAGATACTCCTCACACCATATCATATCTAGTCAAGTTAAGTGACTGTAGCAATTGTTGGGCTTAACAGCCAGGAAAGCGAGAAAAAGTAAATTTATTCGAGACCCTCGCAGATCATTCCATTTCACCTGGTAGGTCGCAGTCTTTACGACGGGTATGAGTTCTTCGATCCTTGACATCCTAGAGATCCTCCCGCCCCCATCACTCCCACCACTTTGCCCATCTGCCATAGTGATTTCTGTCGCGAATTGCCATGGAATCGATACGGCTCTTCGGTTATCCTATGCACTGAATACGTGTATGGAGCCCTTATCTTCTGAATCTGCTTCTCCACCATCGGTATCCACCGTCATAGGCCATGGCATGTTGCTCTATGGACTCCACCATCCACCACCCGCGCGAGCAATACCGAGTTCAACCCTTCCCGAAACGCCTCTCGAAGACAGCTCAACAAGCCACACTTCTAGTGCACTAGTAAGGTTATATCATCTGGGAGATCCCACTTACATTCGGCGACGGGTATTGAATCGTAGATAGAATACGTCCGCCGCGTGGTGTTTAAGTATGACTGCACAATTCACGTTCACAGTTTGGCGCCCACAAGGGTACGATACCCAAGAGCAAGACCGATGTGAGCTCATCCCTTGGCTCTCGAACCGAGTCTGTCACCACACTCATGGATCGGTATGAACGCCGCGGAAGTCTACTCACGAACAGCAAAACAACTGTGGCAATCCAGGAAAGGTCCAACTGTCCCACGAAGTTTCAATTAGCCCGCCAAAGGAGAGGTGCCTGTCCATCGTCGAATCTACTCCGATCGAATAACAGCACGCTGGTCGGCCCAATTCTCGATCTCCTACTCTACCTGATCTATCGCCAAATCATTCCGGCGACTCATTCCCCCGGACCACTCCCGGACATTATACCCTCTCGATGCCCACTCCAAGTCTAGGGCACCGCCCTAATCCAAACGAACCCCAAACGCTAACTCTGGATCAAGCACGACATTATCCGAACTCGGGATTTGCAGTAAGGATCATGCTCTTCTTTTCACGTCACTTCGTCAAGTCGCGTTGACACTTGAACTCTGCCACCAATACTTGTGGCCACCACCCACCCCCTCTCCCTCTTTATATGTCACGGCACTGCCTTACGATGGCATGTCCTTGCTGTCTGGTCACTCTTATGGAGATATCAATCGTTGGGATGCGACCGAACGTCGAGTACTGAATAAGATTGCCAGCCTGGGTCAGCCTGTCACGAACATCGAAATGCTCAAGCCAGGTGATTTCCCGAAACTAGGAGAGGTGGGCGTACACGCTGCCGAATGTCGTCAAGCCAAATGTCGAGTTCCCCTCTTCTACCAACAATTGCACTTGAGGCCTTCCGCAAAGGACAATCTCCACATGAAGATTACCAGTCCGAGGTCGACAGCAGATCTGAATGGTTTTGAAACAGCTCTACTAAGGTGTGGGTGGCCTTATAACATGTTTGACAGTGCTCGCGGTCACTCAGGACTGGGAACGCGAGGATAAGTCCAATAAGCTTTGCTGATGGCAATGATTGAAAGGCCGGCGGCCCTGATGACGAAATCGTATCATTAGAGCAGCAAGTCGGAGCATTGCACCGCGTCGAAGAAAAGAGAAAGAAGCGAAGGCTGACCCAAATAAAATTGCAAGAAGAACTAGACTTCGAGAAAAGAAAAGCATATTTTAAGGGCCCGGAAGAACGGCCAGGACGGGGATGAAGCTATGAAAGACATGGAAAGAGAAGGCAAGGGTCACCAGTTGATCTGGAGAGCGGTGAGGATACCTCTGACGACGAAATGGATGTCGGTTGACAGCAATATCGACTATTCGGATCAAACTATCCTCTTCGACGCGCTCCTCAACAAGGGTTGGTTATTTTACGACTAGTAGGTCACGGCTTTGTTTTGTGTGCTACCGGTATCAAGCCCGAACCTGGTCTGGCTAGAGGTGTAGACCTTCATGTTTTTATACATCTTTTGCCTCCTTACAACTTTCTTTCGTCCTTGTCACTCTCGCGTCCGAGCAACCAGCCAACCCCTTTGTTGGTGTCAGCTTTCCACTTGGCCGCCTGTTTGATCGTCCTAAAGACACTCCAGAAGATGTGCGGTGTGCCCGGATACACGTCGAGCAGAGTTTCCACTCCACGCTCCTTCAGGACCTGCTCATAGATCAAGCCATCATCACGCAAAATGTCCGAGCCGCAGACCTGGAAATACGCCTTGGGCGCGACGTGGGCGTGTTTCGACAGCGGTTCTGTGTTGAAGGCCCGGTAGAGAGGCGAAGATACATCTGCGTTGTACGCCCGGTCGAAGAGTGTTTTGGTATCGGCGTTGAGTATTGGAGCGTTGATGCACCGCTCGTCGGTGCGCGAGAGGTATTGTGTTCGATACTGGTCCGGGATGGTTTCTGGGTTCGCGATGAATGCCCCTGCTGAGTAATATAGACCCGAGATTTGGGGACTGTGACTCGTTTCTTTTGCTTGTAGGGCGATCAAGCTCGTCAGCACGGCGCCGTGGCTTACGCCGCCGACGATCAGGCCTGCGGACGCGTCGGCGGAGAAGTCGGATGCGCGAGTCGAGATGTATACGAAGGCGTCCCAGCCGTCGTTTGCCCCAGTGGGGAACACATAGTCGGGTGCCAGGCGGTACTGCGGACTGATCACCACACAGCCGTGCGCGAGCACGAGTTCTCTCGCCAGGGGGGCGACCGAGTACGCCGTGCCAATGACACCGCCGCCTCCGTGGAAGAAGATGACCAAGGGAATCGGCTCCCATGTAGGACTGGCCGGTTGGAAGACGAAAAGATCGAGCTCGGCACCGTCGCGGGTCGTGAACTTCCTGTTTGATTCTGTGACTTCTGGCACGGGGGGTGGTCGAGGCCAGCGAGTTTCAAGGGTACGGAGCTGGGTAACTGCCTCGGCGATCGAGGACAGGTCAAGCTTCGGGATGGGGAGTCTGCCGGATTTCACAACCTGGAGCTTGTTCAGATATTCTGCAAAGGAAACGTGCGGAGGGGGACCAACGAAAGGGATGGACATGGAGGACATACTGCGTCGATCTCAGGGTCAAGTACCGCGAGGGCGTCGAGTTCTTCTTTAGTCCGTGTCATCGCGAATCCTGGTCTAGTCGACAGCGAACACTAGATGCTTGAGTAAGCGCAGGAGAATCCAGAAATCCTCTATGAAACAGAGCAGTGCACAGAGGTCATTCGAGGTTTACAACTTCGGATGTTGTCAAAGGCTGTCTTCCATGCAACGCCCATGTTTTGTTAGATGGTTGAGCGCTTGGATCTCAGTCACTGTGCGAACCTGGCACGCGAGGAGTCAACGCCATCGCCGGAGGCAGAAGACGGCTTAAATCAAAATTGAAAAAGACGGCATTGAGGCTTCCTTCGAGACATCAGCCTTCTCCGCCACATGTGGGTGACATGCAGTGCTGGAGCCTGGAGGGATACGCCAGTACTCCACTCGAGTGCGAGGCATTTAAGTCATTGGTTCCGTCGGAGAATGCTAATTGATCAATGCCTGATAAATCCGTGGTTCCCGGGCCCCATTCAGGAGACAGGTGGAGACAGGTGGAGATAGACGCATCTGTATCGTCGCGGTGCTGTCAGAAAGCCCTCATGGCGCTCCCCCAAGCAGTAACCACTAGTTCCAGTATTTATGCAATTGCAGGTGTGCAATCGCCGCCTTTTTGGAAGGTGATCTCTGCAGTAAGTCCAAGTTTGCTTCTGCGGTCGTCTGCCATGGCACATATTACAGACGCAGAAAGGGGGAGTGGATGGATAGATATCCATGGACATTTCACACCACCAATGACCGAGGAAGAGAAGATCTCTCGATGGAATGCTGCACAGGAGAGGTGTTTCCTGATTCCCGAACCCGGGGCATGGAGTGTCGAAGCAACTCTGAGATACCTGGACAAGGCTGGGGTCGCCATGCAGCTCCTCAGCAACATCCCACAATCGCTGCCTGCGCTGAAGGCCTCCAACGACTACGGTGCCTCCCTGGTCGGGCGATATCCATCGAGATTTGGACTTTTGGCTGCACTACCGACGGACGACGCAGCCGCAGCCCTCGCGGAGATACAGCGCGCGACTGCTGAACTCGCCCCCGACGGGTTCGCGGTGACGTGCTGCTACAACGACGTTTACCTGGACCACCCGGCGCTGGATGTCGTGTGGGAGGAACTGAACCGCCTCGAAGCCTGTGTCTTCATTCACCCCAATGCCTATGCGGCTCCGAAGCTCGGTCGGCCCGCGCCACTCGTCGAGGTGGCCTTCGAGACCTGCAGGACCGTCGTGTCCATGCTGTACACGAGACACTTCCAAAGATTTCCGAACGTCAAATTCATCGTCTCGCACTGTGGCGGAAGCCTCCCGGTCCTGGCGAGCAGGTTGGAGCTTCTGGGGGCCGAAGCCTGGGTCCCCAACCCGCGGGGAATCGCCTCGGACGACATCAAAACCCAGCTGAGCACCTTGTATCTCGACACGGCCGCGACCTGTCCGTCCGGGCTGGGTCCGGCCATCAAGATGACATGTCCGTCACATATCGTCTACGGGACCGACTGTGGCGTGCCGTGTTCGACGGACCGGACCATGGACGCGAATAAGCGGGCAATTCTCCAGTACGACGGCTTGTCCCCGGATGAAATCCAGGCAATAGGGACAAATGTACTGGCACTTTTCCCGACAGTGGCAGCGCGAGTATCGGCCTCGAAGGTGTGAACTCTGGCCGCTTCATCATAGACCTCAATAGGGAGGAGATCTCAAGGAGGAAGTGGCGATGGCATAACAACAGGAAAAGACATGATAAGTATTGATGGTCGTTGACCGTGACTATCTATGTATAACACGCTGTTGTCCAATATCGAGGATAGCCTTGCCATTTTCGTGCACATGTGACTCCACTGTAAGACCTACCTAGGCCTCTGCTGACTGCGATGCTGAATGCTGAGCAGAGATGAGATCCGTAAGATATTCTGCAATGACCAAGACTTTCTCTTCCTGGAATCTTCTTGCCACCAGCTGCAGCCCGACATGGCCGCCGTGATAAATTTCTGGCTCGTCTGCGAAGCAGTGTCAACATCTCGGGAGGTATTCAAGGAAGGGTCTGGTGACATCAACTTACATCCAGAGTGTACATTCGCGTCATGATCACTGATCGGTTGGAAGCCCTCGCTGATGTCGATCTTTTTATCAACGGTCGTAACCGGAAGCGTGACAATTGAGTAGTCCAGTGCACTGAGTGCCGTCGTGTACCCGGCGTATGTCCTTGCACCGGGTCTTGTCGCTGTCGCGGCTCCTGCCGGCAAGATAAACGCGTCGACAGGCCTGCCTGACCTTGTTCGCTGTCGGGTACTATTCCAGTAGTCCATGTATTCCTTTTGGAAGGCTCTTTTCGCGACGTTGTTCTTTGCGATGGCGCTGGCCTTCATTTCCTCCCTTCTCTCGCTTCCAAATATCCAGGAGATCTTGTCAGACATTGGCTCTCCTGACAATTCAAAAGAGCCGTGGACGTCTTCGCCGCCGTCATAGACCCAGCATGCTTGAACAATGTCGATAGCTCGTTGGTGAGAGGGCGGGTTCCAATCCACAAGTTCGTGGCCCGCTGCGGTCAATACCTTTGTGACAATGTCCAGCGCCCTCATGATGGGGGGATGAGACTGCACGATGCCGTCACATCTCATGATCCCGAAGGCAAGCTTCGTTTCTGTCGTCCTCCCAGCTATGTATCTGAGAGTTTCTCCTTCCTGGTCGCTTCGCCAGGGGAGCTCCACCACGAGAGGATCATAGAGCCACGGCTTTTGGCTCAGTATGGCCTTGATCATCAATCGAAGGGAAGCCGGAGAATGTGACATGGGCCCGACGACGGAGAGAACAGTGTTTTGACCGTCCATGGAATTGGCGAGCCCTTGATATGGAAGTCGCCCACTCGACGGCCTGATCCCATACAGTCCGTTGAACGCAGAAGGCATGCGGATACTGCCACTATAGTCCGTACCGAATCCAATGGGAGATCCTTTAAGGCTGATGAGCGCGCCTTCGCCGCCAGAGCTTCCACCGCTGCTCAGATTGCGGTTCTTGGGGTTCCAAGTATACCCAATGATATTGTTCATCGTTTCCGCTGACATCAACGTCTGCGGGACACTGGTTTTACAGTACAACACCGCACCTAGAGCTCGCAGTTCACGCACCATTTCGCTCTCGTAAGTCTTGTGCTTAGCCGTGTCCTTCTTTCCCTGGAACGTGCCAATCCAACCGACGTACCCCATTGTTGTATCCACACCTTTGACATGAAATTGATCTTTGAGGCTCACGGGGAGGCCATGGAGAGGCCCTACGGGATGCCCCGTTTTGGCAAAGTATTCATCCAGAGCAATCGCGTCCTTGATCGCTGTGTCGAAGAAGATTTCATGCAAGCACGACACCTGTAGAAAGCATCAGGATCTGACTGATCTAAGAGAGCGTAAGTGCTTAGCAGCACTCACCATTTGATGAGCCAGTGCGGCTCGATGACAGAACGCCCGAGCGACATCCTCAGCTCGCCAGCGCCCGCAAGATATATTCTTGACAATGTAGACAGCATGACATTCGGTGATTTCCACCTCCTCACTGCTCAGGTACTGACATATGTATGGGCCTGTTAGGTCACGCTGTTCTTCGGCGGACGGGACAGGACTGTTTAGTCGCCAGTTTTGGGGGATGCTGCTGTTGATTGCATCTAGCTTTTCGCGAGCTCGAGCTTCCCACGCCATCTGTATTGATGTTGAAATAGATATTGGTACTCTTACAACTCGCAGGAACAGACAGAAGTCGTCTCTGGTACATCTATGGACAATATATGGTTCATACGTCAAGGATTCATCTTCACCATTCTATCTAGCTAGCTCTCTGTCTTTTCGGCCGCAGTCCTCGGAAAGGCCAGGACTTCATGGTCACAGCTCCATCGAGTAATGATATTTGCCACTGGAGCTACGCAAGAGCCTGCCTCGTATTGTTGGTGGGGCGAACCCCTAAATACTGCATACGCATTCCCAGATCCCCCGAAAGCGCCAATCACGGACTGGTTCTACTCGGCGATATGCTGAGGAAAAGCCGCTGCAGACATCCATATTCCAAAGTCCTTATCAGGTGGAGTCTTGATAGAATCTGGACGCTTGTTGGGCCGGGGTCTTTCAATGCATTATCGTTCCAGGCCGTGCTATGGGAACCGCGATCAATGGAAGCGACGAAGTTACTCATAGCGAGAGGCTTTGATGGTGCACCCAGCTCTTTACTAGACAAGAGTCTCCATAGATAAGGCCAGAGAAATAGGAACGTCTCGAAACTGGTCACGGTAGATGATAAAGAAAAAGCGTGGCACGATCGTTATCATGCGTGCGTCGAAGACTTGAGCTCCAGAATTTTGGATAAATTGGCTTGGTGCTTCGACAGAGCCAGGCATACACTTACAATCCTCCCCAACCACGGAAGTGACTCTGGCCACACCATCTCACCATGTCTCGCATTATTCACCGCAAACTTCAGTCCGTCAAGGAAAGGGTCAAAGAAGAGGTTGACCAGAAATCCAAGCCGTCAGGATGGGTTTTACCAAAAGAACCATCCAGCTTTGGGGACGACACATGGACGAACAAAGATCTTGATGTCACCCCCGTCGAGAGAAGGACGTGGACTTCTCTCACAATCCTAGGCTTTTGGGTAAGTGTCCTGCCCTTCCGAGAAAGAATCACGGTCTGACCTCGCACTCCCCGGTAGATAAGTGATGCGATGAGCGCTCAGACCTGGGAGGCCCCGTCAAGCGTCCTCTCTGTTGGCCTCACTTGGTACGTCCATCCGACAAAGACTTGTTGGTCCACGTTCTCACAGTCGCAGGCGCGAAGCAGTCTATTCCATCATCATCGGGCAGTTGGTGGCTGCCATTCCTGTCGTTCTGAATGGCGCCATGGGTGCGAGCCTCCACGTCCCATTTCCCATCGCGGCCAGGTCGTCATTTGGCTTCTATTTGTCTCGGTTTGCCGTGGTGGTTCGAATGGTGTCTGCCCTCTTTTGGCACGCGATACAGACCTACACTGGCTCGACGGCCATGACTCAGTGCATCAGAGCCATATGGCCTTCCTATCTCAACATCCCCAACCATATCCCCAGTTCGGTGGGGATTACGACACAGCAGATGGTCTCTCATCTCATTTTCTGGAGTGTGCAGTTCCCCTTCCTACTCACCCCTCCCCACAAGTTAAAGTGGTTTTTCACCTTCAAATCTGTCGTGGTCACGGTCTCATCAGTGGCCATGGTCATTACGATGACTGTGAAAGCCCACGGTGCTGGAGACATCTGGGACCAAGGTTCAACGGTCAGGGGGTCCACCAAATCTTGGTTGATTCTGCACTGTCTGTCGTCGACCATGGGCGGCTGGTAAGCATCTGGGCAGATTCGCACATTCTTCGTCGGACTACTCACTGACGATTGTCAAAGGTCAACTCTGGGAACGAACATTGCGGATTTCACAAGATATATGAAAACCGACAAAGGAGTATACTGGCAAGCGTTGTTTCTTCCGGGAATTTCACTTGTCCTGGGGCTCTTTGGAATCATCTGCACGTCGGCCGCCAAGGTAGTATACGGGGAATATATCTGGGATCCCGTCAGCCTGATCGCCCTCTGGGACGGCCCATCGGGGCGGTGTGGAGCGTTCTTCGTTGGATTATCATGGGTATGGATTCATTCTCAGTCCCTCCGAATGAAGCGGAGGCAAAAGTCTGACTCTCTATACAGGTTGTCGCACAAATCGGTACCAACTTGAGCGCCAACGTCATCTCTTGCGCCAATGATATGGCGTCGCTGTGCCCGAAATACATCAACATCCGCCGTGGAGCTATCATCGTGACCATTACTGGTAGCTGGATCATGGTTCCCTGGAAGATTGTTCACAGCGCAGAGTCTCTTCTGACGTTCATGGGCGGTATGGCCGTGTTCCTGGTACCCGTTGCCTCGATCCTGGCCGCCGACTTCTGGATCACCAAGCGCAGGCACATCGACGTCCCAGCGCTTTACCAGCGTCACGGCCGATACCGTTACAACCAGGCTGGAACCAATTGGCGGGCCGTGGCAGCATTCCTCGTCGCCGTGACACCGAATTTACCAGGTCTCGCACATGCTGTAAACCCCAAGTTGCACATTGGAGGAGCAAAGTACATATACGATGTGTTCTACTTCTGGGGTCTCTTCAGTGCGTTCGTCTCGTACAGCCTCCTGAGTGCACTCTTGCCGGCAAGAGAGACACTCCTGTCAGCTTCGGTACTTGGAGATGTTGCTGCACTTGACGGCGTCGAGGGTGAAGAAATGCAGGATCCCACTGCCTTTGAAGAAGCGTTGAAGGGAAAGGCCAACGTCGAAGCCGAAGCCGTGGCTGTCTGAAGTCAAATACAGCATGTTCTTTCTGGGTCTGCCGTCTGGGCGGTCACACCCATACTCCTGTGTACATATCTATCACCGAGTTGGGAAGCTCTACCCCATCAACAGATGGTTGTTTCGTTCTTTTGGGACATCATTGTCGTTGCCCATTTCGTGTCATCGAACTTTTTGACCGTGCACCGTTCATGGCGTGGTTACGGCTACCGAGGCTCACTACCTACAGTAGGGTATATTGGTGTTTTTTGGTATTTTGGCCACTGACTGATACTCCGAGCGCTCCAATCAGCGACACAGGTTTAAATGTAAATCCGAGCATGAATCCGATAGGGGCGAACAATGGACCCAAATTCCGGTGGAGACAAATCTGGCCGTGGCCCCCCACAGGCTTTTCAACTCTCGATTCTCTTTCGAGCCTGACCACCTACTTTCCTGTCTCTCAGCTGCGATGCTAGCCCCTAGTATGAGGCCGCAGCAAATCTGTTCTCGTCGACTTTATTGCGTCGCTACCATCGCCTAAAGAGAGGAAAGCCGAGCTCGTCGGGGGAGCGGGTCTGGCGGCACGAATGGTTGGGAAGCCAAAGTCTTGCGCCATCTGTCAGGCGCGAAAAGTCAAGGTCGGCAAGAAAGAAGCAACCCCCTTCCCCCCGAAGAGAGTCGGCAAGTCCTCCTCCTGGCGGATCCCTGACGGGCAGACAGTGTGACAGGGCAGACCCGGCTTGTTCGCAGTGCGTGCGATACCGTTGGACCTGCCCGGGCTATCCTTTCAAGGAGGCGAAATCCACAGATACGGGCAGCGCGTCCGACAGTCGAGGTGTGTGAAACCCAACCCGATCACGTCTTCGTTGCATGACCTTACGATCGATTCCAAAAAGACAGTTCGACAGGCAACGGTGAAAGCGACCGACCTTCCCCGGGAGGTATACCAGTCACGCCAGTCACGCCGGAACAGTCTGATGCGACGTCTGGGCCCAAATTGGCACACGAGATTAATCAGCATGGCATCGTTGACTGCGGTTCATCGAGCCCGAAGCTTGATCTTTTTCTGGCTCCAAGTTTCCTTGCGTCCCCGGTCGCCTTGGAACTGATCAATCACTTGACCTCTGTGAAGCCACATGGAAAATCCTTGAGTCAACTGGGATGCTTCATCCAACTTGTACCTGCACGGTTGGGAACGTACGACGCTCTCGACGACGCCGTCAGGTGTCTGTGCAATTCTTACACCGCCTTCCTGTCGTCGGGTCGATCTGTCAGCCCGGTTCATTACGGGCGGGCTCTGAAGAGTCTGCGCAAGTCCCTCGACGACTCCACGGTGGCTCTGTCTTCGGAGGTCCTGTGCGCCGTGGTGTGTCTTTCTTGGTTCGAGGCAAGTCACCTGCATGCGACCTTCATTGTCGGTGGAAGGTCCTTAACAATGTAACAGGTCCTGACGAACAAACTCGACGCTTCTTGGCTCAAGCATACCGCGGGATGTGCCAGGCTGATCCAGCTTCGTGGACCTCAGCGCCATGACAAAGATTTTGGAAGAGCACTGCTCCACGCTGAGCATGGGCTGATAGTAGGTTCATGGGAATGCGGAAGCTTCTGTAGTCCTCGAAAGGCTGACCTGACTCCACAGTCCTGTTCAGCGTTGATTCAACATCGGCCGTGCTTCTTAGATGATCCCAGCTGGACCGCCGTGCTAGACGCCCCTCTACCGGGCCCGCACATGGACCCCGAAACGGACCAGCTTATCATCCACTTTAAACACATGGCAAGGATGAGTACCATTCGAAGCGACATGGAAAGTATCTCCGCAGGTGCGAAGCTTGCATCCTCAAAGGCGCCTGACATACACCGCCAACTCTTACAGCTCCGTGACGAGTTCAAGAGACACCTCCTCGTCGCCTTCAACCCTGAGACAGGGAACAGAGAACTGCGAGAAGGACCCGACCCCGAGGACAACATGTTAATTGTCTTCTGTAAAGACGCATTGGGACTCATCTTGGTGAATCTGGCTTTGCTCGACTTGTACAGTCTTGCCCTTCAAGATTCTTACCATGTGCGGCTATCTGAAGACTATCTGAACTTGGAGATCCAAGGACTGATGGAACTGGCAAATAGCAGACTCCGAAGGGCCATCAGGGCGTCGCCCTTTTCCTGTCGGCGCTTGATCTCGACATACCGTGCGATTTACCTGGATGTACGACAGGGAGGAGACCATCATGGAGTCTGGGACCAGATTTACGCGATGCTTTCCTCTTACTAAATGCCTAATAACGTGTCTTGGTCGACGAAACAACCGAGTACGGAAAGTCTCCTCTATTATTAAGGGGGCCCGATGTCTATCCCTCTACTTAGCTATCCCTTAGGGACGCCTAACTATAGGCTAGATAGTGTCACGGGGTGACGCTAGGCAGACTCAACAGGTAGTGTATTAACTATAGAGCTATACACGAACGGTCTATAAACTACTGGCATAGTCGGTAGGAAGACGAGGTCATCGCTTAAAGAGCTATATGGTGTTGTAAACTCGTAGACAGGGTATAAGTGTTAGGAGACCTGGGTTTGGGACCGGTCGAGTATAGAGATCGTAGGTGTTTCGTAAGCCTAAGTATAGATAGTAGCTAGATATGCTATATAATAGAGATTACTCGCACTACTAAGGAGAAGAAGAAGTTTCTATCTCCTCGTATAATAGTTGTAGAGAATAAGTATAGCTCTCGCTAGCGCTCTTAGTATAATAACTATAAAAGCCCAAGGAAAGGGCTTACTATGTTGTAACACGTACAGTAGAATCGACGAAAGTAGAAGGCGGTAAGCTAGACTTAGGGTAAAGCGTCCCTACTGACAGCCAGCCTAGTAGTGTGAATCGAGCGACGCGAGCGACGCTGCTTTTGAGTATGCTAATTTGGCGGCAGGGCTAATCAAGGCCGTCTGACGGGGCGAACAGGACCTGCGTCGCATCGTATCATCGGGGCCAAAGACGCTAGGGCTTAGGGGCCCGCGACAGGTGAGATACGGGTGACCGCTCACCCGAGTCACACGAGCTGGGGTGAGTATAGGGCGGCATCACTCTCCCCCTTTAGGGGGTGAGCTCCGGGGACTTTTTACATAGATTGGCAATATCTGTCACCTATGTCGCCCGGCGGCGTAGGTGTGCTTGTGGCCACGTTCACGAAACGTTGAACTCTCCTCACCCTCACCCTCACCTCCTCAACTTCAATACTCTATCAGGCTGTTGTGTCAAATCTAACTTGAGGATCTGTGGGATATTGAAGTCAAGGTATTTTCCTCCTTGTCTCAAGCAACCATGGCTTCCACCGACGACGCTCTCGAGACCTACACTCACCTTCCTCTTCACATCGACCCTCAAACGAAACAAGTCTCCATCCTCTCTTCAGATAAAGCCTTGCAAGATGCCGTTGCGAAAATCAACCACTTGCACAGTGCTTTAAAGTCTCTCGAAACCCCCAACAATGTCCCGCCCCCCCCTTTGCCAGTCAATCCAAAGAGATCGGGAAACATTCAAAAACTGAGAGAATCGGCTACGGCCTCAGTCCGGAAGGGTCAATATGCGGATGCGATCCGCCTTCTTGGAGTTGCCATAGATATGGCTGCGGCACGACCTGGCTGGGAACCTATGGGCCTCGCGAGAGAAGAACTCGCTTTGATGTACCAGTCCCGAGCAGCGGCCAATACTGGAGTCCAGAATTGGGTAGAAGGTCTTAAAGATGCAGAATGCAGTCTGGAGTGCAAAAGAGGTCCCAGCAATGGCCCTAATGGAGAAAAGGGCCCTGGGAATGCCAGAGCATACCTCGTGGGAGGAAAATGCTTGATGGAGATGGGTCGATGGGCCGACGCCGTCCAGTGGCTCGAGGGAGCGATCGAGACTGAGGGAAAGGATGGCGACGATGGCCGAGAGCTGGTTCGTCAGTTGACGGAGGCGAGAAATCATGTCGAAGGCAAAGCTTGAAGACTTTAATCACGCGGGGCTCGTTTCTCGCTATACCAGTCAACCAATGCATCGAAAAGCCACAGCCATCGCAACCTATCTTTCGTACCTGCAGTAAGGTGGGCCGAAACAGAGAACATCGCCATCTCCAGGCCCAACGACAGTTCCGGTGGACGGCACCACGCATAGATATCTGTTCGGTACGCGTTCTGGAGAGGGCTTGGTTTGTCCACCTTTACGACGCACACTCTACTGAACTCACCTACTACAGACTTTGGTCACTCTACCTCCATCTAGCGTTGCGTTGCCTACAGCCTCCGGATGGGCTTGTGCCAGCTCGTGCAAATCAGGTATTATTCGGCTATCAGGCCAATCAGCTTCCTGCAAGAACTCATGGAAGACTCGAAGCACGATGAAGTACAGAGAAACGGACTATTTCGACAGCCACCGGCTATCAAGCTCAAGCATCCATTGCGATGGCAAAGATATTCTCGATTTGGAATAATGTCGCATCTTCGATAGAGAGTATGTTCAACGCTCCAAAAATCCGAACCGCCAATCCTCAATGATACGTGAATGCGTTCGGCGATCTCGTTACAGATAGATTTTGAGAATCAAAAAGTCAATACAGCAATCACGAAACAAAACAGACGGGTCTGCGGAAGCTTGTCATTGATACCGAAGACAGCATTGGCAGCGAAACTGTCAATGGCGCATGGCGATTTGTTGCCGAGAGACTAAGGGTCAGTCCCACAAGAGAACAGTATAAATATCGTTTTGCTCAGACTCCACGGGCTGGCATCGAGGTGCTCAAAGAGCCATGGGGTTGTGCTTCGACAGGTTGGGGCCCCAGAATGTGTTAGAAGGGGATTCCCCTCTCTCAATGGGCAAATCATTTCTCTGCGTGACTCCCTCTGGCCTTGGAGAACGTCCCGTGTGGTGAAGACACAGGAGCTACTACATAGAGCGCAGTGCCCCAGGACAACATAAGAGGACAACAGTTGGAGTGTTTCCCATTTCTGTGCGAGAAGATAGACTGACTCCGTGCCTGCTGATAAGCATGATGATTATGTACATTGAATATTGTCGGATGACCCGCTTCTTATGCTCTCGTGCATCCCTAACACCCAAGTTCAACGCTGCATTGGGTTTCTGAGAGGTGGCACTGGCAGTACCGAACACTTGGCATCTAGAGATACAATACATGGTCAATCTGCCTTGGGATGGTGAGCGGACGGAGCATGGTGAGTGAGTGAGTGAGTGAGTGAGTGAGTGGCCTTAGCTCCAGACATCTGCAATAGTATGAGCGAACACTACCTGTGAGTGCTGTAGAGGTAGGTATCTAGGTAGGTAGCCATCAAGTACGTAGTAATACTTACATGTTCGTTGTCATCCATACCTAAGGTCGCTACATGCACCTAATTAGGTGACATGTACAGTAAGTAGGTGAGATGCAGGTTGAGATACTGATATGTACCTCCGTAGTCGGACTTGAGCGAAAATCGAAAACATCAAACACAAACACAAACACAAACATCCGAAATTTGCTTGGTCTTTGACGTCGAGGACCGCCACGCCAACACCAACACCATTACCAACCACCCGAGAAATTCTGGCACCGTCCAACTGCGGAAACAACAAAGGCCCAGAAATATATGGCGTGCAGATAGAGCAAGGCAAGGCGGAGTGGCACGAGCACGAGCACGAGCGCTGCATGATGTGTGAAGGGATGGGGAGTTAGATGTCACGCACCGCGCACCGCACACCGCACACCGCACACCCGTACATATATGTGATTTGGTGTCTTCACGACAATCAACAATCTCGCTGGTGCTGTTTCTTGTTTACGAAGTGTGAAAGTGATTGAGCAAAAAAAACCCCCACACAACGCAAAGCAACAAGTCAAAGGCGAAGCAGGACGAGGTGCTTATCCAGTATGGATCACGGCATAGACGATAAAGAAGCTCTGCTGCTTGATAGGGTTTCTGCCGCGTTCGAGCCGTATCTGCTGCCGCCTCAAGAAGTGAGCTCTGTGCGGCGGTCACTTCGCTCCTATATCGCCGCTCGGGTCGACACGGCGCAGAATCCCCGGCAGGGTCTCGAGGGACTGAGAGCGGAATATGTCAAGGCTGTGCAAGCCAACCGTGCTGCAAAAAGCCGGTATGCTGCGATTCTGGCTAGACACCATGAGCACGCGGCTACTTCAGACCCAGCAGATTCAGCAACTGCTGGGCACAGTTCCAGATCGCTTCTCGGTCAACATGTTGAACTCTTACGATTGGAAAGACAACACACGACACTGATTACGCTGGAGGATGAATTGGATGCTCTCAGGCGTTCTAGTCGGTTCACGACGTCGGACACCCTGTCGAGGGCCGGCACAACTCCGTCTGCGCTGCCGGATACGGAGCGTGAGCTGGCACAACTGGTTGACTTGCTGACCCGTTCGGTCAAGGCTCTTGAGAGGGCCTTGGTTGAAGCTCATCATTATGCCATCCACGAAAGGTCTTTGCTGGAGGATGCAAAGGCACAGAGTCAGTATCGAACTAGTGCGACTCTTCCGCAGCGTCTTCATGCCCTATCTGCGGCGCGGAGAGAGCTTACTGCCTGGCTGGAGGAGAGTTTGGAGAGATGCCAAGGGAACACCGACGAAGCAGGTCAGGATGAGCATTTGAAGAGCAAGCTGAGCTCGTCAGACTTAGAACAGAACATTGACCATCAATACGAGCAATATCTCGAGACACGTCAGCGACTGCTTATGATTGTGAGCTCTCTGAAGGCGCCTCTTCCAGAACAAGCCCCCGAAACCCCTGGTGGCAGAGTAGAACGGATGGTGCAAAACTTCACAAAGACCGAATGGCCAGAGGAAGCTGAGGTCCCGAATGTGCTTGAACAGGCTCTTCTCCCGACAGTGCAGCAGGAGCGAGCTTCACGGGCTCATCTTACCTTTGCGAAGGAACAACAGGAGGATGAACTGTTGGCAACAGTTAATATGCTCGACAGACTCAGTGACGAGAGCCAGATTTTGCAGGCTTTCCCACTCCTTGCTCGATCGGGCCGCTTTGAACACGCTGCATCGACCTTTGGGAAGAAGCGTGCTACGGTGGACGAACCGGAAGATGAGGTGTCTAGACGAATGAAGCCCTGGCTGTTTGCTGCAGAAGCAGCTGAGGTGGCTACCTCGAGCACGATTGAAGAACTTCTGAAACAAGGAAATCGATCGATGGATAATGTTGGTCAAAGCCTGTCCGAGTTGCGATTCCTTCATGAAGCAGATGGTAATGAGCATTTCAAGCAATAACTGCCTCGTGGCTTGGGTTAGGCTTGTTACTGCTTCTTATTCTGAGCAAAGAAGAAATTGGCTCCCACCACGGTCAAGTTGTTCTCCCCAGCCCAATCTCGCACACCATGTCGGACTTTCCCATACCCCCAATGTTTCCTATCCGATGGTGCCTCCAGATTCGAAGCGTCTCCTTCCAACAACACGAATACGTATCGGTGTGATCCTGTTTTGGGTGGCGGACTCGGGGGAAGGTATTCTTCCAATTCTCCTGGCTGGGCCTTAGACAGATGGAGCGCAGGTTCAGGAGTTGTCAGGTTGGTCACGATCCAATGGCACATCTCGGACCATATTGGTTTGTCCCTAGACTTTGCATCTGGATCGGTGAGAGCGAGGGTGAAAGTCAAGTTCTTGGCACTAATGGATGGACTTGTAAGAGAGTGGAACGTGAACACCGGGCGCTTGGAAACGGCCTTGACGGCGATGTCGTTGCCTAGAAGCACCGTCTCGTGAGACTTGGGGTAACTGATGTCGAGGGAATAGGTCGGTTCAAAGTCGTCGAGAACGTCGCCGATGACGTCGTTGGCAATCAGGGCATCTCTGATGGTGGAGGAGAGAGAATAGCCGGTGCCGAGGAGCGCTTGCTGGCCTGAGTAGGCTGCAATAGCTGCTGTTGCTGTTAAGCTGGTCCAGAGGAAGCCAGTAATAGCAGCGATGCTCGTGATTGAAGGCATGAGGAGCAATAGTTAGCAGCTTGTATTAGTTGGTGCGAAGGCTATTCAAGAGCATTGTGAGGATGGAGGAAGATGCTGGTAGATGGGCTCCAGGCCTGTTGGCCTCTGTTCATGTCGTAATACGTAAGACGACCCCGCCTCCAACAATGAGGCTGGAAGCGAAGGTGGCTGCCAGGTACGGAGAACCTCAAGACTTAGGGACCTACCTTAGGGCACCTATAGCTGGCTAATAGCCTACCTAGTAGGTACCTGCCGACAACATTGGTCGTGGTGGTTGAGTGGTTGACCGGCCGGATTCTTGGTTCTTTGCACGGGTGGACGGGTGGACGGCAGAGCAACTAGAACGACGTCAGACATTCAGCTAGGAACCACCAAGGTACTCAGCTGGCCTCGTGCCCTCTGCATTTGTGCAATCCAATCACCATGCCGATGAAAATGCACGTCTGACGGGCCCGGGAACACGCCTGTTTTGCCCCCATCACAGCTGTCACACAAATCCATTTTGTGCCTGCGTCCCAACAGCCACTCACCGGCACCGACCGAGTTTCGCGTTTCTCTCTACTCCGTCCACCCCCAGACACTCCTCCCAAGTAAACATGTGCCTGCAGGTGGCCATCTGATCAAACAGCTCGCCCGCTGCACCATTTTCCTTTCTATACTGTATCATCTACTCTTCCGACGGGTCATCTCGTCTTGTCTCATTCTCCGCGGCATCTATCAACACCGCTCGCAACTCTTCTTCCCGGCCTTAGTGCCAGCTTTGCTCCTTCTAACTGACACCCCCCATCAGAGGGAGCACGCTCGCCGACGCCAACGATGACCACCCTCGGCGATGACCTCCTCCGCACGGTCAACAAGCTCCAGGACCTCGTCTTCAACACCATCGGAAATGACTCTCTCGATCTTCCTCAGATAGTCGTTGTCGGTTCGCAGTCCTCAGGCAAATCCTCGGTCCTTGAAAATATTGTCGGCAGAGACTTTCTCCCTCGAGGCAGTGGCATCGTCACCCGTCGACCGCTGATATTGCAGCTGATCAATATCCCGCCTGACGATGAAGATGGCGCAAACGATGAAGATGAGGTCCGCATCCCACACACTGCGGCCAGCGTGGCCGAACACGGAGAGTGGGCAGAGTTTCACCACATCCCCGGTCGCAAGTTCAGGGACTTCAACCAAGTACGAGCCGAGATCGAAAATGAGACTGCGAGAATAGCTGGCAACAACAAGGGCATCAACCGACAACCCATCAACCTCAAGATCTTCTCTCCGCACGTTCTGAACCTGACGTTGGTCGATTTACCCGGTTTGACCAAGGTTCCCATCGGCGATCAGCCGTCAGATATCGAGAAACAAACCAGGACCCTCATATCCGAGTACATCGCGAAGCCGAACAGTATCGTCCTCGCCGTGTCCCCGGCAAATGTCGACATCGTCAACTCGGAAGCTCTGAAACTCGCGCGTCATGTGGATCCTTTGGGAAGAAGGACAATCGGCGTCCTGACAAAACTGGATTTGATGGACCACGGTACAAATGCTCTCGACATCTTGTCCGGTCGCGTCTATCCCTTGAAACTGGGATTTATTGGCGTGGTCAACCGATCGCAACAGGATATTCAGACCAACAAACCCATGGCGGAAGCTTTGAAAGCGGAGGCCGAGTTCTTTCGGCATCATCCTGCATACCGAAATATGGCCACGAGATGTGGAACACAGTACCTTGCAAAGACTTTGAATACGACGCTGATGGCGCATATCCGAGATAGACTGCCTGATATCAAGGCAAGATTGAACACACTAATGGGCCAGACACAACAAGAGCTGGCAAGCTATGGCAGCAAACAGTTCAGTGGCAAAGAGCATCGTGGTTCGTTAATTCTACAGCTGATGACTCGCTTTGCGAACTCGTTCATCTCCTCCATCGACGGTACATCCACCGAAATCTCGACCAAAGAGCTCTGTGGTGGTGCTCGGATATATTACATCTTCAATTCTGTCTTTGGCAACTCTCTAGAGACCATTGATCCAACCCACAATCTGTCAGTTCTCGACATTCGGACTGCGATTCGAAATTCAACTGGACCCCGCCCGAGTCTTTTCGTCCCCGAACTGGCATTCGATCTACTGGTTAAACCTCAAATCAAGCTGCTAGAAATTCCCAGTCAGCGATGTGTTGAGCTGGTGTATGAGGAACTGATCAAGATCTGCCACACCTGCGGGTCGCAGGAATTATCAAGATTTCCTAGATTACAGGGCAAACTTATCGAAGTTGTGTCGGACCTTCTGAGGGAACGGTTGGGACCTAGTTCGCATTATGTCGAGTCCTTGATCTCGATTCAACGCGCGTACATCAACACGAACCACCCGAACTTCCTTGGAGCCGCCGCCGCCATGTCTTCTGTCATTGCCAGCAAGAACGAAAAGGACAAGAGAGCAGCGCAAGCAGAAGAGAAGCGGAAACGAGAGAAGCAGCGGCTGAAGCAAATAGGACTTAACGGTACAGCCACTCCAGATGAGGAAGATGCCGAACAGGAAGACAAAGCCACGGCACTCCCTGTACGAAAACATCCTGCCGCCACTCGCAGTATGTCTCCCGCCGTATCTCGGGAAAACGGGTTTGGCAGTGTCTCTGGCGCAACGGGGACAGGCGGCAATACACGAGACTCGTTCCTGAACTATTTCTTCGGTAAGGATGGAGGATTGCCATCCGGCCCACCATCCGGCCCACCAGCGGCTTCCGCTCCGCATCGACATCCAACTCAGAACATTGATGCAAGCTTTTCACAAAGCATGCGCCGTATGGAGAGAGGTAGCTTCACTGATCGAACGCCGGCCTTCCCACCCCCCATGAATGATGATTACGCGCCGTCAGAATACGGCGACTCAAATTCACTTTTCGTAAGAGTTCCCTTTTCTTTCTACTATCGACTATTTCTAACTTGAACTCTAGCCGGAGCAGTCTGCAGAGCCAGTCTTGACTGACCGTGAAGCACTGGAAACCGAACTCATCCGCCGGCTGATCAGTTCCTATTTCAACATTGTGCGTGAGACCATTGCAGACCAAGTTCCCAAAGCCATCATGCATCTTCTGGTCAACCATAGCAGGGACGAGGTCCAGAACCGCCTAGTTTCGGAGCTGTATAAGGAGGAGTTGTTCGACGAGCTGCTCTACGAGGACGATGGAATCAAGAAAGAGAGAGAAAAGTGCGAGAGGTTGCTCGCCACGTACAAAGAGGCAGCTAGAATTGTGGGAGAGGTCTTGTAAATCTGGATTGGAGAGTGTGCCTGAACGGGAAATGCAAGGAAGTGTGTTGTCCCGGTTTGAATTACTTGGGGTTGGAAGAGCAGTGCAGTGGTTTCCTGTCAATAAGTCAATCCTCGAGCACAGAGGGCTTAGGAGAGGGCTTAGGAGAGGGCTTAGGAAAGGCCTTGTGTACACTGTACTACCATTTGTCTAGAAGCCCGCCCTTCTCACTTCCCCAATTCTCGATCCTCTTGTCTGTCCAGGATCTCGCCATGCAGAGATTAGAGATGAGGAGCTACTCGACTCAACTGCTGTCTTCGGCCCACGGGTCTCGCGTACGTGTTGACAATGTATACAATGGGACAGTATACAACCTTACCTTTGAACTTACCGTTGACCTTACCTTTGACCTTACCTTTGACCTTGACCTGACATGGTCACGGTATGGTCATGGGTTGGTCCTGGTCCTGGTCATGGTCATATTATGGTCAAGTTGGTCTTATATGCTCTTCTCTTATCTTGTCTTGTCTGTCCTATTATACTGAGCAGAACAGATTGTTTAACTCCACGGCGATGTTATGTTATACTATATTATATTATACTATACTTTGTACATAGGTAGTCTGTTAGAGTCGGGCAATGTTATATCATACTATACTATACTATACTTTGCACACAGTCTGTTGTACATAGTCTGTTGGAGTCATGCAGGCAGGCAGGCAGGCCGAGTCTAGAGTCTTTGCAAAGTCCAGAGTCCAAGTCAGTCACGTCTTTTCTGGTTCTAGTTCTGGTCCTTGTCCTGGTATGATCTAGTTGAGTCTAGTCAGCCAAGTCAAGATACTGTATGTATCCGTATACAGATAGGACTAGGACTAGGACTAGGATTAATTACGGAGTATATATCCCTAGGGATACGAGAGTACCGTTCATTTATTCTCATTCAGTCATTCTTTCATTCATTCATTTCAACGTCGTCATTATGAATCACATCATAAAACGGTAGTCTCGTCACCGTCAGGTCAGGTCAGGTCAGGCCAGGACCATGTGTTGTAGGCAAGGAATATCTCCATTTCCTGAACCATCCTGTCTGTCGCCCATGGCTAACTTGTCAGATCTGTTGAATCGTCGGTCCATATCCCACATGCCATATGCCATATCCCATATGCCATATCCCATATCCCATAT